ACCGAAGACAATGAATAATTCTTGTAATTTTACTTATTTACTTGAATGTTTTAGATAATATTTAATTGAAAATCTTTCCCCATTCCCATACATGTAGGTATTTCTGACATGAAATTCGAACAGTAATGTTTTCTGTCTGCTTTCTCTTAACTGTAATATCATACACATGTTTTATTCTGCTGTGTCATCTAGAGATTAATTGAAGACTTAATGATATCTTTTATATTTCTTGGGCACTTATGTGTGGAAGTTCTATACTGTTAAAGAAAATATCTCAAAAACCATATATTACTTCCAAAATATAGTATGGTAATGAAATGGTGATAAATGGATAACAGTGGTCATTGTACCAGTAAATCACACAAGTGTTGCTTGGACAATTTCTACAGACAGCATTAGTTTCTTTTTTTATAATTAAAAAATATTTTGATGAGATGTCATGATTGATTCATTTATCATGTGACCACAAATCAACACCAGTTAAAAGGTGTTTATACTTCAACCCAAATACAGGATGTTTCCACTCACTGAGCATCTTGAGGTATGTGGTGGAAGCAAATTTAAGGTCTTTCCTATGTATAGAGTTAATAGCAATAATAATGACTTTTTAGAGGCCAAAGAAAGCTATTTTATTGAAAAATACCACCCAAAACTTAATTCCAATAAGGAATGATTAATGTGAATAAAATGGTTGTATTGAATGTTGTAGTCTATAAGCTACTACTAAGCAACCTTCCTTTTAGAATAGTCTAAATGTAGCCATGACGTTATGACTTCATAATAGTTATTGGTTATAATTAAGGTTATAATAAATGCCTGAAGGGCAACCTCGGTTGTGAAAATGTTAGCACAAATTATGTAGTTTCATTTCACTAACATAAATTTTACATTATAATTAAAATGTTGACAATTAACACACATTGTTTAAGGGAAAGTCACATACAATTTTGTGTTTCAAGACTAAAGTCTAATACTTCTGTGTTGGAATATAGAAATTATGAAGAGTAATTTCCAGAATTTAATCAATTTGACTGAAACTATATTTGAAAATTAAAATCGCTGCAGATGAACATTGGAAATGTCATACAGCAAGTGATTTTATATGTCATTACAAAGATCTTAAAGTAAAAACATGAAATCATTGCACACTAGAAATAATGGGAACATTATGTAATAGATGAAAAGAAAGATAAAGAAGCCGATCATTGTTGCATTTTTACATTTTTAACCTCATTTTGCAGGAAGTCTATTTCATATAACAGTGATTTATTGTTGTATAAAATTCAGATCTTGGAATGAACAGTTTTACTGCTTCATATTTTAAAAACATCGAGCAACTGCAGCAGCATTGTTAGCCTTTTCTATAGCAGATGGACACTTTTCTCTTCTTACTATCTTATTGCCATCAAAATATCCTTCATTTCTGGGTAAGCCATGGGTGTTATTGGAAAATGTGATAAGACCTATAAAATTATTTAATTAGCACCATTAATAAAAATAATAGTAAAGTAATTAGCACATCACCAGAATATTCAAGAGCCGACATTTCATTGATAAATGAAGGATATTTTTTTAAAAATCATATTTTATTACATTTTATATATTTTTGAAAGAAATTCTAATATAGATTTCATTTTCTATAATCAATTAATTAATTCAAGCTTACCTAGACCCCTTATTTTTCCATCCAAAAATTGACCCTCAAACTTCATATTATCACATCTAGTAAATATGCCATACCCATTAAATTTACCTTCTTTAAACTCACCTTCATACCTACATATATATATATTTTTTCATGAAAGATTCATTGGTATGTCAGTACTTTTGATGTTTTTGCTTAGAATCATGATGATGATGGAGAAATCCGGTTTGATGTTAAATTATTTAATTGTGATTGTTTTCAGTCTGTTTAAATCTCTGCCATCCAATGTTCTAGAGAGCTGATATAGGTTTGACACATGAATGAATGTCTAAATAATAGTTTATATAACATTTGAAGCCAAAATAAAGACCTGCAATAGGCAGATTTAGCTCCTACATAATACATCTTTAATATTAAACATGTTATTTGATGTATTTTAGAAGTTACTTATATACATGGTGCTGCCAGGCAATAATTATATGCCCACCAACAGCTAAAATTTATGAACGACATTTGAGGGATTTTTAATTCATTGCAAAAAACAATATTGCGAGAGTTGAAACTCCAAAGTGTATATCAGTCCAAAAATTCTCATTTCTATTCAGTAATTACAAAGATTGATGAACTGAAAAATTTCCAATATTTAGCATCCACTGCAGAACAAATGTACAGGATATGGTCAACTTAGCTAGACTAGCATTACCAATGGTTTCCACTGAAAATGTATTGATGGGCCTTTGTTTAATCCCATTGAATCCATGTTGGAAGGTCACCTAGAGTTGATATTTGGATATTGTTTTCTTAATTACATGTTAAATAATAAAAAATATCCTTGAGTGGCAATTAGCGTTTGAGCACATTAACAAGAGCATCGCTACTGCTGCAATATACGTCCACATTCCTGCTTTGGTTGATAAGGTACTTTTTAAAATGAAGAGCATGAAATATGAAATGGCTGCAATGACTGTAATATGACAAGAGCCAAAGAAGGCAAGACGTTGGGTTTGTTTTGCCAAATTTACAGACTAAATATTAACAAAAAAAAAGTGGGTGTGACAATGCCCCAGGGGGTCGGGGCATGCACCAAAATAAATAGTTGCTGTCTTTGCGGTATAAGGAATAAATATGCAAAGTTCCAAGATGATCCATTCAGAATTTCAGCCTGTAGACGATAAACACCAAAATTGGGCGTGGCTCCACCCTTTGGGGTTGGATATGGAACAATATAAATAAGTGCAACTCTGTGATTGAAACAATTGACATGCTGAATTCAAACAAAACCTGCTCATAATTGCAACCTGTAGAGTATTTACAAACAATTAACAAAACAGTAGGTGATTTGGTACCTAATGGGTTGACTACTCTCCCTTTAATATGCACATTGATATGAATATTTCTGAAAATGAATCCATTCAAAAGATCACCTGGACTCGTCTTTGAATAACATTATTCCACTCCCCGCGCACAAACCATCTTCAAAATTACCCCAATACTGAGAACCATCAGAAAACTTCAAATGTCCATAACCATGTCTTTGATTTTGACTGTTCCAATGGCCATTATATATGCTTCCATCTGGGTAAGTATGTTGGCCTTTATCACCCATGTCTAGGTTATGTTTATGAATGTCTGCTTAAAAACTGAAAATGAATGTTTAATTATGATCAAGTGTCTTATTAAAACAATCCAACACTCAGTCTCAGTGAATATAAAGCATCCTACATTATGGTCACAGATTTATATCACAAAGCTTGGTGTCGATGCCACACCTACTAGTATAATCTCACAGAAATTAATTGATTGTCAATAATTTCTGACAATTTCTCCCATTATAAACATTATTATGAAATATTAAAGATACCTTCTTGTGTACAAACAGTGATTTGATGATATACTTGGACTAAAAACATACTCAAACTAATTAATCTATCAAAATTTTGCTTCAAATCCTACTCAAAACATTGTATTCATGAGGGAATACCCCTGGTATAAAAAATCTATTAAAAGAGGTCATGTTTGTGTCATGCGACATGGCTGACGCAATATTTAACAACAGGTGCAAAACTGGAGGAGAATTCATTGCATATACAAGATGATGTTGTCTTTAATCGCAATTTATTTATCATAAAGATCAAAGCCTAATTAAATTCTTGGATTATCCACTGCCCATGTCTTTTTTCTGTGGTTTTTATCTCAGAAACTGTTCTATGCTTAAGCTCACCCTCAAGTTTATCAACAAATACATCAAGCGCTCACTAATCAGACAATCTTCTGCAACCTTTACATTTTGTGGTGTACGTGCTCCATGGGTGTATGTCAGGAAATCTAGTATTTTTCTAGTAAGATTGGATGTTTCTACTTTCCATATGTACCAAAATTGCCATACTTTTATTGGAAATAACCACCTGATAAATAATTTTCTGGGGAAGTATCTTTAATGGATTTGTATGTTTTGGCCACTAATTGCAAATAACTACATTGGAGGGTAAAATCATGATAATGGCATTTCACCCCACAATTAAATCAGATTCCGTGAAAATGCAGATGATGATGCATATCTGTTGTTTTTCCCTTTAAACAATTTTTGAGAGCAATAGGGGTATTATATTTTTATGACAATGTGGTATGTAGTAATACAGAAGAAATGTGTCCATATCTTTGTGGCAGGTGGTATTCCAGAATAAAGGGGACATATATTTTTAGGAAAGGCCAACACGGATACATTTTTTGGAGTTAACAACTCAAAAAACAACATGCTTTGACTAATTAATTGTTTTTCTGAAAAAAAATTAATTAACTCCTAGTGCCTAGTTGGATACATACATCTATGGTTCCCATTTTTCTAGATAAAAAACCTTAAGATTTTCCACAATATATCTTCGACTTATTCCAATTTTGTGTTTTTCTTACTTATATTTTTTTATTTATTTATTTATGTTTTTAAAGACAACAAAAAAAACATCAATCAGTTATAAACAGTCAGTTGTATCATGATATCAGCAATGAACAATATACATTTATCAGGGAATTATGTCATGCGCTGCCTTTGATTTTCAGTTAATGATATAACCCTACATATGGTTATCTATGAATATATTATAATCCCTCAATTTGTCGTATATTAAGTCTCAAATATTCCATATAACTGACAGTATCATGTACATATCGATACAGTGTTGCATAATAGAAAGATTCTATTAATTCTGGCCGTTCGAAAATATATTTCGAACCCAAATGCTTCATATACATTTTATACCTAACTTGGAGAAGTACAAAATATCATATCACTACCTGTTTTAAAAATAATAACAATACTTCCCCATAATCACACCTGTACAGAGAACGTCATTAATATAGAGCACAATTTACCGTGACGTTTACAGCAAAGCACGGTCAAATATGGTTGATTGCGGGAACCCGAGGTGTGCTCAGGACAGAAGATCGTTTCGGAAAGAGCTACTTTCATGGGGTAAAAAGGTTCCAGTATTGTTGGGTAAGTGAAATAATACCGTTTTCTCTTTAATTTGATATATTTCTCATCTAAATCGACGAAAAATTGACCGAGGGGTTTGAATTTTAATATTGTCAAAATTTTAGTCAACATTCGGGCATTCTTTCCTCTGTAGCAGACGGATCGATAAATCTGCACCTTCGTTAGCTAGCAGCCACCATGGTGATTTTTTGTCCTTGATCAGTTCTTTCCTTTCAATTTATAAAACTAGTGATGTATTTCAATGCTTTTATTTTGTCCTAATCTCTTCTTTAACCCTAATTACAGCATACCTGTATAGTGTTTTATTCTTACATCGATCGTTTTAATTGTAAATTCCCCAAATGGCATATTGTGCTTCTTGGATGACGTATTGGCCAATTTTCATAACCGCCATTTTAGAGCCCTATAATTTTTAACGGGTTCAATTTTAGATCAATAAATGTATGTAATTTCTACTTATATTTTATGGAATTGTGTTGTTTATTAAATAATGTCAATAATAATAACTGTCTTGACAACTGATAAGATTAACCCGTGACAGTAGTTTTGATTTCTGTCGCCTTTCATCAGTCAGTTATGGCGTGACCTTTACTGGGCAGGTTATTATAATGAGCACAGGTCGCGAACCCATTAACACAAGGCAAACAAAGGTGACACAAATGTTTTCGCGTGTAGGGCTACTTACTGTGACAGTAATAATATTACGGATTTTTAGTCTCTTTCTTAAGTCTTTTTTGAATATATTGGATAATCTTATTTAAAAAGTTATTGACATGGACCTCCAGTTCTATTTTTTTCTCACAATTTCTCAGATGTCTCCTTAAAATATTTTTAAAAATGTATTATTAAAGCCTTTGATGTTGTTTTTATGAACACACCATGTTGGTTTCATATGATCAAAAGATTGTGACGTCATTAATGTTTTGTGTGTTATTATTTTTTTTACAAGACGATTTGAAATAACCTTGTTCAGAAATTCACTTTCTTTTTAGTATAAAGAAATTTTAATGTATACAAGACCAGACCTATCCTTTCATATCTTGTTATTTACAAACTTTCCTTTGAAAAATTGAATTGAATATGATGGTATCACCTTTAAGACCAATCTGGGTTCAATCTAATTTAAAATTGCTGATGTTTAATGTTAAAGGGGCATCATGGAAGATTAGAGAAAGAGCTGGCAGTTCTCACTATAATAGTTAAACACGAGATAATGTAAAGGGAATATGTTGAAAATTTCATTCAAATTGCTCCACTCTGAGCCAAGATATTAGTGATTGAATTTTAGGTCTAGTCTCAATCATAATTACTAAAGTTGGTACGATAAAAATCATAGTCTCCATTATCCATTTTTGCATTTAATCATCAATGATCGTTAAGCAGCAGATTGGATTTAAATCCAGTGAAAAATCGGACACATAAGGTCTTTTCATGTTAATAAATGTCCAATTAATAGTTTATATAACATTTCAGTTGAAAGAAAGATCTGCAATAGCTTTTGCATTATGTATGTTTAAATTATATTCAGCGATTGTGAAATATTCTTTTTAGAAATGTAAAAGAAAAGGTGAATTTTCCAAACTCATTATCGAATTGAAACAGAAATGTAGACATATTTATTTATTTGTTTAAAAATGGATATAATATATATGTTGAGCACATTCTTCACCCCTCGCGCGCCATGTAGCGCAGGTTCCATTATGTCCAGGCCGATTGTAATGTACGCATATCAAGCTGGTGTGCAGATTGTTAACTTTGCAGTGATTACTCCCCGATGTTTTTAAGGCTCAAAGTAGGATCTGTCCTCTATCGACTTTGTCCTGTAATGATTTTTCAAATAATTTTCAGTATCACTGCATAATAAGATTTAAGTTCGAGTCCGCAGATAATATTTGCTATACATCAACTATCCTGTGACAGAATGTCCAAAAATATTTGCTTTCATTACCGTAGATACCAGGACCTGTCCATCACTCGCAAAGACGATTATTATCCTTATGTAGCAATGGGTTTTGCCATCCAGATATTGTAGAAATTATGCCATTGGTCTGTTTTGTATGACAAACCAAAAATCCCCTGTGTTTATTTGCTTATTTCAAGTTATTGCTAACAAAAAGATTGTGTCTTTTCATAACTGCAAATCAAATACATGTAAACTTCTCAGCTGTGTAATTCTGATTCCTTTCAATTCAGTCCGGTCTTTGGAAAAAATGACAAAACGAATTAAGATATGTATTATTATGCACTGTCTGAATTCGTGAGAGGGCATCTCAGCTCCCAGGGCGTGGAATATGTATTTCAAAGTGTGAAACCAGTTGTTATTGCTATTCCATTATTATGTGCAGTACTGTATGTGTATTTAATATTCCAACAATTCACAGTACATTATTATCCCATGCTTTATAATTCATAAATCTAATGTGTAGTACATTTGTATTCCCAATTTGTCACATTAAATAGGTGATTAAAAACTATTTTCAAATACTTTACTAATGAACTTTTTGAATGCAGGACTTGTAATATGAAGTTAAACTTGCCTTCTTGGGCTGTGTCACTCGCATGATCAATATGAATAACAAATATAGCAGAATTCTGACAGAGATGTACTTTTGCATGCATGTATCAATGATTGATTTCTAATTCTATAATCAGACCACCATGACAGTAGTCAATGGCCAAGAGAATCACAGTGGCACCTTCCAATGAAAATTTAAGTTTTTAAGAAATAAAATTGGGGGAAAATTCTAATGTTTTAAATTTTTTAAAAATTCTAGCATGACCTTTTGTTTTACCCAGCATTATGCTAGTAGAATATATTCTCACTGCCGATTTGTACCTAGCATATATATCAGAATTGAAGTCTTCAATATGAACATGAGGTCAATTAGTATGTTGTACATTATTGTTTGTCTGAAAGTACACAGACTTCATTTCAGTTTTCTGATATTTTTTCAGCTTATGAGGCAATTGCAGGACGGTTTGGAGGAAAAGAAGTTTCAGATGAACTTGATAAATGTTTTAATAGTAAGTTAGCATTATTTTCTGTAGTAAAGTTATCCTGGTCAGCAGTCGTCCAATATAATTAGTTTCAAAAAGTATTGATGGTTGAATGTGCCTATAAATAAAATTGTATTTTCTCTGATAATATACTGTGATCTAAAGTCATGTTATGTGTCAGACCAACCAAGAATTCGCTTCTGTCAGAAAATGTTTGATTAAATTTAGTATTCGGGTCTTGCTGCATGAAATTTTAAAGGATTGACAAAGAAAATTTTTCTGTAAATGTTTTTTGAAAATTTAGATACCGAGTAGTCTTCAAAGTTTTTTACTTGGAAGATTCATGAAACAGGAATTGAATCTTCATACAAGTATATTGAAAAATGATAGAAATATGAACTGGTGAACGTGGGTGTGAAGGTTCATGCCTGTCAAAAGTCTCTCGATATATTGCAATCTGTGAAAAAAATTGTGGATTTTTCTCTCAATTATCGGGGCAGTTAATATACCAAATATTATGACAAGGTTAAATTGACACAGTTGTCATGAAATATAGATCTAAGTCTTATCTGTTTATATTAATTTTAAATAAGTTATATATTTGAAGAAAAAAAATAAAAACTGTGTAGCCATTACTGAACTTGCGGTGAAATCCAAATTGATGATTGAAAACAAGATATTTGTTCCTCCAGAAATAATTGACTGTAGTATCTATTTAAGGAAAAAGATATTGTAGCATTAACAATGCATTTTTGAGCCTATTTATTTTACCCTAAAGATAGCCCATTTTTCTGATTAACAGATCAACAAATGTCAAGTCAATAATTGGATAATTAAAGACTTTGGTCTTACATTATTGACCGTGACCTTTTATTCTTGTATAATGCTAATTATTTGATTAGAAGTATGAAGGAGACCTTGAAGAAATTATGTTATTATAAAAAGAATCTTTTGGTCCCGCGAACTAGTAATAATTCCAAATTATAGACAATATTTGACTTATTAGTTGTGTGGCCTTGTAAGAATCACATCTAGTAAGATTTGTTGTTTGCCAAAGGCTATTTTCTTGTTGACAGAATTGGTTGTTAATATAAAACGTTAGACTGTGTCATATATTTATTTTGGCACACCTTTTTTTTTAATAATACAAGAACACTTATGAGATTAAAGATTTAATGAATAAATGAAAACTTTAAATTGATATCGACAGAAACTCAAGTATTGTAGGGTATCTTTCTTCTTTATATTAATATTAGTATCATTAAAAAGGCCAAAGTTTTAAAGCCATTTGTCTAAATCACCACAAAAATGAAATTGGCCATTGAACAAAGAATTTTTTAATTAGGGCAAACCAATTTAATTATTTTTTCTCTTAGCCACTCAAGTTTCATGCACTCTGCTTTGTTTGAATTTTAAAAACTTAAATATTTGGAACTAAAGGCTTTTGAGAAGAGCAACCAAGTACTTTTTATTGTTAAATTAATTTTTTCCCTAAAGATACTGGAAGTACAATTTTTAATAGGTGTTTCCATAGGCGTTCATATTGATGTGACCTTAGTGTGATGAGTACATATACTTATTTCTTATTTAGTTTGAAGAAGTTATTAAGTAAGGTCAAACTTGAATTAAATGCATGTATTAGATAAATCTTCACAGATTTAAATACTGATTCAGCTATAAATAACAATGGCATGTCTATTCCTAAAATGTATTATAAAATTAGTATAACTAGCTTAATTGATATCAAAAGCAACGAGGAAATCATTTAAACCATATATTCTTTACCTAACAATATATCAACATTTGAATACCCTTCATAAAAGAATAGGAAGTAAAAAGTAGCAAGAGTGATATGGATATCTTTTTGTTAAATTACATATAAAATTAATAATTTGAAAATGACATTAAATTCATTAAAATGAATTTTTTGCAAAATATACACAATATCGGTTCACACTATTTTCTTTAAATCAATAAATATTATTGACTGTCTTTCTGAATTCCACCCATTTCTTCAAAAACATATCACAGACATTATATTTGATTAGTTTTTACTGTCCCGTAAAAGTTTGTATTACCTACAAGCCGGTGAGTTATCCAACTTTGGTAATTTGATTGTGTTTTCTTAGTTAAAAGTTAAATAATCAGTCTGAGTTGGCTACAGGTTAAGCCATGAGAAATTTGATATTTTAGCGAAATATACAGATGACATATTGTTACATTAAACTTTAAAGTTACACCATTTCAAAGAGACAGCACCACACACTGCCAAGTATCATATATCAAGTATCAATTCTGCTATAAAGAGGTACAAACTTTTTAGATTTTAAAACATTCAGAATGTGTACCAGGCACTTTATGGTTGTGGGCTGTTTATTAACCTAATTTTATAAAACATGTCAAGTTGCTATTAGATAATTTACTTATTTTGAAATGGAGGATTTCCTGGCTACAACATTAATTGATTCAGAAAGTTTGTCCTTAATACATCATTACCTCATTAAGAATCAATTTCATCACTCCACAATACATTTTAAAATTATATGTAATATTATGTTCTATAGCCTTAAAGGGTTAATATTCATTACCGAATTTGTTACTTTATGACTTTTAAAGATAGGTTCCTTCAAGTGTAATTAGATCATCTGTTCCACAACATTGTATACTCAAATTAGGTTATTTACTAAAGGCAAATTTTTGTGTTTTGGACATATTGCTATCTTTCACAATGCACAAAAGCATCATGTGCACTCATCCATTCATCATCTTACAAGTGTACTACACTATGACATGAAGATTGGTAGATTCTAAAGTGTTTTTGAAAACAAGTATATTTTCATGGCAGTTTGAATGTATTTCCCAAGCAGTGGTTATGTAAATAGAATGGCAATCACTGAGGAAATAATGTGTCTTTTAACAAAGGAAAAAAATAGTCTTAAATTAACGATAAAATGTTTGCATTTGAAGCTTGTAATTTGTATGGTAAGCCAAGCATGTTTCACACAATGGGAGATGAGTTAAATGCAGTGTAGGTTTAGATCTTGAATATTATAGATAGTTGTGTTATTGAATCAATATAAGTATGGTAATCTTAATGTTACAGGTTTGGAAAGTGATGAGCCTGAAGATTTTGCTCCAGAGAATGAATGTATTTATTGTGAATCAAAATTGGCCTCCATAGTTGTAAGTACAAGTCAATCAACAAGTAAAACATACTGACGAGAGAAAGGGCTGTTACTATAGTTGTTTATCAATTTAACATTGTTTGTTATAGTGGTAACTGACAGGTTTATAAAAAGATTTGGAGGAAAGCGGACTTCATTGATACATTATCGTGACAGTATGAAAATAATATTAAACAAGTATTTGAATGTTTTTTAGGACATAGTCAGCAAACTTACAGATGATGCTAAAAAAGGAAAAATTGATCCTGACAATGCACGTAAGTAGACTTTGATATAATTTTATATATTTTATGCAAATTAGATAAAACTACTGGTAGTTGTGCATGTTTTTATCAATTCAGTACTGTTACAGACATGACACGACAAGTGTTCCCCGATATTTGGTTTCATTTACTGACAATTTTTTTTTTGTTGTGATTTCAAGATTTCTTGTAAAACTACTGCCACTGTCGGTGGTTATTTAAAGTGTGTCATGACATTTATGCAATTTAGCATGTAATTCCATAAATATATTGTGAAATTAGAACAACCTTGTAATTTTTGCTGGGGGTAAAATTATTTCATTTTCATTCCCTTAAGGTTAATTGGGTCAACCTATTTTTACTGAAAGCTTGAGATTCCTATGAATTTGGACAAATAAGATTATTGGCTGAATCCGATTAGGATTCTAGCAATATCAGAAATCATTGTATACTATATGAAGCAGTAAATTAGCAAATATTATGGTATGTCCTAAGGTTGTGGGTAAAGGGTTACATACAAGGTAATTAAAATATGCAAATATCACTCACTCATTCAAACTTCTATTAAAGACATTAGCTGTAATGGTGTTATTATAATAATATTTGCAATAGAAAAGATATGCCTGTATTTATATTGTTTTGATAATTTCTTTTTTATATTTTGTTTACAGATCTACGGTATTTGCATGATTTACTTCCTTTTTGTACACAATACTATACCACAAACATCAAAAAAGAATCAGAAAAACGAACTAGCCCTAAGCCGGAAGATGTGTCAACGTCTAGTAAATTACACATAGAACTTAAAGTTCCTCAAATTCCACAACAACCAGGGTAAGCTAACAATATTTTTCAAATTTTAGAAATCCAATCTGTGTTATAGATTGTAATTATCACTGTAGCAAGGTTTCAAAACACAAAATGAACTTACAGATAATTAGGGCTGACAGAAAATATTGATATATTGCCAATAATCGATACAGATTTAAAATATCGATAATCATGCAATTATAGGTAGCCACATGTAAGAAGAAATCCATAAATAATCTGTAATTAAACAGAAAGTCATTAAACACACACACATTTTGTTTTTCATGCGAGAAGCCATCATTAACAACAGTCAGACGCTTAGGATGAGAATAAATAGTTTAAATTGCAATTTCATATTTTTAAGTTATATTTTTAAAATTTATTAAAATAAAGCATAAATATTACCGCATAAACTCACATATAATTTGTAATTCATACACAAATCATGAATGTTTTCAAAACAATTGTAAGTAAAATAGTTTTCGAATATTATTATTGATCAAAGGATGGTCGAAAATTATTGATACTTGAAACCAGTATCGATTGCCAGCCCTACAGATAATAATTGAAGAACACTGAAGGGGAAAGTGAACAATTCCTGATTACTTCAATGTCCATTTTGAACTTGATCTTGTATAATAAAAGTCCTCTGAATCCTCACATAATCTCAACAAATTGCTGATCAGCTGAGTTTTCCAGTAATACAGTCTTCTCAATTTCTGGAAACGATGTCATAATCACCACTCATTTCATTACTTCAGAATGTTTATGGTTGATAAAAAATGTACTGTTACAAACAAAAACTCCTCAGATCACCAGCCATTCATGTCAGAAACATTAGCAAGCACATTTTCTAGCTATTAAGAATATTTGGCTGTTAAAGAAACTAATCCTGGTTCAATGAATCATTTGTAATTTTACCAAGACAAGATCTATCCTTGAATAATTTTTGTGTATTTTTTTTTCAGTAAAAATAAGAAAGATATTCTTCCAAATGGTAAACGAGGATATACTGATGATGATCTTGTATCTGCTGTTTGTGATATAAGAAATGGTAAATTGGGTACTAGAAGAGCCTCAACTCTCTATGGTATACCGCGCTCAACACTCAGAAACAAAATATTTAAAATGGAAATAGAAGATCAAAGCAGTGTAACAGATGAACCAGATGATTCCAATTCTGTTGATGAATCCTCAGTAAATAATACTAGCAGTATGAAGTTAACAGATCTAATGCAGGCTGGATCATTAGCATTCCTTCCTCCCATACCTTTCCTTTTACCATATCAAAAGCAAGCAGAACTTACTCCAGAGGAGATGGAGAGAAAAATGGAACAAATACGACACAAGCATAATATTGATGGATCTCGAGAAACAAGCCCTAAGCCTGCTCATATCAACGAACTGAAACTTCCCTTATTGGCAGATTTGATTCATAAATTAGTTGAACAACGATTTGAAATGGAGTGCCAAAAAAGTGCCTCGAAGAAGAAATCTAATAGTACATGTAGTAGTAGTAGCAGTAATGAATCTCAAAACAGTCTTGCCATGAGCAGCCCTTATTATTCACCTTTGACCGCAGCTTATTTGTCATCATTGAACACCAGTGAAGATCCTGATATCCGAATTCCGTCCTACAAGAGTGCCACTACCAGTGCCAACACTCAGTTATCGGAGAAAAGTAAGATGTATGGTAAAGTGTATGATGGAGGTAGAATAGGAGAAACATTAAAAGATATTATAATGAAAACTATCACAGAGAAGATGAGGTTTAAAGATGGATCTGACAGTAGTTCTGAAGCCGAAATCTCGAGTCCCCTTATTTCACATTTGGTAGATAGAAGACTGCCACAAATGACTGTACCTAACTCCAAATACTCAACTAATAACCACACAGCTTCAAAACGCAGGAAAGAGAGTGAACGAGAGAAAACCTCACAACCAGCAAATTCAGTAAAGAAAACAAGACCCAAACGAGGCCAATATCGTAAATATAATAGTGCCCTATTGATGGAAGCTGTACGAGCTGTCCAGCGTGGCGAGATGAGTGTGCACAGGGCTGGCAGTTATTATGGTGTGCCTCATTCAACTTTAGAATATAAGGTAAAAGAAAGACATCTACTCAGACAGAAGAAAATGAGAGATACTCAAACCACAAAAGAATCAAAAACTGTCACAAGTGCAAGTTCAGCAGAAACCTCTAGTTCCACCTCCTCCCCTGCCTCATCAAAGACCACAACCACTACTAAATCAGAATCTACTAAGTTGAGTGCCTTGGGTTTCACTCCTTCTAAAGACTCCACCAATAACCTGCCATGGTACCAGCCCTATCTCAATGCCAATCCAGAATTCAAAGCAGATATGAATTTTTTTCCTTCTGGTTTTGCTCTAAGCACACCAGCATCAGAACTGCTTCGTAAACTCCAGCATAAAGTACAGAGTAAATCTAGTCCATTTAGTCCTGACAGTTCTTTTGAATTTACAGGCTCCAATCATAATGTAAGTAATCTTGGTGATCGTTATATGTTGTATAATTGATAGTGAAGATATTAAGATATATATTTGCTCACATAATACTATGGTGAAGGATTGTGGTCTCTACTATAATAGTAGAATACTGTGATTGTTGTCATTACTGTATATTAAATATTGTATGGTAATTGTTTATGATCACATAATATATTGTAAATTCACTAATTATCACATGTTTTCTCCTCCATGTTTTTTAGTGCATAATATAAATTATTATTGAAATTATTTACATGTAATATTTATAATGAAATGTAACTCTTTAATCTAATGTATGAATTATACATTGTCCACTTGTAACAACATAATACCAGAGTACCTCATTGGTTGTGATTTATAATAAAATGATGGTATTAGTTTGGAGAAGGATTAAATTTGTAGGAAGTAGAATTGATTTATGTACAAAAGGTTGATTTGATGTCACTATCGAGATTGATGATTGTTTGGGATAATATTGGTATGTATGTATTTGGTTTGTGTTAATATAAATGGACAAATCTAGCATTGTATTTCTTATAATTTGTTTACATTGTATTACAAGGGTCATCTGTACAGAATCAAATACTTTTTTTTGTATTTTCGAAAGAAATATTTTGATAGGAGTGTTTGAGATACATGAATTGGTTTATATTTTGGTGGGTACATTTATATACACATGCATCTGTTCATTTTTGGGGGGTACATTTCTACATTAATGTCATGATTATTTGATTGAGTGATTGTTTATTTAAATTTTATACAGAATTTTGAATAACAAAAAAAACAAAAACTATCTGGAATGATAAAGTCAAAACAAACAAAGAGCTTGATTTTTGGTTTTATGAAAACCTTGGTTTTTATGGTAATGAAGTTGGCTTATATACTACATTCAATGGTAAGATTTGGACTGGAGTGGTTTTTATCAGAGATTAAGTTATGATATTTCAATTATTGTCATGAAATATGTGCATGAGTTTTGTCACCCATGCTGGATTTTTTCCTCTTAACTTGTCTTTTCAAGTTGTTTTATTACCGTCCCCTCTTTGTAAATAGTTTGGAAATGGTTATTTATATTTAATCTTATTGTTAAACTAGACATAATAAAATAAATGTTAGATAGTTGTCACATGACAGATACTGGGCTTAAAGTGTGTGTATGGTATTATCATATATATTTTGTAATTAAAATAGTACAAGACTTGTTTCTAGAAAAATTCCAAGTTGAAGTGACAATCTGTGGTCTGTCATCTAGTCCTGTATAGTCTAATATGGCAAACAGGTTAATTTAATATATTTCAAAACTGGATTGCCACTTTGGCCTGGATTGAATTATATTAATCCTAAGAATTAGACCCACCAACAATTTGATTTTGCTATCAGTCCGTTGTGAATTTAGTTTATAAAGGGCTGTCACTTTAATATTAATATAGGCCTAATTATTCTAATTCTAAGAACTAAACCTACTAAGTATTTGATTTTGCTAGCAATCAGTGATGACCAATACATAGGTTTGTCATTATTTAACCAAACACACCTCATCAGTGTTGGTTTTTAAAAAACACACTGTTCATTAATGAAGTATACTATTGTCACCTCATAATACATGTTAGCTACCTACCATACATAGTATGGCGCTTCTACTCTATATATATCTATCTATCTATCTATATATTTATATATATAACATTCCTATTGCCGGTTTTACCACTCACGCTTTATTTATTGTTGTTTTTATTTGAATTCAGTGGTCTTAGGTGATTTACTAGGAGAAATATTACATATATACATTAAATATATATTTATTATATCAGATGTTTTGTATCTTGATATTGTTGTTATTAATATGTTTTCTGTACACTATATTATATGTATATCATCTTAAAGGGACTTTTGTGCAATTATTGACTACAACTTATTTGGAATGAGCACTGCAGACACAGTAATAATATAGGTTGTAAACATTTCTTACATCATTTAAAATGTACCGACTTCAAATCTTTTCAAAAATTGTTTTAAGCTGTATTTATGTCTGAATCTTGTATACACATGACAAATGATCAATAATTTAGAAATATTGCATTTAGTCATATTAAGTAACAGAACAATCAACATGTGAACACTACTACTGAGATTGTACTTACAACATTATTCTTTGGAAAAGAGTCACTGTTAATATATAAAAAGTTTTAAAAAAAAATACAAAGATACAGTACAACATTATTCTTTGGAAAAGAGTCACTGTTAATATATTAGAAGTTCAAAAAAAAAAAAAAAAAAAATACAAAGATACAGTATCTTCAAGCTCAAATATCCCTTTAAAAGATATTTTGTTCCCCCATTGTGTATTGTGCCATATCTTTGGGAAGTGCCTTGGATAGTTACAAATTGCTATGTTAGTTATAGGAAGATTAATAATATATTGAATGCTTTTTTTTGTTTTGATTGTATTATTAGAATATTTGCAAACTTTGAATCCCAAATTACGAATTTAGTGACTCGATTAAAGATTTTGAGAAAAATTGAAATCCCTGACATGCCAGAAAAAATTCAAATATGGTCTTAAAACGATATTCAAAAGTACCTGAATAAAACACAATTGATCAAATATAAGAATTTAGAAATAACATTAGTTTCTTTTGATTCCAGTTTTAACATTTAATTGTCTCTTTTGATTATTAATAGAACGTGCAGGTGTACTGCACCACACTTACACAATTAAAACCCATGGACAGGACACAATATATATTAATGGCATGTTGGAGATTTAATAAATTCAAGAACATTTGTTCTTATTAACAAATATTGGTGTTTTTGTCATGACATAATTTCACTCACTACCAAGCTATGGAATAATGTGTAGGATCAGTGAATAGTTTCTAAACACCATATATTTTTCATCTTCTTAAACTATCTACTTGGAACACCCTAGACGAAGTTAGTAAATGTCTCCATGTATCAATTTATATCCATGATTTCAGGGTAGTTTTATTACCTGTGAATTAAATATTATTAGTTTATTGAAATTTAATACGCATAATTAAGTAATCCAATCTTCACCTTGCCATACATTGATTGTATGGGTGAACTACACAATACACATGTAATGTAAAGAAGCTAATATAGCTTTGTGTTGTTGTAAAGAATACAAGATGACCATATATTATTAGATGAACTCCTGCTGTAGATTTCAATTATCATATCATATTGTTATTATATACATGTATATCTTGTTTTGTCCAAGTCATAATGTAACATTCCATGTCATCATAATTTATATTCATCTATTTATTTTTAGTTTAAATGTTTTTTTGTTTAAGTGCAATACTATACTAAGTTATGTTTTTTTTTGAAAATGTCATTTGAATGTGTTGTTTATTTATTTATTGATATAGTCACATACATGCTTTATAAGCAGAGAAATTTGAAACAGATTTTTATGTACCAGGTACTTTTCATGTTTTATTTAATTTCCAAAAACAAAAAAAATGTTTCTATTTAAATAATGTTTTCAGTATTTACAGTGCTATATTTTATTTATTAAATTACCCAAATATAAAATATTTTTTGAATTGGGACCATAAGTTTTTTTCTTTTTGAATATAATATCTCTTTGTGAGGGATTATTTGATGTGATTTATTATGTAATTTTTCTCTTTGATATTTTACAGCACACTGTCAGTTCTTGTGAGAAAAAATAAATACAATATTGTTGAAATTTATGGGTTTATTTTGTCATCCACATTTCATCAACTCTCAACTGAATTCTTGTTTGTCTGGTTTCCATCAAATATTCAGAAATAATAAGTTTTGGTTTTGGGCTATTAAAGAATTCTACAAATGTACTTCTAGAGTTATTTTCCAGAACTTGTAGAGAAAAAGTGAAATGTGGTTTAATGTCCACTCAACACATGGTCATATCTTTATTTCAATAATTAGCTTGTGCACAGAGGTGGGGGAGGGGGGTAACCTGGAGCCTGGAGAAAACCTACAAATTTAGTCAGATGACTCTAATCATGACAAACCGTTGGTGGAACCAGATTTTATGATGTACAGTAGATGAATTTGAGTCTCACTACCTTTCTTGCAATCTTGTTTCACAGAGAATAACTAATATCTCTGTAAAAGATGACTGCCTTCAACGAGTGGCATCAATCATTGGTTTAATGGCGCGTGCATTGTTTACATAAGTGCATTGTTTACATAAGACGTTACTGCTTCGGGCAGAATGCTGCCTGTTAAGTCATTTTAATACCCATTTACACTAAATAGCAAATCATTTTTACCTACAAATACGTCGAACGTCTTTATTTTTCTAATACATCAAAAAAATGTTTAAGAATTTGATTTGTCGGTGGAAAAAAGTTAATATTTGAGGCTCATTAAGTCGCATTGATGTCATCCTTATCAGTGATTGTAGCGGCCTAGCGAATATTCACTGCTGATCAGTGTGCCTTTCTTGATCAAATGTTTTATCGAACAGTTGATGCTTTAATAATTTTCACAACTCTGAACATTTTATAGAAATGGGGGAAATATGCTACTTTAACTGATAAGACTACTGTTGCAAGTTACACAAACAATAAATATTCAAGACAATTTGCACCAATAAGACTTAAAATATTAACATAATCAATCATCTTGAGTTATCCTTGTTACATAATATCAATAAAGCTATCCCTGTTAACACTTCAATAGTAAACGGGGGGGTTGGATGGCTGAATGGTTAGCACGTGCGTGCTGTATCATAAAGTCTGTCATTGAGTCAACTGGCGTGGTTTCGAATCCCCGGTTGTACGTGACAAGGAGTAGGATCGCCTGTCCAACTTCGTGGATTTTCTCCGGTTTCCTCCCACTGCTAAAGACCCCTACGCGCAAGCGAATTATGGAAATAAAATTGAACCATATGTTAGTCCCGAAATGACCCAGTTTGTGTCGAGTGGACGTTAAACCCCATTTCTCTCTCTCTCTCAATAGTAAACTCATTTGTAAGATGATATTATTAAATATTTTATTATTGATTCTTCATGGCATGGAAGTAGTGATATATGATTATATAAAGATGACATGATAGATCATGAAAAAGAAAATTCAATAACAGGATCATATTTACAGAAACAAAACAACATGAAATTGATAAAATAAAGTCACTTGAGTCAATGGGTGTATATATATATATGATTACTATGTGAATAGATAAAATAATGTAGATTAAAAATGAGAAAAATGTATGACTGAGCACACTTATAATTAAATACTAACAAAGACATTAGTCATTTATCTACTGTATAATTATATTTACAAATACAGATTTAAGATCAAAAACAATAGGTCTACTGGACATAACAGATATACTATAACAAAACTGAATAAAAGTCAATCTAAAACTATCATCCTTTACATATCTCGAGATCTTTCAACTGGTCATCTGTGATTTTCAACGACTGAAAAAAGAAAAGATGGCAACATTTTGAGTATAGTTTGATGCCAGTAACGTTATTTTAATAAAATGAGGATCAGTTGAAACTATACCAAAATATTTTCAGAAATAAAACCATTGAAAATTCCCTTTTCACTAATATAATGTCTTATGTTTTCTTTGGATCATCAGTTTGTCATGTGATATTATAGTTTGAAAATGTAAGATAAAGACTACATAATTCATGCTGCCTCTTTTATTGAAAACATACTTACCTTTTCATTTGCTAAATGAAGGAGACAGACAAAAGCAATTGGTACACTAAGATTTTTTGCTGTATTTGTGGAGACTTTTTCAGGTAGTTCTTGTAACAATGATTGAAAAGACCAGGTTTTACTCATCATCTGATCATTTGTAACTTCATCTACTGACTTTTCCTATAGAAAATATTTAATAAAGTATCCATTTCCTGTATATTAATAGTTAATACTTGCAGTTTATCGGATTGTTTAATTAGATATGAACACTTAGAAATAGTATGGTGCATCCATAGCACTAATTAGCCCGGGGTTTATTTAAAAAATCAAATACTTTGTACATAAGCTTACTGTCATTCCACTGGAGAAAGAATAAAATCTTAACACCGAAAATATTTCAGCATATGAAAATGTAGTAGCTACATCATTTATTTTGGGGACGAGTAGGTGCAGGACCCCATACATAGCTATTGATGTTTTACTTGTGTGTGAAATAGCTTTATTTAATGTCCACTTCCACCTAAGTGATATCACAGACTTTTATTAGAGGTCGTTTACACATTTACTGTTATGGCCATGCTATCCCAACCCCTCAAGATTTCTGTGTATTAATAGCAATTAGCTGTAAAATAGTAATAACCTTTTCTTCTGGAGCTGCTAATAGTTTCCACATTGATCCTTTCAATTTTCTAACATCTAATTTCTTTGCAGTTTTGGCATACCCAATATCTATCTTAGCAATCTGAAATTATACATAGAAATGGTGCATTAGACCTCTTTAAAGCTAGTATTTGCCAGATGAAATGAAATCCTTTTTTATGTAGCTTTTTGCTACATTGTGTACGTAAAAAGACCTGAATAGAGGCCAGTAAGCTAGTAACCAAATCCTTAAAGAAAACATTATGTAAGATTTAGATAAAGGCCTGGCCGTTCTTGCAATTATATTTCAAAAATAGAAAATGCAAAATGAATAATATTGAAAATTTCATTCAAATTACTTTATTCTGAGTGAAGATATTAGCTTTTCAGGGTTTGACAAGATGTGTGCACTGATTGTAACCACCGTACTGGTTGTTAAAAAAATGTCTAATTAATAGTTTATATAACATTTAATCCCCAAAAAGAGAGAGAGAGAAATGGGGTTTAACGTCCACTCGACACAAACTAGGTCATTTCGGGACTAACATATGGTTCAATTTTATTTGCAATTCGCTTGCGCGTAGGGGTCTTTAGCAGAGGGAGGAAAATCCCCAAAGAAAGACCTACAATAGGCAGATTTAGCTCTTGCATAAGGTATGTTTAAGTTATAGTAGTATAAATAAATGTGGATTATTATAGTTGATGCCAGTAAGCCAGTAAGCCAGTAACCAAATTCTATATGAAACACTTACACTTCCATACTTCATGTGAGTTACAGCAGTAAAAACAAACTGTATATCTATAGTTGAGAGCAATAAGCTGATATTAACTTTAACTAAGATTAAGCATAACCATTTGCTATGATAACACATACACCATACCAGATGTAAAGCTTTAGGAAATGAGCATTGTGTATTAGAGAATACATTAATAACCAATTAAACAAACCTTATATGGTTGAGCTAATAATTTATCTCCTGATAGAACTGTTCCATCAAAAATAGTATCTTGTGATAATCCGGGATTAACAGTCATCTCAGATGATTCTTGACTATAATCTCCACAAGCTGCTGTATAATCAAATCCATTGTCATCATCATCATCCTATAACAAAACCCATGACCTAATTAATTCATATTAATAAATTATATTATCAACTATTTTGATTAGGAAATAGATCAATTATCTTGAATATTTATAGAATACTTTATGCAGTTTGGATCAGCTGTCTTGTCTACAGCCTGACAAATATCATTTTTCAATCACCTTCCCTTATAAGTTGGATGCATTTGGTTAAAGTAGACTACAATATTAGCTGTGCATTATTGTTTGACGTTTTTATTTATTTGAATTTGTTCAACCTTAGCTGACTTTCTGGGATGACCAATACAGAAAACGATTCAGATTAGATCAAATGTGTTTGGAAATGTGGTCTAAGGGGAGATAATATTGCATCAAGGACATCTGGACAGAGTTAACCTCCCTTACTCTACAGGATATCATGAACTTGCACTACAATTTCAAAAATATGTATGACTTTCTTTTTCAGTGCTTTAATCCTGTATGACCAGTGAATTTTTTTTTTGAGAATTTATTCAATTTCTAATATGTAATCTTAACATCTATAGGAGATTGACAAGTTTCACAAATCTTCATCCATTAATAAAAGAAGTGCATAAAATCTTTGTCAGAAGCAGTACTGGAAGTTGAATAAATTCTCAGTTAAGCCTGAAAAAAGTTTATAATCTCCAGTCACCTACTCAATTAATAACAAAAAAAAAATAAATTGACTCACCCCTACATCAGCTGGACAGTAGTTATCTTTATCATTAACATTATCATAATCATAATTATCTACAGCATCATCTACACCTACATCACTTGCTGTCTGTCTTTTGATCTAAATAATATAAATAATAAACATTCGAAGTGCTTCCAATCAAGTGATGATATATCTATGATGACTCCTCAACAATTCTGCATTACAGTTAATACTATTCGTTTGCTGCAGGTATAAAAAAAAATGCATACCATAATTTTAGGTTTATTAAAAAGTCTAAATAATTTGTCAGCATCATAATGTTGATCTTCTGGTAAGGTTGTTTGATTTTTCTTATGTTTACTTAAAGTTGCTTTTGTTAAAGTTGTAGCTTTTGACTTCCTGAAAGGTTTCTCCAGGTCTACATCTGCATCATAATCTATGACAAAATCAGGCTTTTTTGTTTTCATGGTTTTATTCACACTCTTTGCGTCTGAAAATATTTTATTTTGTGATTAAATGATATAATTAGAATTTATGTTGGGAAATAATTTATTCTTTAGCATTAACTTTATACAATTATATTATTCATTCGAAAAACTCTTAAAGTTAGTTATCTTTTATTTTAATCGAGAAATAAAGAAAAATCTGAAAATAATAATATTCATATAAGTGAATAATTTTTTGGCAATAACATTTATGTAATCATATTATTGTGTAGAAAAGTTCTTAAAGTTTGTGTAGTTTTTATTTTATTAGAGATAAAATGAACAAGTTCATTAAAATTACCTTTAGACAGTGGTCCTAGTTTCCAGTGTGATGGTCCAGCCCATGATCTCAATAAAGTTTTATTAAAATAAGAATAATCTGAAGGTTCTGTAGCCAGTATCTGCATTAAACTTCCAACTGAACCATGCCTTTAAAATATATTATAACTGGCATTCAAATCAGTTGCTTTATTCTTAAAATGAAATTTCATAATAATTATCTATATTTTTCAGTCATAATTTAGTTGGCTTTACATCCAAAATAAGATATATCTAACACTAATAAATATAAACAGATATTTATATATTATAACAGATTCTATAATGAAATAAATCTTACGTCAAATCTCTGAACGCACTTTCTACAAGGTTAGCTGTTTTATTATCTCCTATTACGGATGACACATCCGCTTCACCTGGTGCTTCAAAACCTAACAATATAAAAAATGTACTGTATATTGAAAGAGTATACTATCCTCAAGTGTACAATTTATTCAAATTTGTTTATTTCTTTATTTATCAAATATCTCAAATATTGATTTTATGGTTTTTACTACATTTCAGCATTGGGTATAGCTGTGATTTATAACAGATTTGACTGTTTTCCATCATATAAAAAACTTCATCCTAGTATTCCTGACTTCAGTATCCTGCATTAGATAAGCACGGAAACAGTATAGGGCTGACTATTATTTCTTTTATATATGATAGTCATGGAATATAATATTAACCGTTTTCATCATCACTGTCACCAGAATATGACAAACCATGCTCTGGTATAAGATCTTCTGCTTCTGGAATAGGTTCAATCTCAGCATTTATATCAAAAGCATGCTCTGATGATGTTTTAGGTATGATAGAACTCTGCAAATATAATATTGATTTCAAATATTACAATCCAATAACCAGGAATAACACCACTCATTACAATTAGCCAAGATTGTAACAGACAAAAACTAACCAAAGATTTCAAAATTTATATGTGCCTTGTTATCATTAACAATGTGCTTTCAGTCAAAGCAATATTAGAATTTACAGTATTTTATGGTATTTTAATAACATACTGTATCTGAATCATCCCATTCGGTAAATCTAAAATGTTGAAATTGTGGACAGATTATCTTATCTTCAATATTCATTTTGGAAAGTAAATCTGAAATAATAGTAAAAAAACCCCATTCATATTAAAGTGATAACACAATTTTTCAAAACTTACATTTACATTATACTTAACCATATTTCCTTTCATCTACTTTCCTATAATTTCAATTGAATGAATGTCAATGTATAGTTTGACTGCAACTTCTATAAAGCATTAAAGTATCAACTATCATGTCTTTGTTGTCTAAAAACATGTTTGACAACAATGACATACAATTTATTGTCCTTTTTTAGTGACTCAAGGACTGTTCCACAAGTACAAAAACCAGACCCCATAAATTTTTTATTAAATCCTACAAAGGTCCAGCAAATTCCACTTTGGGGATTTCCCTGATTATCTCAAGGATAATGTGTACCAGAACAACCCTCAAACGATTGCTGAATTGATGACAGCAATCACAGCCAAAATCAGGGAAATAACCAAAAAGTAATTGACAATTTTTGTGCAAGTTATGTTTAAGTCCAGAAAATTTGCTGGACCTTTGTAGGATTTAATAAAAATTTGATCAATTTAATTTAGTCTATAGTCAATTTATCAATGTTTTTTTATGAAATAATTACTATGGATTAGTTTAGAAATGGCTGATTTTATGAACTGCTACTCAAATTAAATCAAGTTTACCAACTGCTCCTCAATATGAACTGAGCAAATAAATGCCATGTAACTAGGAAAAGTAATTTTCTACCTGGACTTTGTTTTGTTCTTTTGTTATATAAACATACCTTGAATTTCTTCTGTGTCAATTGATTGACTTTTTCTCTCTTCTAAACTTTTATCATCAATAATAGATACTTGTGTTGAAGAATCTAAAATTAATTGTTGTCCATCATCAAAACACTGTAGATTATTTAATAATAAACCACTAACACCACCTTCATCAAAAGCTGCAGATGTCACTTGAAACATAGGATCAACCTGTAAGTTAAACATTACACAAATAATTTTAATTTTTATATTTATCTCTACTTATCTGTTTATCATGCAGTTTAATCAAGCAGAGGTATATCAATAATCCCACAACTGTACTAAGCTTTTTTGGGTCCAAATTTCATTTCCAAGTTTACTCTTTATAGACCTGGATGATCTGGAAAATATTTTGAACCATTATTATCCATCCTTGTCCACATGGGATACAATTTACACAATCTAGTAATGATTTTCTTTTTCTTTTGTACACTTATTTCTTGCATGCTATTTGACTGAACTAGTGAAGTCTTGTCCCAAATATTAATTTGACAGAAAAAAGCTAGTATTGTGTCATTTTATCAAAGAAAAAGAATACAAAGTGCTCTGTGAAGATATCAGATCATAGCTTGGCCTTCTAAAAAAATAATAATTAAACTTAAGTAACCTGTGCCCCCAAAACAGTATGTAATTCTAGTGAAAAATGTTTCAGCCACTAACCAATCAAAACTGATTGAAGGTATGTCATAAAATCTATCAACCAATCAATGTAACAGAATTTATCTGGTCATACAATATAATTTACAAGGTGTATAGCAAAATAAAATAGACTTTCTTTACCTCAAATTCTAAATCAAATTTATTAACATTGATATTCTTTAAATTTATTTCAATTGTTCTACTTTTCCTCGTCTGAAACAGAAATAATCATAGTTAATACTGTTAAATGACATGTCAATCAATCTGGTTAAACTCCACAGTACATGCTGTGATAAACAACCCAGGAAGTTCTAGAAATGGTATCAAATAGCCAAATGAAATGGGGACACAATTGAAGACAGGCATACAGCCTACTCTTTATTAAATTCTGACTGCTGAGGGATCTTTAGTGAAGTCAATGTGTACATGGGACCTTGGTTTTTCATCCAATCCAAATGACCAGGCCTCATACCCGTCGCTTCAGTAAATAACCTGTCACTCTCAATTATCAAACTCAAAGACTAATCACATCACACATATCCATACATGTAGGTACACACGCACGTGGTTAGGTCTTTGACGTACATTGCTATTATATAAATATCGTAATATGAAACCTTTTTATTTCTTCGACATCAGATTGCCTAAAAGTTTTTGAAAGTCGGCGAATCTGCTTTGGCTCAGCGACTCGAAGATTCGTACAATTCTATCATCCGTATCCACGTGAATTCCGCAAAGTATCATGGTACCACACTTCCGTACTAAATCGAATACTTCACCGTTGAGTTGTAGAATTCATATTTTAAAATATCCGTAATAAATTGAATATCAAAACACAAATCACACCTGTGCATGGCACCGTATTTACATCTACCGCGTGCGAAGGACAGATAACGCCACCTGGAATCCCCTTCTCACACATCCGGACTATATTTACGCTACAAACTATATTTATATATGAAATATTTTTCCGACCTGATTTTTTGATTTTGTCAAATTGTCTTATAAATTATTCATAGCCTTTATTTATGGAGATTGTTTAAAACTTTTTAAATGATTAAATACACCAAGCAACGAGCCGTGTGCATTTCCATTCCAACCACTACGACTATATTTACTGTGGTGTCGTTACGGTAGAATTATTTCAGGTGACTTGGGGGTGCGTTTTAATTTATTTAGATATAATACTCCATAATGCTATAAACTAGCGTCAAGCAGATGAAAACAAGCGTAGATGGTGTGAAATTCCTTGATATAAAATTGTCTACTTCCAAACTGTGTGAGTAATTGTAGCCTACGACAGAGCGAAATGTAAACAGTGCAAATGGCGGTTTTCCCCGGCATTTACGTGCTTAATTCTTGCATTTAGAAACAAATAATTAAATGTACGTGATGTGGACGTGAGTATTGTGGTCAATTTACTGAACATCAAGTAAAGTAGGGGATATTTGATTTTGGGGGCATAATACTAAAATATGCAAATGACTACGAAAAAAAGTCACTATAGAACCTAACAGAAGAAACATTTCCAGTTACATGTGACGCCCAAACGCACCAATAGCTACCGCATGGAATGCAGGTGATGCTTGGGATCATCATGGGGGTCCAACCCAAGATTCGCACGACTCTGACTTTGAATGTTACAGTCATTGTGGCATTGAATTCCAGGGTGGAAACATCAGTTTAATTGTTTTAGTGACCAGAAAACAAATTTTGATATGCGTCGGCTTACCCAAAATGAAAGGTTACGTGCCCTTGGCATGCTACAGATCGGCACAACACAGGCGGTTGTGGCGCGGACGATGAATGTTTCTCAGTCTGTCATAAGCAGGCTATGATCCAGATACCGTGATACACAATCTGTACAGGACAGACCACGCTCAAGGGCGACAACTCAAGCCCAGGATTGATTTATCCGTACCTTGGCCTTGAGAAATCGTGTCATCACAGCAAATCAGATCAGCGCTCGTCTTCAAACAGACACTGGTGTGAGAGTGAATGGCCAGACGATTCGGAATCGACTGCATAGGGGTCACCTTCGCGCCCGACGTCCTCGCATGATCCCTTGTTTGAGAGATCATCACATTCAGGCAAGACGTCGTTGGTGTAGGGATCGTCAACACTGGGATAATCGACGTTGGAGCAATGTGATGTTTTCAGATGAGTCAAGGTTCACTGTTGATTTTTTGGACAGACGTAGGAGGGTGTGGCGTCGTCGAAACGAGCGCTTCCAAGACGTTAACGTCATCAGACATGATCGATTTGGGGGTGGTTCTGTAATGGTGTGGGGAGGCATCACTGTTGCTGGAAGAACGGCTTTACATGTTGTTGCAGGGCGTGTTACAGGCCAGTACTACCGGGACAACATCTTGGCAGTCCATGTTGTGCCGTTCGCACGACATCATGGGCGCCGTTTCATCTTCCAGGATGACAACGCAAGATGTCACAGGGCCAGGATCGTTACAGGTTACCTCCAACAACAGAACATCACCACATTACCTTGGCCAGCACTGAGTCCCGACCTCTCCCCCATCGAGCATGTCTGGGACATGCTTGGACAGAGGTTACGTCAACGTCAACAACGTCCTGCCAATGTCCAAGAACTTGCTGCTGCGTTGCAACAGGAATGGGACAATCTGGACCAAAATGACCTTAGACGTCTCATTAGGAGTATGCCACGTCGGATCAATGCTTGTTTGGCAAACAGAGGAGGATTTACCCGTTACTGACTTGGTTGTGATGCTGTGGTAACTTTGCTGTTTGACCCTGGGTATCATTTTACCCTTATAATGGTCAGTCTGTGCCTTACTTAGTCTAACGATCATTTGGAATAAATCGATGAATGTGAACTTCATTTCATTTTTTCATTTGTTTCTTCGTCAGTTTCATTAGGTGACTTTAATAACACTTAAAAATCAAATATCCCCTACTTTTTTTGAATAGTATAGTTTTATTTGCTACCTGTCAGACGAAAAAATCGCCTGTCCGCGACAAGTAGACAGGTGAACATTTCGAGCCATGAATGACTATAGGTTGTCCCTTGCCAGGCGCTCTGTCCTGCACCACTGATAAGGGGGAACATAGCTGGAATATCCTAATAAACTTTCCCAGCCAACACAGGGACTTCTAGATAAGCGAGCCAACATCTTACTCACTGAGCCACCATGGCTCCCTGTATCAAATAGCAGAATATATATACTGTTGTTTGTATTGATATGGAAATGGATTACCTTTCTTTTCTTTTTCGTGTTTTCATCATTATTTTGTTCATCTGGATTTTCAACCATATCATCATCTATAAAACATTATGAATATACATCATACTGTATACCAAGAACATTATAAATATGCAACATTCTGTATACCAAAAAATAATAAATTTATTAAGTTAAACTACACTCAATCAAACGGCTCACAATAGCAGACATACTCCATCACAGTTCATACCATGGTCACCGTTTTCAATCATTGTCTCAGTACAGAACTACATTTGACCTAGCTACCTACAGTTGTTGTGTAATCTCTATCACATGAGTGATATAAGCCCTACACTTAAGTAATCATTTATGGTGATTTATTATACAGCTGTTTCATTACAAATAGAATAAATATTTCCTGAGGTATAACCCAAATTCAGTTATTAATTCATTTCAACAGCGAGTAATTTCACTGACATATAAAGGACTATACAAATCGGAAGTGATTACAGAGGACTCAATGAGATAAATCAACTAAATGTTCCTCTTTCTTTCAGGAGATATGATCATTTCTCTTATTTCCAGACAGTGTTGCATACATGTATGACATTACTATCACATTAGTTTTTCTATCTGAACATATCTTCAACATCAGCTTAAACAGAGACAATAGACAAGTACTTATATATTTTTGCTTTTCATAATGCTGAAAGAACATTATCTAAAGACATCTTTCTATACAAACCATTTCTGTTTTTATCTTTTTCTGATCCTCTTCCTAAATCTGTTAATACTTTATATGTTTCAGAATGAATGAAATCTACACGGCCCGCATAAATTTTAGCACTAGCATCTAAAGTTGTACTTGCCACCTACAATGGAAAAATTACATTTTATGACAACAGAATGAGAAATTCTTTTCTACAGAAAAAAGTAAAATTATGACCCCTGATTCCGATATGTCAAACTTTCAACTAAAAACATAGTTCAAGAAATAGAGAGAAAGAACAATACCTGAAAATTCAATACCTGAAAATTTTCCAATTCCTTCTTTTTCAGTAGATCTGACATATAATCTATTAAATGAAGTCCAAAGGCATTCTTGGCATTGATTTTCTGAAAAATAATTTTCATAAAAATGAACAAACTGGGCCACATGTCTCATTTGGTTCACGATCCAAGTATTTCACAATGACAAAAGCTGTATTCTCCTACAATAATACGCAAAAAACACTTTGAACTCTATTACCGTATAAGAGCCCATACCATAAGGCATTGCATACTATGGAAGAACAACATACAACACCACCACCTTATAATATGTGGAAGTCTACTGTGCCTTTCGATGAGTGATTAAGCTTAATGAATGAAATGGCGGTTAATGTCCTATTTTACTGCACCGACTGGGCTATTGAAGACAGATTTTTTGATAAAGATAAACAAAGTTTAGACATTATAAACTATTCTTATCATGGACATCTTTTATCAGTTACTATCAAATAAACGAAGAGCGGTAATTATTGTAATGAGTGATATGGAAAATATAGAGGGCTGATATATGGAAGATTATTGATCCTATTTCCTGAAAGTAATGACCTAGTTCTGGCTCTTTTACCCCAAACAAAATTTTGAAACGGAAATCCTGTATTTATGATCTTTAAGCTTACACACACATACTGACTTACATTTTCAGTTGATAGCTGAATACAGCTAGCATAATGATCTGAAAGTTGGTTAGCTGTTAACCCATTTAACGGTGTTGACCGTCTTCTGTCTGGTGAACCAGGACTTCCACCACCACCAGCTTTTCGCTGTAATTCTAATACCCGAGATCTTCGTCTGTCTCTTCGTTCAGCAGCGTCATCATGTTCTTTAGTGAAAGCAGTCACTGGAGTAGGGATGTGTGCATGGCGGCTTGTTGATGGTGATATAAATTTTGAAACAGGAGTTGGTCTCTTAGGAGTAGGCGTAAGGTTTGAATTTAAAGGTGTAAGGGGCTCTCTACTCGACATCTTTATCTTCTTATCTGAAATATAAAACATTGAAATAATATACTCATTTTTTTGTGTTATGCCTTTCAATTTCATATTCATTATCCTGATCATTGCAATTGGCAAAATAATTCAACTGGACAACATATGAACATAAACCTCGCTTAGTGGTGGTGTGTGATTATACCTGATTAACAATCTGACCACAACGTTTGAAAATCTATTTAACCCTTCCCGTTCTGTTTCTATGAGTGTGTGTGATTATTCATATAAGGCATTTCAACTTAGATCAAGTAATTACTATACCTAGCAAGGTATTACATTTGTACTTGTTTAGTTACTTGTGTAATGTATTTCATGTTTCGTATTCTTATTTCTTAAATTATTTTTTTCTATTATGAATTGTATGCGGCCTGAAATGGGCGTTGTGATACAATAAAATCTTATCTATTCTTATGTTAATTTAGCATAGCTAGTGGGGGGGGGGGGCACATTACATAAAATTTCCATAACATACATTGATACATGACATATGGACATATATAAAGATGATGATCGTGTAACTGTAATATTATCGTTCTGGCGTATCTTAATTTTTTTGATTAAACCGGTTGTCTATTGGGCATACCTTATAAATAATGGGATTTTTTCTAATAAATATACAATATTTAGAGTTGAATCATGACAAAAATGTCAACAGAGAGTTTTGTTGACAAAAATGGTTTTCAAAGATTCCGCCTTCTACCATTTATTAACACTTCTCGTAATGTCACGCGTGATCTTGTATTAACCATTTCGTACCTTCAGAATAGATTTTAAAGGGAGATGTTTCGCTCCAAGGTCTTTTTCGTTACATTTTAAATAAATGACATTAGAAAAAGACATGTACTGATGGAGAAGGCAATTTAGGTACCGGTACACATGTTTAATCTTCTGTCCTGGAAATTCCTAACCAGCTCAACGACTGTAATTAAATAAAGTGTATTATGGCTTATCAGGTATCTTTCCACAACGGAAGGGGCGATCAGGCGCAACAAAATAGTGACAAGCGGTCATTTCAAACTTGAGTCATTGCAACAACGCTGTGCAAGGACTCAAGTCGGTCTCAAGACACTGAAAGAGTTACGTTTTGTTTATTTAATACTTTTGTACACACACCCTTCACATTAATGACACCACAGACTGGCGATATTACGAACATAAAGAGTAGGCCTAGCTACAAGTTTTGGAATCAACAATGAACAATTGAACATGATAATGGAGTCCTATTTTTTTTTTTAAGGCTTTTACCCATCATTTCACTAGAAATGAAATGAAATGGGGTTTAACGTCCTACTGTTCTGCTTCTAACCTGGGCTAATGAAGACGGCATTTCACTAGAAGAATTCGAAGTCAGAATGTCACCCAAATATGGACAAAGCGACCAATTAGAACCTTTTACTTTTATGAGTAGTTAGGAAAACTCTGATAATGTATAACCCGTAAAGGCGTAAACACTGTAGAACTGGCACAATACTAGATCTTGGCCGATCTGAAAAATATCTTTCAAGGGTTAGGGTTAGGTTTACAATTAACATGTCAAACATGCAAATTGAAGCTGTCAAAACGGTGGATTGTGGGTAAAACTATCCTGAAGGATCGTGCATGGAACTGGAGAAAGCAGATTGGCTAAGATCCATTTTCTGTTTGGCAAGATTTTTGAATGAAAAAAAAAAATACCATTAAATATTTATTGGATCTAATCTAGCCCCAAATTTAAAGTACCGGTAGCTAAATCTCTAACTCATTGAAAACGCGAATTATTTGTCAATTTAAATCAACATTGATGTGTGATCTTACAGGGAAAAGATGGGCTTCTGACAGTTCTGATATCCAATATTTAAGACAAAATAAACATTTTACCATTGGTACACGAACTGTGTACCATAATGCGTTTCAGCGCCATTTGTAACAAGGGACTCGAAGAACGAGGCTAGACATATTCCACAAGTCATGTCAAACGGTGACATCATATTCTTATCTGGAGAGCATGCACAATAAATAATATCGGTGTAGACTGGAATAACCCGATGCTAGAGATTGCCATTCGATTGAGACTTCTGTCGTATCTCGCCGAATATAGCTGATTTGAAATTAGAGTAAAAACAGAAACAATTGAATGTAAATCAGTTTATATATATTCATATTACGGTACCGGTACATTATTAGATGTGTTGCGACCCATTTGTTTCTATTTCTAGGTCCCAAATATTAGCGATTTAGCTCCTTTAAAAATAATATAGGCTTATATGTAGGTTGGGATTAAGTTAGCAGCCAATGTGACAATCAGGTCAAATTCTGAAATTTGAGAAAAGATATAGGCCTACTTGTAGATGTTTTGCTGTTAGGATGGTGCATTGTTTTTTAGTTGGCCATACCTAATAATAATATAGATCTCCTTTATAAGGAATAAAGTGATTTTAAAAAAAGACTTTAATTAAGCCATCTATATTATAATTTTTATTTTTCAGATGAGTTCTGCCTTGAAAGAAAGATTGAAAAGATGTGGAAGATACCATATATCTACACCATCTCCAAAGCGAATATGTGGAAAATCTGTGCACCAATTAGAAAATGAAGAATGTACAGCTACAAGTGATAATTTATCCTCTGTTAAATGCCTTTCATCATCTGTAGATATTGTGAAAAAACAAATCACTCCTAGTCGTTTTACATCACCTCTTCCAAATATTCAAACTCTAAATGTTGTTACATCTTCAACATCTTGTTCTGTAAAGCTTTCTAGTCCTCTATCAAGCAGTTTTACATCACCTCTTCCAAATAATCGAACACCAAATGTTCCCTCTTTAATATCTTGTTCAGGAAAGCTTTCTAGTCGAAACACACCTTTACCTAAAAAAAATTACACACCCGTTCTTAAGTGCAGGAAATTAGATCTTATAAGTAATAATATCAATTCAAGTGTGATTAAAGAATCTACTATAGGTGATATTGTTAAAAATGATGTCATTTCTTTGCAAAAACAATTAAAAGATTTACAAAAAGAATTACAGGAGAAGGAAGAAAATCTAAGAAAATTAGAAATGGTTAAAATGTATAGGAAAAAGGTTTGCTTGATCTTTGTTTCTGTTTATACTTTAGTTGCTATATTTAACTGTTTTAAAAAATGCCTTATTTTTTTCAATCATTATGCTTCAGTTTGGGTATGTACTACAACTGTGAGATGACTTGTCGATGGGGCTCAAATACCTAACAGCCAGATTAACTTTGACATTTTGGATTGTCTGTTCTGTATTTATGTACTGTTTGTTCCATGTTTAATTGAGCAGTTGGGCAGATTATGATTTTATTATAGTTTACAAAACAATATATAATTTCATGATTTGTATTTATATTTTTCAGAATGATTTGACACATCTAACTAAACTCATAACAAAATGGCGACAAGTTTCTCAAGATGCCTTACAAGATTTCCAATCAATGTTACCAGCTCCTCAACCAACAATGGCAGAAGTAATACAGCATCTACAGATTGATCCTCAACTCATAAACTTTAATTCAGAAGAAGATACCTTTGATTAATAATGATTTGTGATGTGAATGTGATGTATTAAGGGATGTTATTATTTGTTATTTAAAAGTTACAAACTGATTGGAACAACTTTCAACTGGCCAGGAACCAAACATATCAGTATTAGAAACACATTGTTATCAACATGATACATCAATTTATAATCGTCTTAAATTAATACTACTGCACTGGTCTGAAACTAAATTAAAGTACTGAACTGGTATTGTGTTGATGTTAAATCCCATTCCTTTCCTCTCTATAGGCCAATAATGTGATTAATTATTACAGATACATTATGTAAGATTTAGATAAAGAGCTAGCCATTCTTGCTATAATATTTCCAAAATAGATAATGCAAAATGAATTGAAAATTTCATTTAAATTACTCTGTTGGGAACAAAGATATTAGCCTTTGAAGGTTTGACAAGATGTGTGCGTTTATTGCAACCACTGTACTGGTTGTTCGAAGCTTAGCCTCGCAGGCCCTCGCTCTCTCCATTTTGAAATTAAATTAAAATATGGCTGGACCGATCTAATCTACTTAATATCAGAGATATCTGATGGCATCGAGAGTTGATTATTGTCTTGTCATGTTAATAAATGTCTAACTAATAGTTTATATAACATTTCAGGCCTAAAGAAAGTCCTGCAATAGGCAGATTTAGCTCTTGTATGATGTATATTTAAGTATTCAAAAAAATATTAATAAAAAGACATTAATATTAAAAAAGATAATTTAAGATTGAATAAGGTGTGTCGGTCTTTGTATGTATAGGTGTATATATAGATCAGATTAATTGGAGATGTGATTGTTGTTGGGTATTTGAAGAACCGTCAGAAATTGTGCTATGGCAAAATTCTATTGGTTCCCATTGCATACATAATCTTAATTAAAATCTCCATGTGTTAGTCTCAAAGTGACTGAAGTATAGTCTTGAAGAGACATTAATCCTTGTTCCATTCTTGTCAGAGATAACTGTCAATAATATATACTGAGCGCCATGGAAAACGGATCACTTAAAGTTTCGTATAACAAAATGATCCTGTAAACATATCTTATTTATTTTGCTTCTTATTGTGAACAATATTCAAATGGGAACACATCAATAACAACACATTTGTACACTTATGGATGTTTAATCTGTAATCAACGGTACAAAGTCAGTGGGGTCAAAACCAAAAGTACGACACAGATGTCAGTAGCGTGTGTGTCCTCCATGGGCTCTTACGCACACTGTGCAGCGACGTCGCATGGAATTAACCAATGTTTGAAAGAAGGCCAGGGGCAAATTGTTCCGTTCTTGGACAAGAGCAGCTTCTAAAGCAGCAATGGTGTGCATCTGTGGTCTCCGATACAGACGGCGTCCAATCTCATCCCAGACATGTTCGGAGACATGGCTGGCCAGTCCAAGACATTGATGTTGTTAGCAGCCAGGTAGTCCATACTAAAACGGGCGGTATGCGGACGTGCATTATCCTATTTGAAGTGCTGAAGTTGTGGGTGCGCTCGAAACATAGGAACAACAATTGGTTGCAAGACATCATCACGGTAGGCTACAGCATTAACGCGACCCCTGCAAATGTGTAGGGCGGTCCGGTGATGAAATGTGAAGCCTCCCCACACCATTACACTTCCCCCACCCCATCGATTCGTTTCGAAGACGCAGCAGTCTGCAAGACGTTCCCCAAGACGTCTCCACACACGTTGACGGCCATCAGCGTGATAAAGATGAAAGCGACTCTCATCACTGAAGAGCACACTTTGCCAGTCTACTCTTCTCCATGTCTGGTGTCCTTGAGCCCATATCAAATGCCACTGACGGTGATGATCCCAGAGGATAGCTCCAACATTAGGTCGTCTTGCACGGAGTCCTACTTCTCTTAGACGACGTCTGACGGTGTTGGCACTTACTGGTCCTTGTCTTCCGACGACTGCTGCACCTGTTCGAGTCACTGGGCGGAATCGGTCACGCAGATGAGTGACCTGGATGTAGCGGTCTTGAGCCTGGGTTGTAACGCGTTGTGGACCAGGACGTTGACGGTCACGTGTTGATCCAGTAACTCGAACACGTTCCACCAACCTTACAATAGTGGACTGATGACAATTGAAGTGTCTGGCAATAGCATGTGTAGACATGCCAGCACGGGACATTCCCATGGCTTCAGTCTACTCTTCTCCATGTCTGGTGTCCTTGAGCCCATATCAAATGCCGCTGACGGTGATGATCCCAGAGGATAGCTCCAACATAAGGTCGTCGTGCACGGAGTCCTACTTCTCTTAGATGACTAGACGACGTCTTACGGTGTTGGCACTTACTGGTCCTTGTCTTCCGACGACTGCTGCACCTGTTTGAGTCGCTGGGCGGAATCGGTCACGCAGATGAGTGACCCGGATGTAGCGGTCTTGAGTCTGGGTTGTAACGCGTTGTGGACCAGGACGTTGGCGGTCACGTGTTGATCCAGTAACTCGAACACGTTCCACCAACCTTACAATAGTGGACTGATGACAATTGAAGTGTCTGGCAATAGCATGTGTAGACATGCCAGCCCGGGACATTCCCATGGCTTCAGTCCGTTGATTTTCAGTAAGTCTCGGTATCTCTAGCTCGATTCTTTCACACGACAGTATGACGTTTCACATTTCATGTACTGCACATTAATTTGAAAACATGCTTTTAAAGGGCTCACACACAATGCTGCACGTGAATATTGGGTTTTTCATGTGCATCTCGTGCAATTCTTTTTTGTGCACACCTGCTGATATTTTTTGCGTTTGGTAGCATTGTGTGAAACAATAGTTCATAGTATTGCATAATATTATACATACAAAACCACCTAGTAATAAAATATTTGGGAAAAAAAGTGATGTGTTCTCCATGGCGCTCAGTATATTTTGATACATCCACAGTTGACATACATGTACCTAAAAACAAACCATTCTATCAATCAGTGCGTGCAGCTGACTGAACAATCAATAAGAATCTCAACCAGGCTGATAAATAATTTTATTACAGAAATAAACAAGATACAGTTAACAAAATTCAATTAAACTGAATGAAATGAGGTTTAACATCTTACTTTTCTGCACCAATCAGGTTTATGTAGGTGGGATAGACCATGCAGTATGCTATACATGAAAACTTTTGTTCTTCAAGGGATATTTACGTGCACGCCAAAGTACACTGGTTGACCTCAGTCTTCATTCAATCTAATCTAAATGTCTAGATTCTAGACACTTGAACCTTGAACGTCTGATACAGTGTTTAAGGTCTTGAGACGAACAAGTATATTGAAACTTTATGACTTGAACAGCTAAATCCATGATGTTAAAAGTTTCCTATACTAAATGTTAGCATGGGGCAGAACTTTATAAAAACCAAAAAAATTCTAATGGTTTATATTCTGATAATTACTTAATGAGTTGTTACTCTTAATCAGATTTTAATGTATTATAAATGTTTCATTACTGAAAAAAGTAAAAATATGCGACAACTCTTTAGTTGACTGCTCGGACGATATAGCTGCTGTGGGCGTATGTTTCGTTGCCTGGCAACCTAACTTTACCATCACCAGCGAGATTTTGAAGATATTTCAATTTGACTTTTCTAATCATGACTTATAAATTATTGCGACATCTTTTAAATTCTGTTTCATTAATTTTAATATTTCATTTGTTAGCCATTGTAGTTTTACAATTGTTTCAACCACTCTAGTTCTTATGGGGGCGTGTTAATTAATTATTGGGCAATAATTGTGGCTTCCTCAATTAAAAGGACACATACTGTGTCAAATTAATTAATTCCGACATTGATTTGTGCTTCAGTTTGAAAAATAACCTGAAATTATTTGACAAATTTAAAATTTACTCCAATGAAATCAGAATTTAATGGTACCTATAACTTGCTCCATATAATATAACAAATAAAAATACATCAAATATTCATGCTTTTAATTTTTAACTCTTCATTTAATAACTCCCCCTGAAATATCCCTGACGAGCGGCGGCGCCAGCCGTCGGTGATTGGAGGGGCAAAGCTGGGGCAAAGTCCAAGGTTAAGGGGGCAAAGGCACGAGCTTCAACTAATGGTAGGGGGCCTCCCCCAGAAAATTTTGAAAAACAGGTTGCCGGAAATGCAGCCTGGCAGTATTTCAGGCACTGATCGATGAGGTAAAGTGTCAAACGAACGGACTTGCGAATCACGACGAAGCCCACTCAAGAGCGTCAAAGTAGGGAGTCCTCTCCCAGAAAATTTTGAAAAATAGACTGCCGGAATTGCTGTCTTACAGTATTCTGTCCGGCACCGATCGTCGAGATAAATAGTTAAAATAGATCTGACCAGATACCATCCGTCGCCTGATCACTAGTTTATCCGACTAGAGAACAGAATGTCAAACGAACGGACTTGCGAACCTCAACGAATTCCCCTTGTGAGCGCCAAAGTAGCGAGTCCATTGGGGACCTCGCGAAGAAAATTTTGAAAATTAGACTGTCGGAAATGCTCTACAACATGCAAGTTTATGACTGAGTGGGGATGTGGGATTTATTCGCCGTAGAAGGTATTGATTACCGAAACGTATCACAAATACTTTTTTTTATTTTCTAAAATTATTGGGGGGGGGGGGGGCAAACAGAGGGCAGACCAGATTAATGGGGGGGGTAAATCCCCCCCCCCCCCTTGCCCCCCCCCCCCCTGGCGGCGCCACTGTCCCTGAACCAGGCTAAAACATTATCACTTTACAAGGGGGTAGGAATTTAGAAGATTGAAAACTGGTAGATCACTGGAGATTCTAGTTAATTAAGATATCTTGAGAAAACATAATCGTCTCCTTGCTTTATGTTTTTCTGCCGAAACATCCCACTAAGTCACGAAATATCATCTTACCCGATCACCCAAACCAGGCGTCTGGTGATTCGAGAAAACAACATGGCTTCTGAAAAATAGGATTATTTTTATGTAGTTAATGTAGGCTACTTCCTTGTGTTTATAATAATGAGCGAAGCAGACACTACCAGTCAAGCACAACCTGCCAAACGACCTTAATTTTAGGTTTCGGCGTATGCACATGTATGTAATTTTTGTATTATTCAACTAGGAGAATAAATAACAGATCTACTCGTCTCCCAGTCTAAAATTAAAAATAAGCTAAAGTAAATACAGTAGGGCCTATTATAGGCCTAATTAACTTTCAACTTATATTTATATGCATATTACTTTCACTAAGGACAGTATACAAAACATACACATACATCAAAATACATGCATACAAAAATAGATTTGACATGGAATAATACATTGCGATATGAGAGTATATATAATGAATATTCATATTCGAACGTTACATATTTACTGAGATGATAAAATGAAAATAATATAATGCAATATATCATTGAGATGATAAAATGAAAATATAATCAGATAAATCATTGAGAAATATCATTGAGAAATGAAAATATAATACGCTATATCATCGAGATGGTAAAATGAAAATATAAAGTGATATATATCATTGAGATGATAAAATGAAAATATAGATACGGTACATCATCATTGAGATGGTAAAATGAAAATATATTGAGATATAACATTAAGATGATAAAATGAAGATATAATGAGATATAACATGAAATGATAATTATGACTGCGTCTGCAAGCCTATGCTAATACTATTAGTACTAAGAAGTAGGCTTACTACAAACATTGAAATTGCATTATTGGTGATACAGCAGTTTGGTTTCTTCAAATCATATGATTGTGCGGTAATGCTTCACCTTTATTTCAATGGGAATTGGTTTATTATATGTTAAGCTGTATGCAGTACAGTTTGAGGTCGGTTTATTTGGATTAAAAAACTTGCTCAAAGGAACTGCTTAGAACGATCCACTAATGTGGCTGGAGTAAGACGGAAGACATCAGTTGTGGAACCATTTCTAATCATAACATATGTATAGTTAGGTGCCAATGATCCCTGGACCAACAAAACGTCCTAGGAAAGTCTGTGTTAACTATACAAATACATAGCCAGTCAGCAAATTCAGTGGGTTAGGAAAAATAACTACGGAGAAAAAAATATAAATGAAACATATACCAGTATTTTTTGTACATGTACATGTATTGGTACTTTTTATAAAATAAGTGTTTTAATAATCTGCATTTGTGTTAAGTCACAGTTAAAGGAGAGAGATGGGATTTAATGTCCACTCTAACATATGGTTCAATTTTATTTCAATACTTTGCTTACGCACAGGGGTCTTTAGTAGTGGGAGGAAACTGGAGGACCTGGAGAAAACAAACAAGGTTGGAGACGCGACCCTACTCCTTGTCATGTGAAATCAGGGAATCGAAACCATGCCATTTGACTCAATGACAGACGTTATGATACAATGTGCATGCACTAACCATTTGGCCATCGAACCCCCAAAGAAATTGTAGAATATATTGTACATAGGTGCAGGTTAAAGGCCTACCACTATATTATGGTACATGTTTCATGTGTAAAAGCATATTATAGTTCTCTATTTTGAAGTTGGATTCTTGCCAAAACTGTTTCAAATGCTTTTTGGTGTAAAATACAATACGCCTGGCAAGAAGGAACTAGTTATTTTTGCCAGAACCAAGTGTTGGGTTTTATTTAATATAAACTTTAGACATCTGCTTCAGTGATCTGTTCAAAGTTAAAAATAGGCTTATGGTATTAACTTAAGGATTATGTACTTTGACAAGTTTGATTTAGAATCCTAATAAATTTATTGTTGTATTTATTTATCTATGGAAATAGGAATATACAAGATATTACACATACACGTTTATCAGATTTTAATTTTTGTAATTTTTACAACCCAAAATTGGATTTGATTTCTCAATTTCATGTTCAATCAAAAACATCACTTGAAAAATTTCCACTGAAAAATTGGATTCTAATGAAACGATAAAATGTCAGTGAATTTAATTCAAAATAATTAATATGCCTTAGTATTATTCAATAATGCATAAGCTTATTTTATTTTTTTCATTTCTTCAGTGTTTTTGTTTTGGAGTTGAAATACATATAGAAGTTGTAATCATCAAAGGTCCCACAATCATGTAACCAGAATGCCATATGAAGATAAATTAGGACGTGTATGTGGGTTTTTAAATTTTGAAGAAATAGAAAGCAGTGGCAGTTTTATTCGGAGATATTTTATCTTAGATCATGCCAATGGCAGACTGTTCTATTACATGGATAACCCAATTGTAAGTATTTTGTTATGATTTTTGCTTAGTTTTCATTGAAAAGAATAATATGCATGTAGATAAGACTGAATTTCTAAAAATATGTCCAAAATCAACATGTGAAAAATAAGAACAGCTTCAACTAACTGTCCATGACTCAAAAATCAATCCTAATACAAACGCGAAAAAATCTTGGTGTTGTATTTAATTTAGAAACACATGTGAGTAATGTTTGCAGAACTGCTTACTTTAAAATAAGAATATCTGCCAAATTAGAAAATATATTGATACAGGCTCCAAGAATAGTTTGAATTTGGCATTTGTGATATCTAGATTGGACTACTGTAATATTCTCCTTTACGTAAATCTCCAAGAACTTGATCACCTACAACGTGTACAGAACACTGCCGCCAGACTTATCACTCCCACAAATATCGTTGAACATTTTACTCTAATTCTTCAGAGCTTACATTGCCTTTCAATATGTGCTCAAATCAATTTCAAATTATTAACTTTTGTTTTCAAGACAATCCGCAATCTTGGCCCAGTTTGCCTTCAAGATCTGTTCTCATTTTATCTCCTTTTCTTTGAAAATTTTTCTTGTCAGACATTTTTACCAAAAATAAAGGGGCATAACCCTTATCGTTATTTAAACAGGCAGATTCCGATCACAATGAAAAATCGTGTGTCAACAAAATATCCAAATTTGTATGTAATAAAAATAAGTGCACATCGTTACTTTCCTTATTTAATTCCCGTACTGTATTCAAATTTATGTCAGTAATATTCCTACAAAATTAGGTGTTGTTGTAATACAATGGAATGAAAGCATGCCGATTACTACCGATCCGTACCTGTTTCAAAGTCACACCAGTAATATTCCTCCAAAATTACCGTAATTTTTGGGGTATAACTGACATAAGTCCATCCTGCTATTCTGAGATGTGTAGTTTTATGGAACAGACTTTCTCTAGACATCTAGGGGTCCGAAACATTGAACACTTTTAAGAGCTCTTGAACAGTTTACTGGAAAGAATTGTGCTCTACATATTCATAATTTCATTATTGTCCGCCGCCTTTCGAAAAAAGCAGGGGACTATTAAAATTGGTTTGTCTGTCTGTCTGTCCATCCGTCTGTCTATCTGTCTGTCACACTTTTTGGGACACAATAACTCTCCTTCTAATTGAGCTACAATGTTCAAACTTGGTGTAGGTGTTTATTAGGTCAATGCCTTGATGGTGTTCAAAGATGAGCATTTTCTGCTTAAGGTAAACAGAGATAAGCAATTTGATTGGTTGATGCTTTGGGACACGATAACTTTAATTCTAATTAAGTGAGAGTGATCAAAATTGTAGTTTCATTACATCAATACCTTGACTAAGTTCGATAATGAGCATTTTCAGCTCAGGATAAGCAGAGCCATAAGCAATTTGATTGGAAGATACTTTGGAACTCCATAACTCTCCTTCATCTTGAGGTAGAATGTTCAAACTTGGTGTAGTTGTTGATTAGGTCAGTGCCTTGATGGTGTTCAAAGATGAGCATTTTCTTCGTAGGGTAAGCACAGATAAGCAATTTGGTTGATGCTTTGGGACAGGATAACTTTAGTTCTAATTAAGTGAGAGTGATGAAATTTGGTGTATAGTTTTATTACATCAATACCTTGACTAAGTTCGATAATGAGCATTTTCTGCTCTGGGTAAGCAGAGCGATAAGCAATTTGATTGGTCGAGACTTTAGAACACAATAACTCTCATTCTAATTGAGCAAGAATGTTCACACTTGGTGTAGGTGTTTATTAGATGAATGCCTTGATGGAGTTCGAAGATGAGAATTGTCTGCTTAGGGTAAGCAGAGATAAGCAATTTGATTGGTTGATGCTTTGGGACACGACTTTAGTTCTATTTAAGTGAGAGTGAGGACAATTGGTGTATAGTTTTATCAAAGTTCGATGATGAGAATTTTTTGCTTAGGCTAAGGAGCGATAAGCAATTTGATTGGTCAAGACTTTGGAACATAACAACTCTGCTTTTAATTGAGGTAGAGTGTTTAAACTTGATGTAGATGTTCATTAGGTGAATGTCTTGACTGAGTTCAATGATTAACATTTCGAGCTAAAGCTAAGCATTAGTTGATGCTTTAGGACAAAATAACTTTGATTCTATCTGATAGAGAGTGATGAAACTTAGTGTATAGTTGATAATCAGTTTGATTGCTTGATACTTTTGAAAAAAATAAATGTTTGATTAATTAATATATGTCATCTAATTATTTTGGGATTTGGCTTGTTTATTATTATGAACTATATGTTTATTGGTATGTTAACATATACATAACACTGCGCAGTATATCAAATTTTGTTATTTTTAACACTTAAACTAAATTCTCAGAACATCATCAGTGTAACTGATTTCCACCAAAGAAGATTTCTTTGTGTTGACAATATAAGGTCATAATTGAAATAATCATCAGTTATTATTCTATTCATATCAAGCAAGATGAAACTGTAAAAGTTAAAGTATTTATTGTACAACTTTTATAAATCAGTTTGATGTCATGATTGGCGTTTCAAATTAGGACTGTATTGATTATTAAAATGCTATTCTTTCAGAACTTACCACCAGCATGGCAGAATCCAAAAGGAGAAATATATTTACAGTATGTAGCTATGGTAGGTTTCATTCTCTCAGGTTCTATTTGTTTGCAGATTTAAACTTTAAATTAAATACCTTTAACAAGAACAATTAACAATTCATAAAATATTTAAAAAATATTCATTTGTGAGGTACAGTACAAGTAAAGCAAATTTAAACTGGATTTGTTTTGAATTTGTCATGACTATAGTCAAATTATTATTACTAACCAGAATTGGTCAGCTTATTTGTAATTTTGTAGATTGTTTATTTTATGCATATGTTGGTTATTTGATTTATAACCATTCTGTATTACTTTATAGTTGTTGTTTGTGAGATATCATTGTGTTTTATGACTGGTATTTCAGGTCAGTGATGCACGGAAGTTGAGACCAAAAATTCCCTTCTGTTTTGGTATGGACATTTATTCAAAGATTATTACATTTATGTTGCATTGAAATTGTCAAAGTTTTCTTTTTCGCTTCCGTGTATAGTGGTTTTAGAATAAGAGGATCTCATAATCTGATCTTCCATGATTTTCTCCAAATTTTATAAAACAGACAGTCAATTGATTTGCCATGAATCTTGTGCCAGTATTTAGTAAATAAAACCAACCCCATTTTCACGAACAAGTTAGTGGAACTTCAAAAACAACTTAGAGTATTAAAATTAAATCTGTATTTTTATAAGATTAAGAGTTAATGTTATTTATTACAGATTACAGACCGAATTATAATATATTGTTATGGTTATTTTATAGTTATTAATTATGAAGGTAGAAGATATTATTTAGAGGCTGAAGATGAAAAAGATTTATTTGAATGGATAGAAGCTTTGAATAATGCCTGCAAAATTACTGTAAGTTACACTTCTAAATTACCCCACGCAAATGGCTTAAAAGTGACTTATTGTCATAATCAAGGTTGTGATATGACAATAACAAAACTAACAATGGCATTATTTCTTCTCTGTAATAGATGTTTTTCATGAGTTTCATATGCCAGAATAAGTTTTAAAATTTATTTGTAATGCCATAATGTTTTATTTTATTATTTCTTTACATATATATGACGTTGAAATCATGTGAAAAATCAAGCCAAACACATCATCTCTTAAATTCTGTATTGACTAACGCCACTTTCTCAGATTTCTTATAATTTAATAGATCCCATATAGCCAAGTTTCTAAAACCTTGTCCCGTAGTGTCACCAATGTGATTGTGAGTCCAACTGCCTAAACTCATAGGTTTTCTCCAGGTCCTCTCACTGTTAATATTCCATGTATTATGATTGTTATGTATGCTAACGTGTGTTTTCTTATTAGGTTCCTAAATCAGCATTACAAGATGGTGCTATGGAATGGTGTGCTGGTGATTTAAGTCAGACTAGTTATACAACAGAAATAGCTGGTGGTGTTGTGTGTAAATTACCAGTTCAAGAACAGGTACGGGTAAATGTATATATATATATTTCTTTTCCAGTAAGAATTTAGAATTGTAAATATTTATGAATACATTTGTAGAATTTTGACTGCACTCTGACTTACAGGTATATAGTTTTTATATGCCAACATGGAAATGTGATCATATATTTTCGTTGGTCGGTCTGTCAGTCCGTCCATAGGTCCGCACCTCCCTCCATCCGTCCGTCATCCATAATTTCTGTGAACACTCTACAGACTACATTTATCATCAGATGCTGTTTACATTAGTAAGATGAAGAAGCCTTTTTAATTTCAATATTTTCCATTATTTCTTCTGGAGTTATGACCCTTGTTTTACTTTGGTGCTCCTTGTGAACGACAAAAGTTATCAGCTGATCTGTACGAAACCTATATGCATCATTTAAATTAGCGAAACGAAGCATTTTATTGAATTTCAGCAATTTCCGTTAATTATTTCTAGAGATATGGCATTTGTTTCACTTTGTTGAACCTTTTGAACGCTCAAACCACAAAAGTTATCATCCAATCTGTATGAAATTGTATACATCATCTGAATTAGTGAAACAAAGAAGCCTATTGACTTTCAGCAATCTCTGTTAATTACTTCAAGAGTTATGACCCTTGTTTTACTTGTTGAACCTTGCAAACGCTTGAGTGACAAAAGTTACAATCCGATCTGTCTGAAATTTATACACATCATTTAAATTAGTGAAAGTAAGAATCAACATTAAATTAACTTAATTACTGACCTAAATCAAAAAAAGGTTATCTCCTTTAAATTGTAGGGGATCACGTGGCTAAGTGGGTAAGACGCTGGCTCGCTAGCCTGGAGGTCGGGTGTTCGATCCCTGCATTGGCAGAGAAAGTTCATCCAGATTTTCCGGCGTGGTTCCCCCTTGTCAGTGATGCAGGACGGAGGGCCTGACAAGGACAGCTGTCTAGTCCTTCGGATGACATGAAAAACCGAGGTCCCGTGTATACATTGGAATGCACGTAAAAAGATCCCTTGGCAGTTGGAATTCGATATAAGAGTAGGCCATAGTGCCGCTGCCCGGGCAAAATTTCCCTCATAGCACACTGTATGGCGTATGCCCGTCTTCATTAGCCCAGCATAGGACCAGAACAGTAGGACTTTAAACCCCATTTCATTTCATTTCCTTTAAATTGTATTTTGATTCATTTTGTGTTGATGTCAAATTCTGAAACATTGACTAGGAATGCAGACTAATAGTGTTTCCACCAGACTAGCTTAGCTTTCCAAATAGTTTTGAACTTTAATATTGTGAAATAAAAATTATATTTTATATCTTGCAGCCAGTAGAGTATGAATCAGATTCTAGTAATGATGAAGAAACTTTGTCTTCTGGTAAAATCTCCCCTTCCAGCTCTATGAGTAAACATTCGGGCTCAAGTACCAAAGAAAACAGTATTACATTTAATTGTGAGGTTATCAGGGAAGATTCTACTAAGCACAGTTTTATTGGTTTAAAATGTGGTTATTGTGTAAAACAAGGAGCTGTGGTAAGTATTGGTTGAGGGGGTAGAAGATATAACTTGTAGACAAACATCAATGCCATCTGCACATGTTTATTTAGCCTGCTGCAATCTGATTCTGAAAAGTTCTAGTGAATCAATTTTGATTTTAAAAAATCTGATTGTATGTAACAATAGCATTACATGTAGTGAAAATCATTGCTGTACATGAATATTTAACTCAACTTGTTTCTTTTTCATTACAGAGAAGAAGTTGGAAAAGACGATTTTTTATACTTCATGAAGAAGGGTTGTCATATTTTCGTACAGAACATGTAAGATTTATATTTATATGATCCATGTTATACTTAACAAAAGATTAAAATACAAGTTTTTTTCCTGCAAGAATATTTTGATTTAGAGTAACAATTATGTATGAAAACTGAACAAAAAGGTGTATATTTCCTACCAGATTGCTAGCTGTACCACTTATAGTTCTAATTATTGTATATAAATTTCTACTTTAATTCTAACAGGATAAAACGCCAATTCGAACAATTCCTACATCATGTATTTTAGAAGCAAGAGAACATGACAATTCTGGGTAAGTGATATATATATATATATATATATATATATATATATATATATATATATATATGTAGAAGTAGTCAGAAGATTCCATTAGAAGTAGATAATATAAGTAAAATAAAGTGAATGCGTCAATTCTAGATGATTATTTTATTGCTGACATGTTTCAAAAAGAAACAATAGTGTGACGTAATTACGTCATTATAATAGTGTGATGTAACGGTCTTGTTTGGTGCTTAAAATTCATATCTAGTACCAATTTATGAAGCATATGTTATTGAGTTTTTATTATTGCATAAGCAGTATTGAGATGTCAGTTATTTGGGACAAACTGTTTAAGTCAAAGTTGACATATTTTGCAAAACCAACAACCACAAGTACAGGCTGCAATTCCCAATGTCCACATGTGTGACAACAGCACAGATATCACATGACGCTTGTTCAACATTGGCCTTTAAGATAGTAGAGCACAGTTTCTGGATCTATGCTGCCTTATTTCTTACCATAGACTGCAGTAGGCCTTTAAACTAGATCAAATAATGCCTGTTTCTCTATTACAGATCCCATTCTACAAGCAGAGATAATTTATTTGAACTTATAACTTCCAGAAGAATATTTTATATACAGGTAAGGCTTTATTACAAACCAAATCATAAGCAAGATTTTAGTCATAATAGATTGGTAAACAAACAAAAAACATATATTTTTGACCTGTCATTTCAATAATTAGAATCGAGATAATAAAAACCTAAAAATAATTTACAATGTTTGTTTTTGGGGGGTTTTTTTTGCTCCAATCACTGTAATGGACATTATTTATGGTAATTATTTATAGTGTGACACTCCGCAAGAAGTACAAAGCTGGATAGATGCAATAAAAAATTTATTAAAGATGAGAAAATGTGAGGAAAGAAAGGTAAGTAATTCATTTAATTTCTATCTTATTATCCCTTGCTATTTTAATCTTTATGTTGACGTTTTTTATGTCTGATATTAACTGAATACTATGAGTAAAGGCACAACAATTTTGTTGGTATTTATACTTTCTTGAATTTCATGCTTATATTATATAGAATATCAAAATATAATATTACTCTGTTAAACTAGTGATAAAAATTTCTCCTTATTTGTTTCAGTCAATGCAACATCCAAGTAGTACAAGCTATGAGGAAGGTTGTGGTCAGAAGAAAGTTTGGGTATGAGTAGACTTTGTACAGCATGCAGCATGTGACATCTCTTCTGCACGTTGTATTAACTTGTGTTTGATTGTGCATCTGTTCCAATAACAATTTACATATTGTATTAACAGATGTTAAAACAAAGCATGATTTTTTTTTTCCCTATATTCGTGTTCTGTGAATCATACGTTCGTTCGTTATAAACATTATGTTTATCGTATTTGTTTTAGAAGTTGTTTAACAACGTTATTATATAATGCTTTTTATTTCATCACATTTTTTTTATATTATCCATTGCATATCAAAGGTTTTGTGTTCTATATATTCACCAGTAATAATTCTGTTTTCTTCAAAAGTCAAACCTGAAAAATACTCGTAGTTAAAGTTAGTACATATGGGTGTAGGTGGTTATACTATGTTTCAATCATGTATTAAAGTCATATTGGCTTCTCTATTTTTCATGCTTTAAATGCTGAATACTAGGATTCAGATTGCATTAAGTAATCTGTTTATGTACCAACCTGTTATTAAAAATCGAAAGTTAGGTAAATTCAGAAAGATTAAGCAGAAACAAACAAGGTGTAAATTGGGTTTCACAGGCTGTTAAATATCATGATTTAAATCTGAGTGATTAATTTTAAGAAAAAACTTTCAATATTTGTTTTAGATTAAATATTAAATTACATATTTATTAAATTACATATTAACTTCACAGTAACCATTAATAACTAAACTTTTGGGGATCTTGCTAAACACTGTCTTTTAAACCCCCGAATTATAGTGTTAAGAAAAGAAAAATTCCTAAGCAGCTTTCAGTTTGTTATTGGCCGATGCTATATTCAAATTATGTACTACATTGTATGTATTTTGTTCGAAGTTTTTGATATATCTGTATGTATAATTCAAAACCACTTATTTCTGTATATTTTTCTATAATTATTAATCAAAGTATTTTTGTTAGGTAGATGTTATTGTTTAAGTGGTTGATATTTGATGATCTACTGTAAGACAAGATATTAATGTAACCTGAAGGGTGTTGACATAGAACAATTGAAATTAATGTGACCCACTGTTTGATTCTTACCATTAATCTATTAAATTAAGTGGATATTTTTAACATATCAGTAAAATACCCTTTACAAGATATTGACATCATTATCATGCTATAATCAACATTGATAGCCTTTCATCTACTTATTTACTTCTGATTATTGTGTGGATATATAATACTACCTGTTTTAAGGTATTGGTAATTACTTTATACTTTATTTTAAATGCGACTACAGTAGGCATATAGAACACATTAAAAACATTAATAACTTGTTTTACAGTGGATAATTTCATGCTTTGCAGTCAACTTGTTAATAACATAAAATATAGAATCCTCTCCAATAAAATTTTTAATTCTATGACAATTGCATTTAATTGAGCAAATACATTTGGTATTAGGTTGTATACAAAGTTTTCAATAAAATATTGAAGCTATTTCATATGAATGTAGTATCACACTTTCTGCAGCCTTTTGATTGTGCATACATACACTTTCGATAGTAAATGATCTTAAATACTACATTTGCCATTTATTTTGGAATGTCTCTTTGATAAGCACCATGCCATTTTGGTTGTTAAAACAGACAGATCTTAAAAAATGATAAAATTCCATGACAAAGATTTTAATACAGTGTTTTGTTTATTCTTTTACAAATATATACTACTAGAAGGATACCCGGCTTTGCCCGGGGCCCTAAGCCAGGGAGTCATACCTCAAACCAAAAGTGGTAATCCATTGCCACCAAGCCTATGTTACTTCCCGGTCTGGGCTACTCCTATACCCCTTGGGACAGCCCTAGTGTAGCCGCCAACCCTGAACAGATAGACAAATAAACGACAGTCACAAATATTAGTATAGATTTAAAATACTGTTATGTAAAATGGGTGTAAGGAATACAGAATATGTTTGAAAAAAGGGTGGTTCGGATGGAATTGATAATATTTTTTGAAAATTTTTAAATGATTTAGATCATGTCTGAGTAACTAGCCAATTGAGTTCAAATACTTTCATACTTGCATCTATTTTATAATTAAACTTGGTGTAGTCTCAGAGATTTCAACAATATTTTATAGTTTGTAATAATTAACCATTTTTTCCTGTATATTACAAATTTCACAATTACTGTATTTATTTGTATTATTAGTCAATCATACTGATATTTCCAAGATATTAGTCAGTCATGGTGATGTTTTCAAGTAAGATGAAATTCAGTGAGTCATTATTTAGCTAGAACCAATTTTAAAAGTGTAAGCTTAATATTTCTGTAACAACTGATACCACCTGCCTTTGGGTTTAGAAAAATTAGAAAAAAGACATATTCACATAATACTGAACATAGTTAACACTTCTGGGCATTGTCATTTACACATTTGTATGCTATACTTTATATGAATCAAATTTTGCTTGATACTCTGATGCATGAGTGACTTATATCATTTGCATTTTTGTTAGTTGTTTGTAAAACTTTATTTGGTATGTTTTTAAAGATATATTTCTTCTGCTTATTAGGTCATGTAGACTTGTTTAATTTACCACCAAAAATATTTTTGCTGAATAGAAAAAACAAATTTACAGACTAAAAGTGTTAAGATAAGAACAGATAAAACTATTAGGACAGAAACTAGTACATCATAGTTTTATCATATTCTGTAACAGAACAAACAATGAAATTAAATTTCCTGCAAATTTAATTATTCTATCATTTGTTACACAATAACGACCGACATAAAAAGGAATATATCTTTTAAAGAAATGAAGATTAAAGACATCAATGTACGGTATTGAATATTGTGTAAATGTAATCTTTTAAAATAAATTAACTAAATATGTCTCACTTTCATTGTAGTTTTTACATTTAGCCTTTTACTAATTTACATTTTTCTTTTAAACTCACATTTATTCTGATTTATTTTATTTTGGTTTGTAACATTAACCCTTGGAACATCCTAGGGGTCAGTTATTATTCTTGTTGAAATAATTGTGTGAGAATTATCAGCTATCACATGTAACAGCTGAATCTTATTTAGGGGTAACTAAGGGCTATTATATATTATATGATGTCAAGGGCTTAATTTTCAAAGGGTTAACATTCCTGTTCCTATAACTAAATCTGTCTTCCCATGACATATTCTTTGTTGTCCCCCACCTTTTGAAGAAAGCAGAGGTCTATTAAAATGGGTCTGTCTATCTGTCAGTCACATTTTTTGGGACACAGTAACTCTCCTTCTAATTAAGCTAGAATGTTCAAACTTGGTGTTGACATATTTTAGGTGAATGCCTTGATGGAGTTGAAAGATGAGAATTTTCTGTGTAGGCTGAACAGAGATGCTTTGGGACACAATAATTTTGGTTATAATTAAGTGAGAGTGGTGAAACTTGTATAGTTTGATAATGAGCATTTTCTGCTCAGGGAAAGCAGAGCAATAAGAAATTTGATTGGTCCAGACTTTGGAGTTTGATAACTTTTATTCTAATTTTGAGTGGAAGTGGTGAAACTTTGTGTATAGTTTCATTACATCAATACCTTGATTAGGTTCAATGATGAGCAGTTTCTGCTAAGGCTAATTAGAGACTTCAATCTGATTGGTGGAGACTTTGGAATACAATAATTCTCTTTCTAATTGAGGTAGAATGTTCAAACTTGGCATAGGTGTCTATTAGGTGAATGCCTTGACAGTGTTTGATCAAGTGCATTTTCCACTAAGGCTAATCAGAGCTAAGCAATTTGATTGGTTGAGACTTTGGAACATGATAACTTTGGTTCTAATTGGGTGAGTATAGATTCATTATATCATTACCTTGACTAAGTTTGATTTTCTGCTTAGGCCACGTAGTGATAAGCAATTTGACGGGTTAAGACTTTGGAACATAACAACTAAGGTAGAATGTTTAAACTTAGTGTAAATATTCATTAGGTGAATATCTTGACTGATTTCAATGATTAACACTTTCCGATAAAGCTAAGCAGAGCTGAGCTCAGCAATTTCTTGGGACAAGATAACTTTGATCAAAATCAGACAACCTCTTAATTAAGCCTTTTTCAAAAAACAACTCGGGTGATGGATCTTTTGCAGTCGGTGCTCCAAAGTTATGGAATTCAATATCAAACGAAACCAAAAGCACAAATTCTATTACAGGTTTTAAAAAGTATCTCAAAACCAATTAAATCTACAACTAAATGAATACGGTTCTAACCATGTTTGTGTCTTACTTTTACCAAATGTACTAAATAATGTTCTCTGTTTTTTCTTTATGTCTTTTTTATTGATTAGTGTGTTGTGATTGTTGTAATCTTATACTAGTTGTACTTGTGTAATGCGCAGCTTGCTGAGTGCTATATAAATTAATTATTATTATTATTATGGAGAGTGATGAAACTTAGTGTAGAGTTTCGCTACCAGGTACTTCAAAACCTTGACTGAGTTCGATCATGAACATTTTCTGTTTAGACTAAGTATAGATAATCAGATTGATTGCTCAATACTTTTCAAAAGGATAAATGTGCAGTTAATTATTAATATGTGTCATTTATTTATTTTGGGATTGTGGCTTGGGACATCGGCCTTACTGTTGGCTTGTTTATGATAAGATTTTCAAATAATTTTTCATACAAGTTTTAAATAAAGTGTTTGTGTACATATATGCATTTTCGTCTGTTCCTTCTAAGTATATTTTATCTAATGCCTTAAAAAGGAGCTGTCCCCAATTTGTCACTATCATCACTACAGGTGGATACACATGCCCATTAAAACACAAGTCAGATAGTAATCAGAGATGAGTAAGGTGTACACTATAAATAAACTTAAAACAAGTGCTCTCAAATAAAAACCTTTTTGGATGTGGTCATGGATGCATGTTGTATTTTATACATTGTTAATTTAAAATCTTTTGTCACATTTTATGTGGAGAGTTGCAATATGACAGCTTGTGACATAAACAATGCATTCCCCCAAAAGCCTATTTACACTTGTCAAACCTGAATTATTATTATTATTATCTTACCCAGACATAGCAGTAGCACATCTAGCATGTACCATTTGACATCTCCCCCATTTTTTTCTTTACAAAATTTAAGTCAAACATTTCATATCGGTTTAATTTGAAAATCATGTAGTTTGTACACATGTAGTGTTTCTTGGAAGACAAGACTCCAAGCTTCCAAGGGAAAGCATCGGACATTAGCAGACTGTTCGGGTGTCCACAACACAGACTTTAAGTTATATAATACAGTCCTATAAAGAATTTTGACTCCTGCATTGTACACAATTCTGACTTAAGGTATGTCCCATTTTTTCAGATGCGGGATAGATTTGTAGCAGAGAGACAAACCACCAAACAAAAGAAGAAAAATTGGGTTTTTTGGTGAAATTAATGTATTTTTAATAGCAGAAATGTTTTTCTACAAAACAAGAAATTAATGAAATCACAATCAAATTCTGTTGTCTTTCTATCACAACCATCTTCTGCCAGTGAGAAGTCTATTTATATCCACTCAACAGAATATTATAACTTGGAATTTACCATAAAACACCTTCTATGTATACCATTATAGATAATGTGATTGGTCAATAAGTTCATGTATTCTGTACAACAGCTTCAAAGAAAATATGTCAGATGTCAATGAAGTAGTAAGTACAACATCAGAAACAAAATGGAAAATTTTGTTTTGTTTTTGTGGATTAATGTCCGCTTTCACCAAGGGTCATATTGCGAACAACTGAAAAAGATACTGACATCTACTTTTAATCAGATTGATAAAAGTTAAGCGACCTGCTGTATCTTACTTTCTTTTTTAATGAAGCTTGTCACCCAAATGGCTTCTGGCAAAATTTAACCATTTAATGAATCATTGTTTTTTGTTTTAATTCATTGTTTTTTTAAGTGTGTTGTATATATTTATATCATACTTAAAGCAGCATTATGGAAGATTAGACAAAGACCTGACAGTTCTCGCTATAATAGTTGAAAAAAATAGATAATGTAAAGGGCATATGCTGAAAATTTCAGTCAAATTACTTCACTCTGTGTCGAGAAATCCTCATTTCAAATACACTGTGGCCTCAGTTGTCATTGTTACCATTGTTACGATAATAAACAAAGTTTCGATTATCTATTTTTACGGTTAATCATCAATAGCCATTGAACCGCACATCAAGTTAATATCTGTTAAAAATCAGACCCATCAGATGGCATTGAGAGTTGATTATGGTCTTGTCATGTTAATAAATGTCTAATTAATTGTTTATATAACTTTTAAGGCCTAAAGAAAGACCTGGAATAGTCAGATTTAGATCTAGCATAATGTATGTTTAAACAATTATTGAAATGAATGCAACCTGCAACAAATTAATGCATTTTTTTTTTTCTAGCATTAATCATTTATTTCTTGTTTTACTGTACATTGATTTATATATCAGGTTTATTCATCTTTAATACATAATTACGGTATCAGGGCTAACTATAAATGCTCATATTATTGTTACTCTATTCAATAACAACTGTTGATAATGCTCACTTTCGTCCAATTTAAATTTACTTGATGTATTGTACTGAAATATTTTTACTGAATATATTATGCTTTAAAATAACATAAATGAGGGAAATAAATCATTTTATAAATTACTCAGCTGTCTCTCACTACTGGCACATTGTCTTACAGAAAATATATTAAGATCCAGTATACATGTATATGGTTTGCACAATTATTTTCATTATGCATTATATTATCTTTTATAGAGCATTAATGTTTAAGGCAGGTTATTCCAAACACCTTTCTCTTGACAGTAAACTAATTTACATTTATAAAATAGTTTAGCCTGTGGGGAGAAAGTTATTTAAATGTATAAACTTTGTTTACTGTTTTACATAGCAGATTGTTTATTAAATTAGATGTAATTTAAATTAATGATATATTCCTTTGACAACCCATTTAAGTATACATGTATATTAAAAATGATAATCAAATGATTAACAATGGCAAGCACTGATAATTACTTCTTTTTTTTTTTTTTAAAGCTAAATGTATATCGGTTATTTTACTAATACTTTCTTAAATAATATTTTGGTCAAAAATAAATTGATATCCTAATATATCTTTGCTTACCAAAACCAATTTTCTGTACAGTGCTGAATACTCGATTTTATATGCCCACATTATATGTGGCTTTAGATTGTCCTTGGTCCATCCATACAATACTTGCTCTTGATTTATTTTGTGCTTTTTGAAAAACCTATTCCAGAAGGCAAGTTGTAACTATTAATACCATGCCTTACAAAGGTTGAGTACTAGCTAGATTTCAGAGACTGGTTTCAGGGGTAAAAATACAAAAATTTCAGAACTACTTACTGCAGAAATAAAGATGAATATATTTTAAGCATTTTCAATTTCAATTAGATCAGTTATTAGCACTATTGCTTCTGACTTTTGATTGTTGATTAAATAGTACATGGTTATTGTCCCTGTAACAAGATCTGGTGCATAATCAACATGAGTGTTTTTTAAGTCTTTTTTAAAACTCAACTGATTGTTTATAGAGAATAAGCTCAAATAACCTTGTGCACAATGTAATAATTTGAAGGTGTGGAATAAGCAGATGCTAAAATAATGACACAGTGGACATAATGTATTACCCTATCTGGCAATCCTTGTTTATTAGTAGTCCTAGTAATAACCATTCATTCCTTCATGATTTTATGGAATACAATCTGGTTAAAACACAGATCCTATTTTGTTTCGTTTTTATAGTTCAAAATTTCGTTTTACTTGTCTTTACTACACTTGGATCTGGAAGAGTTGTTATTTAACTCGTGTTCTGAATGGTGTCAGGGATAAGTCAATGAAACGGTCTGTTATGGCGAGCCTTAGGCATATTTTTCAGGGAACTGTGGGTAATCCAATAGTAGCATCAATGCTGATTGGTTAATCAAATTTCTGACGTCAAAAGGGTCATAAGTCGGTCTTTTGACCCCTGACGTGACCTATCGCTATAACTTGTCAGATCTTCATGTAGTGTAGGCCATCGAAAGTATAAAAAAAAGAAACGAAATATAGATCTGTATTTAAATCAGATTGTATGGAATAAGACTTACAAAAATCAAATTACTTAATGCTCTTTTCATGAAAAGACATGAACAATTTGATATTAAGTGTGTGTTACCCTTGTTTATCTGTAACCTTATTGCCACTTTGTATTGTTTTAAGTTTTAGTATTATTCTATTGCTTCAAATAAGTGTTATGAGTGTCATGTATTTGATATAATTATAATTATTACTTTCACCAGTGGCGGACTGGGTCTGAAAATACTGGTTGCCAGGAGACAATTCTATCATTTAATTTTTAAAATGAATAGATTAAAATATGTAAGTGGAAACAAAAAGATATAACTAGAATTTTCATGCTAATAATTTTTTTTCTAATATTTATATATTTTTTGATAATTTATATTTTAAATATATTGTCTAATATCTAAGGGGGCCCACTTGCCATTGGGCAAGCTGACAACCTGGCCAGTCCGCCACTGACTTTCAGTAACTTTAGAAATGCAATTTCATGTACTTTTTTGGGGTAATTGACAATTGTAAAGATGACTTTTACAATAACAAATTATAATGTAAGCGTTATTACACTATAATATATTGCTTTTAATTTTTAATTTGCATGAACAGTGTAAAACAAATTCTTAAAAGGAACTGTACTAAAAATGTTCAATTGTGTGAAGCCAACTAGTGAAATATAAAATAGACAAACTTAAAACTATTATTACTAATATTTGTGCAATTCACTTTTATTATATCCACATGATGCAACAGCCTATATGAACTGCCTGGGAAATAGGGATTAGTACTGAAAATAAAGCATTTAAAAACTATTTTTGCATAATTGTGACCCTTGCTTTGTTAGCATCTTTCAAAAATTTGTACGAGTCGACTTAGCTGCTGATAGTCATATATTTTGTTGCCTGGCAACCAAAGTTTTCCTCTGATGCGCATAAGCATAAACCTTTAAGCAGGATATGTAAAACATTAATATTAATCAACTAACACAAAATTTTAACCTAAATGATTTCGAAATAATCTATCTACCAATATTTGCTTACTCAAACAGAAAGTTTTTAATTGATAGCATTTTTTGGATTTTTGACCAGTAGTAATGTTTTATGTTATCAAATATTTTAGTGACATTATTTAAAGGGCTGTATAGAATGATAACAATATTATCAAACCTATGATTGTCTTTCACACCCAATAGCTTTAATTGTATTTTATGTATTATTAATATTTTTATTGTGGATACATGTCTCTAATAATGTTGATTGTGTCATTTTTATTTATTTTTTCAAACAGCTTTAATTTTTATGCCTTTTTTTTTTTAATTGTTACTCTTTTGATGCATATCTTTAAAAGAAAAACATCATTATCTTTTGGTTGTTGAGATATTTTCTATAATTTTTAATACAGTCTGTATGCAGATTATGAACGATTGATCATCTCTAGGTTGGTGTAAAAAGCTTTCCAAGCTGTGAACCAATGATACTCTGGGGTTAGGGCTAGTTAATTGATCATTCAGTATTTAAATGATCTAGAAGGCAGGTGGGCAGGAAGGTGTTTTACACAAGCAGTTATCTGCATTTCATTTTAAGGCTACTGTACATCACTAAAACATTTTGATCGATATAATAATTAATTTCATTTGTCAATAAATGTAAGGGTTTATAAAAGTGAAAGCTTATATTATAGCTTGTGATTGGAATAAAAGCTCAAATCAGAATTGACAATTGTGATGATTTCTCACAAAATATATTTATGATTTTTTAAACCCATTTTTATGTTATGTTCCTAACTATGAAATATTTTCATTCATAGAACTTTTACTATTTTTATTATTTTTATCCTGTACTAAAATATAATGAAGGATTACTGTATTCCCTCATTACAAAACCATGTTCTATGTCAGAAATCTGAATTAATTATGTAAGACTAAGAGTAGGATTTAATCCCTTAATGACAAAAAACAATATTGTAGAAACTGTAATTTTGCAATAAATAAATTTACAAGCACACAGTTCCCAGGATATAACCTATTATTTATGCCTGGTTCACGAGAGTGTTGGTATTCTTGTGCATCAGAACAAGAACATAGAAATATTTGGAAAATAGTTTCAAATTAAAACTTTCAATCCTCCATTGTTTGTGTTGAATGTATAGTCAGAAGAGAAACATCTTGTACTGGACTGTGTTCGATTCTTGGTTGGTTTAGGCTGTCTTCATTTTGTCAGTAAAAAGGAAATGAAGTCTAATCACCGGAGGCAATTTGCTACTTCAGTGTGTTCAAGGAATAATTTTTAGTCAGAAATTTGCGCAAATCAATAGTATACAGTACACCTAGCACAGTGCATCATACAGACCCTATTTGTTTTTTTGTAGATTAAATAATTAGTCATTGTATTTTCTATGTAAAATTAGATTGTTCACTTGTATATATGTGGTGCTAAATAAATATCATGACTTATACTACAGTTGTGTTGTAATAATAATACATTGTGTGGCTCTCAATCCAGTGAGTATGACATTGTCTCACTTACCAGGTGGTTCTGTGTTCGATTCGGGTTTTGGCCAAGAAAGTTCTTTGGGATTTTCCAGCTTGGCCTACCAAGCAACCTAGCTTGGACTTTGTGTGGTGATAAACCATGCCAGTTTGTTAGTGCTAGTGAATTATCAACTAAATTTTTGCATGGTGGTATTAACAATCGGTTCTTTCTCAGTGTTCTTCAAAATCAAGGGCACAATCATTAAGAATAACTGAATGAATAAATGTTGTTCTACAGGCCCTCGTGTTCTTTGTTTGGTTGCCAAACTGTTTGATTTCAAGATAAATTACTCTACTAATAATTGCTCAGTAAATAATGGACAAATCACATTCAGATTTATACCTGTCATAGACTTCAAAACAAAGAATGGACAAAAGTGATGACAATGTACTTCAAAATTAAATGTCATTTAAATCCATATTTTAATTAGATTGGTAAATTATAACTTTAATTCATTTATATATGCCTACATTGAAAGGGGGTTGTATATTGTCCCCCCCCCCCCACCAACCCCAGCAGTCAGTCTGGCATCCACAAAAGCTTGTGGATGCTCTATCTAGAGGCTAGAGTTCATATCCAATTGATTTATACAGTGTTTTAGGTCATGAGATGAAGAAGCCTATTGATTTTCAACAATTTCCAATAATTACTGCCAGAGTTATGGCCGTTGATCACTTTGAAATGCCTTGTGGACGCTCTAGAGGCTAAAGTTAACGATAGGTTGCCAGGCAATGAAACATACGCCCACAGCAGCTAAATTGTCTGAGCGATCAACAAGGGTTGTCCCATATTTATTTTTTGTAGGTAATGGGGAAGCATTTACAGATTGGATGATAACTTTTTTTGTTTGAGTATTCACAAGGTCGAATAGGGGCCATAATCCTAAAAGCCATTAACGGGAATTGCTGAAATTCAATAGGCGTCTTCATTTCACTAATTCAAATTTAAACTCAATAGGATATTAACTTTAGCCTCTAGAGCGTCCACAAGATTTTTCAAAGTGATCAAGGGCCATAACTCTGGCAGTAATTATTGGAAATCGCTGAAAATCAATAGGCTTCTTCATCTAATGACCTTAAACACTGTGTATATAAATTTAAAGTCAATCGGATATTAACTTTAGCCTCTAGAGCCTTTACAAGATTTTTTAAAAGTGATCAAGGGACATAACTCTGGCAGTAATTATCGAAAATCGCTGAAAATGAATAAACTTCTTCGTCTCATGACCTTAAACACTGTGTATAAATTTAAACTCAATCGGATATTAACTTTAGCCTCGACAGCGTCCACAAGATTTTTCAAAGTGATCAAGGGCCATAACTCTGGCAGTAATTATCGGGAATCGCTGAAAATCAATAGGCTTCTTCGTCTAATGACCTTAAACAATGTGTATAAATCTAAAGTCAATCGGATATTAACTTTAGCCTCTAGAGCAAGATTTTTCAAAGTGATCAAGGGCCATAACTCTGGCAGTAATTATCGAAAATCACTGAAAATGAATAAACTTCTTCGTCTCATGACCTTAAACACTGTGTATAAATTTAAACTCAATCGGATATTAACTTTAGCCTCTTGAGCGTCCACAAGATTTTCCAAAGTGATCAAGGGCCATAACTCTGGCAGTAATTATCGAAAATCACTGAAAATGAATAAACTTCTTCGTCTCATGACCTTAAACACTGTGTATAAATTTAAACTCAATCGGATATTAACTTTAGCCTCTTGAGCGTCCACAAGATTTTCCAAAGTGATCAAGGGCCATAACTCTGGCAGTAATTATCGGAAATCGCTGAAAATCAATAGGCTTCTTCGTCTCATGACCTTAAACACTGTGTATAAATTTAAAGTCAATCGGATATTAACTTTGACCTCTAGAGCATCCATAAGATTTTTTGAATTGATCAAGGGCCATAACTCTGGAAGTAATTATCGGAAATTGCTGAAAATCAATAGGCTTCTTCGTATCATGACCTTAAACACTGTGTATAAATTTAAAGTCAATCGGATATTAACTCTGACCTCTGACCTTCAATAGGCGTCTTCATTTCACTAATTCAAATTTAAACTCAATCGGATATTAACTTTAGCCTCTAGAGCGTCCACAAGATTTTTTGAAGCGATCAAGGGCCATAACTCTGGAAGTAATTATCTGAAATTGCTGAAAATCAATAGGCTTCTTCCTCTCATGACCTTAAATACTGTGTATAAATTTAAAGTCAATCGGATATTAACTCTGACCTCTAGAGCGTCCACAAGATTTTTTGAAGCGATCAAGGGCCATAACTCTGGCAGTAATTATTGGAAATCGCTGAAAATCAATAGGATTCTTCGTCTCATGACCTTAAACACTGTGTATAAATTTGAAGTCAATCGGATATTAACTTTAGCCTCTAGAGCGTCCATAAGCAATTGTGGACGCCGGACGGACGGGGGCGACGACAATATACGACCACATTTCAATGTGGGCGTATAAAAATTAAAACACTTGGCTCTTTACATGTATGTCATTTATTTAACACTGTGTACAGATAATTAAACTTTAGAATGTAGAGCCTTAGATCAAATTCACAATATTTTAAAATCTGTAAATAGGGTAAATTAATTACGCCATCATTTTGGCTAATAAAAGAATTGTATGACATAATACAGACAGCAGAAGTGTACACTATCTGGAGTTGCTACTCCTGAGCACAACCATTTGCCCAGACTGCATACTAGTTTTACCTTTATTTTAATTTATCTTACACCCCAAAAAGTCGTTTTGTTTTCAAATGCATTCTATTTTATTTTACCTTATGTCTTTAATATTTTATATACACATTTTCATATTTGAAAGCTGCATATCTGTTAGATCATGAAATTATAAATTTCTTTGCTATATTTTCTATCAAAATAAGCATGCAGTATTTGTTAGGAGGATATGATTTGTGTGGTTCACAGAAAGTTACTTAGAGTGTAGAGGTAGAGCCAATTGGATTCGTTCATACGCTTATATAGATTTTAACATAAAAATGACAACAGAACTGGTAGAAATAATCAACGGCACTAGGTAGTTTGGATATGGATAGAAATTCAAGAGATATTCTGCAACAGTCCATTCACTAAAAATTTAAAACATCAGTGTCTATGATATATCGATTTAGAGGGATTATTATAGTCATTAGATGACTGATTTCCTCTGTATGACTTTCGACCGTAAGATGGATAGGAGGATTGGAAATCTCTGGAATCTGATCTATTAGATGACCATCCAGCATCCTGATATTGTCTTGAACTTTGAAATGAGTCATAATGTGATAAAGCACTCTGTCTACTGTTCAGAGAATAAGGCTGATTTCTGTGATCACCTGATCTCCAACTGGGTCTAACACTTTCATAGTTCCTTTCCCTGCCACGACTTACATACTGACTCCTGTGATCAACTGATCTCCAATTATTTGAATTATTAGACCGATCCTCTGGATTATAAAAGTCACATTTTCTGGACCTGGCCTGATATCCATTATTTTGCCTTTTCTCAAATTCCCTTTCCCTAGAATATCTCTGTCCATTTTTTCTATTTGTGCTAAAGTGATTATGTCCATTTGCACTAGAACTGGATGCTGTCTGATTTTCTAATCCTAATCTTTCTTCTTCATCACTTCTTCCTAAACTTTCGGCATGACTGAAATAAAAGTTAAATCTGAAATATCAAAATATTATACTGGTGTTTTTAGACCATCCAGTCATACCCCCGCTATCCACTGTCTTTATAAATTTTCTTCTTCAGAACCGCTTGATGGATGACAGAACTTGTAGGTATGTTGCTTCGGTGATACACATTCAGCTTTGTTAAAATGAAGATCATAAGTTCCAAAGCAAATGTGTTTCAATTTAATTAGTTTATAATGGGGGTAACATGTATATTAAATGTACCGCTACTAGTACTTACCTGACAGACCCATCAGATCGTAAATCTTTTAAATAGTTTTCTCGTTCTATATCGTGACCTCTAGCTGTATTAAATGCTGAAATATTAATATAAACTGGTGCATGTTGATATCAAGAAACGAGCCAAAATAAACAGACGACACATATTAATTATTTGCACATTTATCTGTTTCAAAAGTATCGAGTAAGCAAACTGATTATCTATGCTTAGTCTAAGCATAAAATGTTCTGGATTTCGTAGTGCTCCAGGAGCTGCAAAGTAATAGAAAAATCCATAGCTTGACCTACCTAGAGACTGCCGGTAGTACTACGTAAGAAACATATGAAAACGTACCAGTCTTCACTAGATTCCAAGAAAATTGGCCTCGTATATGGTTTCAAACACAAATTTTCGAAAATTGCCTCGTATTTTCGAGCCGATAGAACCTGGTAGATGAATACCTAAAAATCTGAAACTTGGTGGAATTATAGTTTGTACTAATGTCTCCAACATATGTTTAAACCATTCTTGTTCCATGCCACCTCGAAATTTTTTCGATTTTTTCAAAACCTGTTTTTTGGGTCATTTCATGTCAATTATCGTATTTTCGAGACGAATAAACCGGGTAGATGAGCACCTTAAAATCGGAAACTTGGTGGAATTATAGTTTGTACTAAACAAGCCAACAGTGAGGCTGATGTCCCCCGCCGAAATTGCAAAATAAATAGATGACACATATTAATTAATCGCACATTTATTTTTTTCACTAAGTTTCATCACTCTCTATCAGATAGAATCAAGATTATCTTGTACCAAACCATCGACAAATGAAATCGATTAGCTCTGCTTAGCTTCAGCTCGAAATGTTAATTATTGAACTCAGTCAAGACATTCACCTAATGAACATCTACATATACATCAAGTTTAAACATTCACCTAATAGACACCTATGCCAAGTTTGAACATTCTACCTCAATTAGAAGGAGAGTTATTGTGTTCCAAAGTTTCTACCAATCAAATTGCTTATCAATCTGCTTACCCTCAGCAAAAAATGTTCATTATCGAACTTAGTTAAGGTATTCATATAATAAATCTATACACCAAGTTTCATCAATCTCACTTAATTAGAACTAAAGTTATCGTGTCCCAAAGCATCAACCAATCAAATTGCTTATCTCTGCTTACCCTAAGCGGAAAATGCTCATCTTCGAACTCCATCAAGGCATTGACCTAATCAACACATACACCAAGTTTGAACATTCTAGCTCAATTAGGAAGAGAGTTATCGTGCCCCAAAGTATCAACCAATCAAATTGCTTATCTCTGCTTACCCTAAGCGGAAAATGCTCATCTTCGAACTCCATCAAGGCATTGACCTAATAAACACATACACCAAGTTTGAACATTCTAGCTCAATTAAAAGTTATCGTGTCCCAAAGCATCAACCAATCAAATTGCTTATCTCTGCTTACCCTAAGCGGAAAATGCTCATCTTCGAACTCCATCAAGGCATTGACCTAATCAACACATACACCAAGTTTGAACATTCTAGCCCAATTAGGAAGAGAGTTATCGTGTCCCAAAGCATCAACCAATCAAATTGCTTATCTCTGCTTACCCTAAGCGGAAAATGCTCATCTTCGAACTCCATCAAGGCATTGACCTAATAAACACATACACCAAGTTTGAACATTCTAGCTCAATTAGGAAGAGAGTTATTGTGTCCCAAAAAGTGTGACGGACAGACAGACGGACGGACAGACGGACAGACAGACGGACGGACAGACGGACAGACAGACGGACGAACCCATTTTAATAGTCCCCTGCTTTCTTCGAAAGGCGGGGGACAAATATCTGAAACTGAAGTAAATTATTATACATATTTTGTTTCGAAAACTTATCGGTAACTCATAATACTCAAATCCCCGTACCTCAGTCAATTTTCAAGTTTCTAGTTTGCACATGTACAATAACATATATTTTTTCCAGATTTTTTTTTAGAGGGGGTTGATTTCCCAACTTTCTGAAAATTGACCCACTTGACCTGGTAGTGAAACTATACCCAAAGTTTCATCTCTCTCCATCCGTTAGAATCAAAGTTATCTTGTCCCAAAGCATCGACCAATGAAATTGCTTAGACGAGGAAATATTAATCATTGAACTCAGTCAAGACATTCACCTAATGAACACCTATACCACAATTAAAAGCAGAGTTGTTATGTTCCAAAGTCTTGACCAATCAAATTGCTTATCTTACTTAGTCAATGTCTTGATTTAATGAATCTATAGTCAGAGTTTCATCACTCTCACCCAATTAAAATCAAAGTTCCATAGTCTCAACCATTCAAATTGCTTATCTCTGCATACCTTAAGCAGAAAATGCTCATCTTCGAAATCCATCAAAGCATTCACCTAATAGAGAGAGAGAGAAATGGGGTTTAATGTCCACTCGACACAAACTAGGTCATTTCGGAACAAACATATGGTTTAATTTTATTTCAATAATTTGTTTGCGTGTAGGGGTCTTTAGCAGTGGGAGGAAACCGGAGGAACCAGAGAAAACCCACAAGGCTAGACAGGCGACCCTACTCTTTGGCACCTACAATCGGGGAATCGAAACAACGCCAGTTGACTCAATTACAGACCTTCTGATGCAGCGTGCACATGCTAACTATTCGGCCATCCACCCCCCCCCCCCATTCACCTAATAAACACCTACACCAAGTTTGAACATTCTAGCCAAATTATAAGGAAAGTTATCCTCCTGTAGCAAAGAGAGTGACGAACAGACAGACAGACCCATTTTAATAGTCCCAATAATGGGGGACAATAAAGTTCATGTTTATACATCATAAAATTTTATAAAACCAAAGGCGAATTCTAAGCTGGCTTAAATTCTTGTCTGAAAGGGAAAAATAAACCAGCTTAAGTGTCCAGGCTCTGTTTTACAAGAAGGATTAGTTCCCTAAAGTAATTCCAACTTCCTTCAGAGTTGGCCTATTTAACAATTCTGTGAAAGCTACATCCGGAAATGCACATAGACCCACTACACACAAAATTGTAATCTTTGAAACACAATTTCTTCCAACTCAAATGCTAAAAATATATGACATGAACATAATTGTAATTGCTTAGGAGGTATGAGAAATTTTATTTTTGAATTTTTTGTCGTCTGTACCAGCACACAGGCATTGTTGGGTTTTTTCATAGAGATTGTGAAAATTAAACATATTTGATTTTGGTAATAAAAATCTTTTGGCTATCGATGACAAATATTTCTAGTTTATGGTATGTGTATAGTTTATGTGCACTTATTTCAGACTCACCTTTAATAGCTACATCAGGCTCAAAACTAAGGTGATCGATCATGTACCTGTAATGTAGTTTGATACATAGTAAGACGGGACTAAGACCATTTATAATTCTTAAAAAAAAACAGAATTTCTAATTGGGTAGCTTAGAAATTTAGTTTCTAATTTCACTCTTTTATATTTTGTTAGTTTGCCATTTACAACCTAAGTTTAACAAAATGCTCGTCCTTAAATCATAATGGTTAAACAAGACAATACTAAAACCCCACAAGCTTTTTGTTCATTCTAAACAATTTCTATAACTTTCTAAATGGTAATCTAGTAATTAAACATTGCTATTACAACAAGACAACAGTGAGGCTGATGTCCCCCACCGAAATCCCAAAATAGATGACACATAGTGATTAATTGCACATTTATTTTTTACAAAACTACTGAGCAATCGAACTGATTATCTATACTTAGTCTAAGCATAAAATGTTCATGATCAAACTCAAAGTCATCTTGTCCCAAGAAATTTCTTAGCTTTAGTGGGAAATGTTAATCACTGAACTCCGTCAAGACATTCACCTAACGAACATCTAAATTTAAAACTTTTATGTACTTTTTGATGTGCATATAATTGGTTCTATAAAAAAATTATCAGTAGAATATATACGTGAAAAATTATTTGAAATCTTATCACAAACAAACATGAACAAGCCAACAGTGAGGCTGATGTCCCCAGCCGCAATCCCAAAATAAATAGATGACACATTTATCTTTTTGAAAAGTATTGAGCAATCGAACTGATTATCTATACTTTGTTTAAACAGAAAATGTTCATGATTGAACTCAGTCAAGGTCTTGAAGTACCCAGTAGTAAAACTTTACACTAAGTTTCATCACTATCCACAAGTTAGAATCAAAGTTACCTTGTCCCAAGAAATTGCTTAGCTCTACTTAGCTTTATCGAAAAGTGTTAATCATTGAACTCAGTCAAGATATTCACCTAATGAATATTTACACCAAGCTTAAACATTCTACCTCAATTAAAAGCAGAGTTGTTGCGTTCAAAAGTCTCGACCAATCAAATTGCTTATCACTACTTAGACTAAGCTGAATATGCTCATTATCCAACTTAGTCAAGGTATTGATGTAATGAAACTATACACCAAGTTTCATCACTCTCACTTTATTAGAATTAAAGCGAGAATTTCAAATTTTCTAAGAAAGTCAAAACATAATTATTTCTATGTCTTTTGTTCAATAGGTTATCAAATCACTATTATACGATCATGGGCATTATTTCCCACCCTTAACAATCTATGACACAGGAAATAACAACACAATTACCTCCCCTGTTTTGCTATTGACAACATGGGGCAGCCATTTTCCAACGTTGCAATTTGAAGTTAAAAATGATATTTTTGCTAATTTCTCAGCTGGCAATAGCGAATTATAGGATTAATAGGATTATTCTTTAACAAGGTAGGACTGTTTATGGATACCATCTATTTTAAGGCTTTATTTTAATACATTTAAAAATATAACTTGAAAATTTACAATTTCCGCTTTAACGTTATCATGTCCCAAAGAATCAACAAATCAAATTACATATATCTGCTTACCCTACACTAAGTTCGAACATTCTACCTAAATTAGAAGGAGAGTTATTGCATTCCAAAGTCTTGAACAAACAAATTGCTTATCGCTCTGCTTACCCTGAGCAGAAAATGCCCATTATCAAACTTAGTCAAGGTATTGATGTAATGAAACTATACATCAAGTTTCATCACTCTCACTTAGAACTAAAGTTATCATGTCCCAAAGCATCAACCAATCAAATTGCTTATCTCTGCTTACCCTAAGCAGAAAATGCTCATTGTCGAATGCTCATCTTTGAAATACATCAAGGCATTCACCTAACCAGCGGCTGCCAGGCAGGATACGCCCACATCTTCGAGAGATGGATAGAGAACAAGCTAATTCAAGAAGTTACGGTCCGATATACGCAAATATCAAAAGAAACCGAGATCTTTGGGTTATAAACTTACATTTCAAGTTTCAACAAAATCAGATAAAAAATTGTGACCTCTTTAGGGTCCACAACCTTGAAATACCATATTTTTACACTATTTGAGAACGAAGGGCGGCCATTTTGTCTGTTAGTTTTGGGCCGATTTTCACGAAGTTCGAACTCAGCCGTCCTTAGGGTGTAACGGTGATATAATAATACGGTTTTTTAAATCGGATAAAAATTATGACCTCTATAGGGTCCACAAGCTAAAAATGTGATTTTTCGTACAATCAGGGGCCATAATTCAGAAAGTTACGGTCCGATATGCGCAAATATTGAAAAGAACCGAGATCTTTGGGTTATAAACTTACATTTCAAGTTTCATCAAAATAGGATCAAAATTGTGACGTCTATAGAGTCCACAACCTTGATATACCATATTTTTACGCTATTTGAGAACGAAGGGCGACCATTTTGTCTGTCAGTTTTGGGCCGATTTTCACGAAATTCGAACTCAGCCGACCTTAGGGTGTAACGGTGATATAATAATGCGTTTTTTAAATCAGATAAAAATTATGACCTCTATAGGGTCCACAAGCTAAAAACGCAATTTTTTGTACAATCAGGGGCCATAATTCAGGAAGTTACGGTCCGATATCATGAATATCGCAAGGAACCGAGATCTTTGGGTTATAAACTTACATTTCAAGTTTCAACAAAATCGGATAAAAATTGTGACCTCTATAGGGTCCACAACCCTGATATACCATATTTTTACGCTATTTGAGAACGAACAGCGGCCATTTTGTCTGTCATTTTAGGGGCGATTTTCACGAGATTCGAACTCAGCCGTCCTTAGGGTGTAACGGTGATATAATAATAGTTTTTTTTAAATCGGATAAAAATTATGACCTCTACAGGGTCCACAAGCTAAAAACGTGATTTTTCGTACAATCAGGGGCCATAATTCAGGAAGTTACGTTCCGATATGCGCGAATATCGGAAGGAACCATGATCTTTAGGTTATAAACTTACATCTTAAGTTTCAACAAAATCGGATAAAAATTGTGACCTATATAGGGTCCACAACCTTGATATACCATATTTTAACGCTATTTGGGAACGTGGGGCGGCCATTTTGTCTGTCCATTTTGGGCTGATTTTCACAAAATTCGAACTCAGCCGTCCTTAGGGTGTAACGGTGATATAATAATACGTTTTTTAAATCGGATAACCAGCGGCTGCCAGGCAGGATACGCCCACATTTTCGAGAGATGGATAGAGAACAAGCTAAAAAGAAAGTGATTTTTCCTACAATCAAGGGCCATAATTCAGGAAATTACAATTCAATATGCGCAAATTTCGACAGGAACTGAGAACTTTGCATTATAAACTTACATTTTAAGTTTCAACAAAATTGGATAAAAATTGTGACCTATATAGGGTCCACAACCTTGATATACCATATTTTAACGCTATTTGGGAACGTGGGGCGGCCATTTTGTCTGTCCATTTTGGGCTGATTTTCACAAAATTCGAACTCAGCCGTCCTTAGGGTGTAACGGTGATATAATAATACGTTTTTTAAATCGGATAACCAGCGGCTGCCAGGCAGGATACGCCCACATTTTCGAGAGATGGATAGAGAACAAGCTAAAAAGAAAGTGATTTTTCCTACAATCAAGGGCCATAATTCAGGAAATTACAATTCGATATGCGCAAATTTCGACAGGAACTGAGAACTTTGCATTATAAACTTACATTTTAAGTTTCAACAAAATTGGATAAAAATTGTGACCTCTATAGGGTCCACAACCTTGATATACCATATTTTTACGCAATTTGAGAGCGAGGGGCAGCCATTTTGTCTGTCAGTTTTGGGCCGATTTTTACGAAATTCGAACTCAGCCGTCCTTAGTGTGTAACAATTATATATTAATACGTTTTTTTAATTCAGAAACAAATTATGACCTCTATAGGGTCCACAAGCTAAAAACGTGATTTTTCGTACAATCAGGGGCCGTAACTCAGGAAGTTACAGTCCGATATGCGCGAATATCGTAAGGAACCGAGATCTTTGGGTTATAAACTTACATTTCAAGTTTCAACAAAATCGGATAACCATTGCGACCTCTATAGGGTCCACAACCTTGATATACCATATGTTTACACTATTTGAGAATGAAGGGCGGCCATTTTGTCTGTCAGTTTTGGGCGATTTTCATGAAATTCGAACTCAGTCGTCCTTAGGGTTTAACGGTGATATGTTTTTTAAAATCGGATAAAAATTATGACCTCTATAGGGTCCACAAGCTAAAAATGCGATTTTTCGTACAATCAGGGACCATAATTCAGGAAGTTACGGTCCGATATGCGTGAATATCGAAAGGAACCGAGATCTTTGGGTTATAAACTTACATTTCAACAAAATCGGATAAAAATTGTGACCTCTATAGAGTCCACAACCTTGATATACCATATTTTTACGCTATTTGAGAACGAAGGGCGGCCATTTTGTCTGTCAGTTTTAGGCCGATTTTCACGAAATTCGAACTCAGCCGTCCTTAGGGTGTAACGGTGGTATAATAATACGTTTTTTTAAATCGGATAAAAATTATGACCTCTATAGGGTCCACAAGCTAAAAACGTGATTTTTTGTACAATCAAGGGCCATAATTCAGGAAGTTACAGTCCGATATGCGCGAATATCAAAAGGAACCAAGTTCTTTGGGTTATAAACTTATATTTCAAGTTTCAACAAAATCGGATAAAAATTGTGACCTCTAATTGTACAATCAGGGGCCATAATTCAGGAAGTTACGGTCCAATATCATGAATATCGCAAGGAACCGAGATCTTTGGGTTATAAACTTACATTTCAAGTTTCAACAAAATCGGATAAAAATTGTGACCTCTATAGGGTCCACAACCTTGATCTATATATATATATATTTGTGACTGTCGTTTGTCTGTCTGTTCTGGGTTGGCGGCTACACTAGGTCTGCCCCGAGTCTGAAATTTGGGGTATAGGGGTAGCTCGGACCGGGGAGTAACATAGGCCAGGTGGCATTAGTCTACCAATTCCGGTTTCGAAGTTATGACCCACGAGCGAAGCCGTGTATCCTGCTAGTATACCATATTTTTACGCTATTTGAGAACGAACGGTGGCCATTTTGTCTGTCAGTTTAGGGGCGATTTTCACGAAATTCGAACACAGCCGTCCTTAGGGTTTAACGGTGATATAATAATACGTTTTTTTAAATCGGATAAAAATTACGACCTCTATAGGGTCCACAAGCTAAAAGCGCGATTTTTCGTACAATCAGGGGCCATAATTCCGGAAGTTACGTTCAGATATGCGCGAATATCAAAAGGAACCGAGATCTTTGGGTTATAATCATACATTTCAAGTTTAAACTAAATCGGATAAAAATTGTGACCTCTACAGTGTTCACAAGCTAAAAAACGTGATTTTTTGTACAATCAGGGGCCATAATCCATGAAGTTACAGTCCGATACATGCCAATATAGAAAGGAACCGAGATCTTAGGGTGATAAACCTATATTTCAAGTTTCGTTGAAATCGGTTAAAAATTGTGACCTGTAGACTGTTCACAAACAATTGTGGACGGACGTCTGGATGGACGGACAGGGGCGACAACAATATACGTCCACATGAAAATGTGGGCGTAAAAAAACACCTTCACAAAGTTTGAACATTCTAGCTCAATTAGAAGCAGAGTTATTGTGTCCCAAAAAGTGTGACAGACTGACAGACGGGAGACAATTAAAGATGCATTATGTAAGATTTAGATAAAGAGCTGACAGGTCTCGCTATAATAGTTAAAATATACATAATGAAAAGGGAATGTTGATATTTCAGTCAAATTACTTCATTCTGAGTGGAGTTATTGCCATTTGAAGAATAGTGTACACTTGATTGTTATTGTTACCATTGTTACGATAACAAATGAAGTCCATATTATCCTATTATCTAGCAATCACATTTAAATCTGTTGAAAATCAAAAGCATCTGATGGTCTAGAGCGTTGATTATGGGCTTTGCATGTGAATAAATGTCTAATTCATGATTTATATTATATTTGAGGACAGACAAAAGATCTGTATTAGTTCAGAAATTAAATACAAATAGTAAAGTGTAACCAGGTGACAGTAGTTATGACTAGTGAGTCCACAAGCCTGATGTGTAATAGTAAAACCACAAGCCTGACGTGTAAGAGTAAAACCCTTGTTATTCAGGGAAATGTTAAAAAGGGATTGTGGAGAGAATTAAGTCTATGTCAACCACTCTCCCTATATTATTACCACACTTACCTGCATACTAGATAACCAGTTCTGTTTAAACCATGTGTACAATGAACTCCTATTAACAGTTCTACAAAACATAAGTCGATTAAATATCATTAGAGCAATCAAAATTTTGATAGTGGACTTCCTAATGACCCATTCTAGCAAGTTTGAAACAATTCTACCAAGAAGACTGTTCTTTGATATATTAAGGGGTAAGACTACCCGAAAAATGCTTTCTCAAATTCTGAAGCTAGTAAATTGAAGATGGCACAAGTAGTTAGGAAATGTATTAAACAAGGGAAAAATAACATAAAAATAAAGAAAAAAAGTTGCCAGAATAACACATTTTTTTGGAAAAAGTATGAAAAACGTAGGTCCACCATATCTCTGGCACTAAAATTAATAAAGATAAATGTCTCATTTTCGGACTGCTTATTCTTTAATGATAACGCCCAAACCAGACAGACAGTTTTTCTCTACAATTTTTATAGTTTCTTGGAAAATGGTGTTTAAAACATTTGCCTCACTACAATATTTTGTCTTTGGAGAAATATTTTGATAACTTTTGAAATATTAATGATAATTCAAATTGCTTTCTGTCTGATTCTGTGGTAGATATTAGTTTATATATCCTGCAAATTTGGTGAAGATATCTTAATTGGTTACAGTGATATAGCGTACCTATGTTTTTCATAATTTTTTCCCAAAAAATGTGTTACCCTGGCAAAAACTTTTTTTTAATGCTAGTTTTCCCTTGTTTATTACATTTTCTAACTACTTGTGCTATATTTATTTCAATAGCTTTAATATTTCAGAATAAAAAATTTCGGATAGCCTCCTCCCTCAAGGATATTGGATGCATACATAAGGTGTTTATTTATGTACCGGTACTACAAGTCCAGAGTTATACTATTTCTTGTTCAGGAGTTTATCAACTACTACTGAACAATAAATGTCAACCCCAAAATTAGTGTCTTTTGCATCAACTTCCATAGACATTCCAAACCTATTGCAAGACATATATTTTTTATAAAAAGGCAAAGTCCAGAAGACCATATAACATCAAAACTACATTTACCAAAGCCATACTGGTTAAATATTATCCAAATCAAAAAATCTTTAAGTTATGGCCATTTAAGTTTACATTGTTTTAAGCAACCATCATTAAACCTCAGTTGTCATTTAAAATATAGAGAAATTACAATCAAGCTTTATTGTGTTCAATTTGAATAACAAACATTTCTATTGCTACTAACTTGTTACCAATTTACGGGAATTCTACCTTTTCCTTAAAAATATCTTCACATATTAATGTATGATTACGCTTAAATCACTATAACAAATTATTTTTGGTTTACAGGCCTAAAGCTGTAACATTTAGTTACCATAATCCACAAAGAAATGCATAACAATTAGGTAACTTGTATTCCATGTAATTGTGTTATTCTGTCAATATTGCTTCAATAATTCAAGAAATGCATGTATGTGCCTTGTATTCACTTGTGCCCCTGTATGGTGATTAATACAAAGAATTTTTAAACCATTTACCATTTTCGGAATTTGAGCTCAAGAAGTCATTTACAACTTGTTTAAATCTGCAATAAAAGATGTAAAACATTAAGAGTTTTTGTTTCAAGTTTCTTCGGGTCAGTCACTTTTAATGTATCACAATGAAAAGTTTTATTTTGTACTTAAAGACAGGCATATTTATATAGACTAAAATCAACAAAGCATTTTGTTCATGGTACATGGAGATAATCTTTATTCCATTTCTTTTACAAACAACATGATCAATGCAATAAATACATTTAAATGGGCAAAACCAAAGAGATGTCTAGTCTGTTAATGTGTCTTAGATAAACTTTCAGATGACAAACATATACCTACACCATATTTCATAAGGAATAAATAATAGCGTATCTTGCCAACTGTCTGTTCCGTATCTAATCTGAACAATATTGTATTAAGAACAATGAAGAACATTGTAAATTATCAATGGACCGTGGACAGAATTTGTCCCTCCCTTTTTAAGGAGTTTGGCTGTAATGTCTAATTGAGTATGTTTGCTGGTATGACAACTAATCAAAGGCTTATTAATGACACTTCCAGAAAGTATTATCTCTTTTAACACTTGATGAAACTGAAAGTGAGTCTTAAAACTTACTTCTCACAAACATCTATACTTGGAACAACATGACCTGCTGTAAATATCTTCGCATATTCCACAGACACATTTAAAAATTCCTGAAGTAGAATATAGATTATAGAGACCCAATATAACTAAAACAGGTTGCCAGGCAACGAAACATACACCCACAGCCGCTAAGTCGTCCGAGCAATCAACAAGAGTTGTCGCATATTTTTTCTATTGTCAGTAATGAAACATTTATAATACTCTAAAATCTGATTAATAGTAACAAGTCATTAAGTAATTACCAGAGAATCATTAGAATTTGTTTGGCTTTTAGTTCTGCCCAATGCTAACGTTTAGTATACGAAACATTTAATATCATGGATTTAGCTGTTCAAGTTATCAAAATTCATTGAAAATCAATATACTTGTTCATCTCAAGACCTTAAACTTTGTGTATCAATCTAAAGTCAATCAGATGATAACTTTGGTCTCTAGAGCATCCACAAGAATTTTCAAAGTGATCATGGGCCATAACTCTGGTAGTAATTATCAAAAATCATTGAAAATCACTGGGCTTCTTCGTATCACGACCTTAAACACTGTGTTTAAATTTAAAGTCAATCGGACATTAACTTTAGCCTCTAGAGCGTCCACAGGATTTTTCAAAGTGACCAAGGGCCATAACCGTGGCATTAATTATCAGAAATCGTTGAAAATCAATAGGTTTCTTCATCTCATGGCCTTAAACAATGTGTATAAATTTCAAGCCAATCGGATATTAAATTCAGCCTCTAGAGCGTCCACAAGATTTTTCAAAGTGATCAAGGTCCATAACTCTGGCAGAAATTATCAAAATTCGCTAACAATCAATAGGCTTCTTCGTCTGTGTATAATCTAATCTAAATATTAACTTTAGTCTCTAGAGCGTCCACAAGATATTTTGAAGTTATTAAAGGCCATACCTCTGAATCTCACAGCAATTTTCGGATATTGTTGAAAATTAATAGGCTTCTTCGTCTCATGACCTTAAACACTGCGTATAAATTTGAAGTCAATCGGATAGTGACTTTAGCCTCTAGATCGTCCACAAGATTTTTCAAGGTGATCAAGGGCCATAACTCTGGCAGTAATTATCGGAAATCACTCAAAATCAATAGGCTTCTTTGTCTCATGACCTTAAATACTGTGCATAAATTTAAAGTCAATCAGATGTTAACTGTAGCCTCGAGTGCTTGTTGACGCTGGACCACCGGATGGACGAGGGTGACAACAATATATGACCACATTTCAATGTGGGCGTATAAAAATTCCTTTTCAAATTCGAATATCTCATCTAACATTGCTAATCATAGTGCCATAAGTAATCAGTACAAACAATGGACTTTACGGTAAGGCTTACATGTACTTACATTTTTATCATAATATTTAGTTGTATTTGTTAAATCTATGATAAGACCAAGTTCTCTTCCTCCATCCTTCACCTCTGATAATAGACTTTTGGGAGTAAACCTGAATAAAAGATAAGGTATCCAAGATCAAAATTTTTGAAACTCTTCAAAACCATTCACTGTTTATTAATCTGTCATAAATGTTTTGAAATATTAATCACTATTTTTTTTTTTTTTAAATTGGTAAGAAATGGATTTGGGTGCATTCTTGACTTTATCTGGACTTGCCAGAATGATTGCCTTGGTGATTGTTCATTTTATTATAAAATGCTAATCCATAATATTGCAAAATAAGCCTCAAGTCAATATGTACATAGGACCTCGGTTATTGGAAACATTGATACAACTTGCTATGAACTTCAGGGGGTAATGGAGTATATAGAACATGTCTATTAAGCTTATTTACAACAAACACTACAGAAATAAATAATACCAACCATTCTTTTGGGGGTAGATTCTGTTTCACACAATTCTATAAAAGAAATTAATACTTAAAGTAGCTAAGTCTCTAACTCAATATCATCATCCAAAGTCTTCGACATTGAAAACACGAATTATTTGTCTATTTAAATCAACACTGAGGCTGTGATCTTACTGGGAAAAGATGGGCTTCTGATATCCAATATTTAAGATAAAATAAACATCTTACAAATCGTGTACCATAATGCGTTTCAGCGCCATTTGTAACAAGGGACGCGAAGAATGAGGCTAGTCATATTCCACAAGTCATGTCAAACGGTGATGCCATATTCTTATCTGGAGAGTATGCGCAATAAATACAATCGGTGTAGACTAGAATAACCAGACACTAGAGATTGCCATTCGATTGAGACTTCAGGCGTATTTCACCAAACATATCTGATTTGAAATTAGAGTGAAAACGGGAAACGACTGAATGTTAATTAGTTTATATACATTCATATAACGTTATTATATGCATAGCGACCCATTTGTGTCAATTTCTAAGTCCCAAATATTAGCGATTCAGCGCCTTTAAAAGATCTGAATATTAACAAGAGGGTTTAAACTTTAAGCACAGGCACTTACTGCCAATTGCATGTTTTGGACAATTTCATTTTTTTTTCCAGATTTGTAACAGTTGGAAGGTTGAAATTTAGTTCAAAATGACAAAATTCTAAATTCAGCAATATTAACACATCACATCTCTAACCCTCTTACCTCTTTTAATGGTACTTTAAAAGCTATGAAGCGGGTTCCTTCAATAACATTGCCAATAGATTTATATTTTGACCACCTGAAAAGTTACAATGGTAATGATTATACCATAATTTTTCTAAAAAATTTTTCTTTATTTGTTGAAGAAAAAGATTGCTACTAAATCAAAATCGCATAATTTCGTCAAATGTAACACTGTTATGTCCATCCCCTAGATATTAACAAACATTTCAAGTTTGTTACAGCAAGCAGCTGTCATAGTTTTTATAGAAGGTATAAGCCAATGTACGTATAACTGTGTCTCTACATTAAAGATAGGTTGCCAGACAACGAAAAATAGGCCCACAGTATACTAGTATAGGTGGTCTGGGCAGTCCATAAAGAGAGAGAGATGGGGTTTAACATCCACTCGACACAAACTAGGTTATTTTGGGACTAAAACATGGTTCAATTTTATTTCAATAATTCACTTGCGCATAGGGTTAGGGGTCTTTGTCTTTAGCAGTGGGAGGAAACCAGAGGTCCTGGAGAAAACACACGAGGTTGAACAGGCGACCCTACTCCAGGGTGAGGGGAATCGAAAAAATGGCAGTTGGTTCAATGGCAGACATCAAGGGTAATGCTTATGAATTTCGAAAATTATAAGAAAAGATTCCGCAAAAAGTGAGCAAAAACTCTGCTCTGGGGAAGTGGAAATCGGTGGAATTCATCAGAAATTGACATTGTCACATTCCCGTTGCTAAAAACATAGCCATCAACGAGGCTGTTGAAAGAGTCAGACACTTCGGACTATGCCTACATGGAAAAAGAATAGTGAGACTTGTATTACCCGTCGGGTATTTTCATTTCTTATGAATAAAACTGAGAAAAAAGAGAAATTATCTGCAGTCTGTAATATCAACACGTATTTTCACTTTCGATTGATACCGGAACTGGAAATAGATAAAAACGAGATTTCAAAATCTGTGCGCGGCAATAGTGGGCGTGGCTTAATTTGGATTTTTCTTCCAGGCTCTATAATTCTATGCAAAACAGCTCTGGAAGAGCAAATCTACATAAAATTAGACCACCGCGGGAAATTTAATGACGTACGCAGACGGCAAAATGTCGAAATTTTGGTGGCAGACGTACAATTTTTATCACTTGAAGCTTAACAGTGAAGCTAAACACGATAATAAATTGGGGACCAGAAAGCTTCACAAACCTCCTTAGCTTGGATAGGCCTAATGACCTATGACTAGAAAGGTTAGCCATTTCAATCGTGGTGACGGTAGCTGTCTTCTGTAACTTAATTACTTTAGACTAGATGAAAGTATTGAAAGTCAAAGTACCGGAAAAGTAGATATCTAAAGCTGAAGTAGTCTAGCTTTGAAAGCGGCTCTTTCGTAATCACATTGATTTTGAACGAGTTCCGACAATCGTATATATAGGCTCTGGGGATCACAATTATCATTGAATATTTTTTCAAATTTTAATAGATTCTTCCCAAGGCCTTAGCCTATAGCCTACTTATAACTTTAACTTAGGCCTACCACCAGTAACTTTATTATAATTAGATCTTTAGGTTAGGCTAGAGCCTATAGTATAATTATAATAGGCTAGCCTAATCAAAATCAAGTAAAAATGCGCAAGTAGTCTAGTTTATTTTTAGCACAAACTAACTTTTGATTATTGTAGTTTTATATCCTTGGCCTAGATATAAGATAGTAGGCTAATAAATAGCCACTGGGCACTGGCAAAAGTTTATCGTAAAATCATTCTCAATTTTATTAAGTGAGAAGTAGAAATATTGGCGCTAGGCCCTATTAATATTATTATTGCACTTTTGCACCTCCAGAGACTTGTAAGTTGTAGACCGGAGGCTCAGCACGGGGGTGGGGGGGTGTCCATCAATTCAAATGGGCACAAAACCAGACCCAACTTTTCTAGAGTAAAACTTTGCGTAGAATATGATGCCGTGTGGTAATCAGTCCGCCGTTTGGGGCATTTTCGAGATATTCAGGGTCAAAGGTCAAATAAGGCCAACTCAATTTTTGGCAAGCTCGCTAAGATGTTAATAACGTTTGGGCTTGTGATTGTTGACAATACCGGTATTATATTTTATAGGTTAGTTTTAGGATAAGCGTTAGGTTTAAGAATGGGATTAGCACTAGCCCTGTAAACATCTTGTGACCTTTGACCAAACTTGAAGTTGGCCTTATCAAATAGATCTAACCTAGGCCTCGTGTGCAACAGTTACCTCCCTTACATAAAACTCAGTCTTAAAAACATATATTTAATAGCAGCAATATTAAAGAGGCATTATTTAAGAGCTAAATCTGCCTATTGCAGTTCTTTCTTTCAAGGTTCGCACACTCCTTGAAACGTCTTGAAAAATCCTAGAAAAATGAAAATGTGATTTCCAGTACTGAAAAAACAAGATTAGGCCTACTCCTTGAAACTCCTGGAAAATTAAAATTTGTAGTTTCGCTATATATTTTATTAAGATATAAAACAAAACTGAACGTAGTCATCGAATCTGTCTTCAAAATTCGCCTCAAAATGATATCTTCGCTTTGAATAAAGTAATTTGAATGAAATTTCAATATATTCATTTTGCATTATCTATGTTTGAACTATTAAGTATTATAGCAAGAACAACCAGTTCTTTATCTAAATCTTACATAATGTATCTTTAAGACATTTTATTAAAATATATAGATAGTGTCACAACCCTGCTTAACATTTTCAATCTACAGCTCAAACCGATAAAAAAACAAGGGTGCCATTATAATTCTTTGCATTATATATTTATGACAATTCTTTTACTTTCTTGAGGAAAAAGGAACTACCGACCAGGTGGCCATGTTTTCTTACCTGAGTGACTGCATAATTGGTAATTCTTTATAATCTCTTCTTTATTTCAATTGTGCTATCCACAAAGTTTTTTCTTTTCAAGATTTCAAGAATAGAATTAAACATATTTAAAATATTGTCTTTCAGTACAAGATATTGATAAAAAAAACCAGAGCACCTTTTGTCAACACCATTAATTATCACAATGTTTTATAGCCTTGAATTGCTTCAAAAGAGAGGTGGCCAATTTGGTATTATATGGTATGATTTATAATAATTTTATTATTTTAGAAAGGAATTTTATATAATATTATGGGGGGGGGGGGGAAACCATATAAAAAGTATACAGGAGAAATGATAAACTTTCTCTGTAGATTATAAATTGATATAAGAAGACTTTTGTCCTAAAGATGAATTTGCATAAGGATACACCACCAGTTGAAGAATTTAATGCTAAATATCACAGAACAGGGGATTCTTAATTATTGGTTAAAACGACCAACAACTACTACAATTGACTTAATTTTTATACACCATCATACAGTTATCATCTGATTTATTTGAAATCTTCTCTTTCATAGAGTTGGTCAACATTTATCTGTATCCTACTGCCTTGTAATGCTATGTTTGCTCGGTTTGGTAGGTTAAATGCAAAAGTACACTTATTATGCTATTATGCAAACACTTCAAATGACAACTGGTATCAGTTGTTTTGGAATTTATAAAGAAATAGTAAGTAACCAAACAAAATGAGTTGATAAATAGTGAGTCTTACCATTTGTGTGTCAACATGACCCTTTAAAAGTTTTTTTTATCAGTATTAATTTAAAGTACAATGTTCATTGACTTACATTTATTAAAATAAGGGTGGCTGCTACTGAGAGTGCCAAGTTGAACAGACGTCAAATTACTGGAGTTCGTTTAAGAAAAGTATGGTAGGTGAAAGTTTGGTTTAATTTTGTTTATGGTCACAATTTTTATCCGAATTTCTGCTCACTAAAAATTCCTTTGAAGACCAAAAGTTGTTGTGTGAGACTGTGAGAGGATATCTGACAATTCATAAAAAGAATTGACTGTCACTAGAGAAGTGAACACGAAAGAAAAACAGAAAAAGTCTGTGCATTACCATGTTTTTATAAGGTATAGAATGAATATAAACAAGGGAATGTACGGACTATTTCTATTTTTCTCGTGTTCTCTTATCTAATGACATTCAATTACTTTATTGAATTGTCAGGTATCCTCTTACAGTCCCATATAATAACTTTTGGTCTCCGAAGGAATTATTAGTGAGCAGAAATTCGCCCGTATATCCGTTATCATTCGTCACATCAATCAGTTATTTAGAGAGGCGACTCGTGTTTTCCTTTGGCGTTCGTCACTTCCGATTCAGAAAAACTGTATTACTCAGCTATCGTAGCAATGATCTCTGAGATAAAATTATATTTGGAATGTGTTTAACCAGCTCTATCACATATGTGATAATGACTGGCACCAATATTGTCCTTTAAAAAGAAGTGTATTGTCTTCACTGATGATGACTATATGTTTGCAGAACTTGTTCAGTTAGAAATTCAGAGCGGTGTAACCATTTTTCACAGACTGACCACTAGTGCACTATCTTGTATTTGTGACCAACTCTGTTTTTTCTCTTACACTAAGCCAGTTTTAACTTGCAATGTGTATTCTGTAAATTCAATCATATTCTGTATTTTTTCCTTTCATTTTAAGCCAAGACATCATGGATTATATTATGCTAAGAGCTCCACAGCCACCACCTGGACAATCAAGGAAGAGATTTTCATTATATCTGTCTTCTCAGTTGATGTATGGAGTCGTTAAAATATATAATAAACAACATGACTACTTACTTAGTAAGAGAATTTAAATGATCAAGTTTGAAATCAGATAACATTTGATAGAATATTCCTAGACTTCTATGTACACCTATATTAAAAGTGTATCGTATGTAATTGTATGTTATTGTCACCTTCTCCCTGTAAGGTTCTTATAATGTAAATAAACAGCAATACCAATATGTTGATGAGAATTACAGGTAGTACATATATACAAATTATTAACCTGTTATAAATTAAGTCATTCATTCATTCATGAATTTTCTTTACAGATGATGCCTCTACATTTATGTCAAGACTTCGGCTGGCAACTGTTGCAAATGAAGATATTGATCTTAAAGAAGCTGTTAGGTACGTCTTAACATCCATATTCCACTTTTTGCCTGGATGGAATTAAAACACAAATGGAGTTTTTGCGCACCCACATTTGAAATGTGGATGTAATGGAAACAATTTTCATCTGATCTTGATGAAACTTAAAATACATGTTTATATCCCAGAGATCTTGGTACATATTGGACTGTAACTTCCCTGATTATTGCCCCTGATTGTACGAAAATCCAGTGTCGGAAACAAACGTTTTCCGAGCACTGGCCAGCAGGACCTGTGTTACACATGATCATGTGGGTCCTTCAGGTGACATGTAGTCCAAACCAGGATGGTATTAATAATTATAGTTTCCAAGCGCAACACAAAACAATCAGAGGAAAGGAAGTACATATAAAGTGGCTGTGCATGTGAAAGTAATAAATTGTCATCATCGATTGACATGCCAGTACAGCACAGAAGGACTACAGGTTTAGTAACTTGCGAAAAGAAAAAAGATAAAAAAAAGACTAATCGAATTCATGTGTCATTTCAATTTAATGGAAACAATTCTATTCAGATCTACATACTTAGGTTTTTTTTTATTATATTAAACTACGTAAACTTCAAACAGTTACAAAATAACCTTAGTGTGTGCCGATAACGTTCATGAATGACGCGATTGTGTTGGCATAAACTCACTTGGCCAGCCCTAGATTGTTATCACAATAGCCAATGTCCAGCAACAAATCATGAGTCAGTGGTTACATGAGTCAGTGGTTTACAAAACAACAGCTTCCATCATGTCAATGAAAAGTAAACAATAACCATCAACGCTTGTATAAACTATCGGAGACTTTGAGGTTGTGTTTCTTTGATGGTTACCATTTCCAGAATTGTCGTATTATGACACTAACTATGTGATATAACAAGGCAAAGGCCCAACGGACCTGAGTGAAATAAGCAAGCAAGAGTCCTTTGATTAATCAGTCGGCCTCAGGCCTACTGACTGATGTTTGTGTTAAACACTGCCTATGTCTCTGTTTGTCAGCTATAGGTCAATTTTTGTTAACATTGCTTATAGGAGTTCATATCTTGTAGCGATTCAACGGAGTTGAAAGAGTCTTCATATTTCAGAATTATTTCAATCTTCAATTTTTTAGCCATGATCTGGTGACTTTACCTGATCCTGTGACCATGTTCCAACCAGAAACAGAGTACTTTGATCCATTATTTGGTCAAATAAAAGAAAATGCAAACGAATCCCTCATGGCCCACGAGGTATATAAATTATCACAAATGTATATTTTCTTGATTCATTTAGAAAACAAGACAACATAGAAAATATTCTGGTTCACAAATACCGGCCCCTCGAAACTTAAAAAGGACTGCATGACCTATTTTTATTTCAAAATTAAAAGCAATCTCATTAATTACCACATGTAAATATTTTCCCTCAGTTGCAGCAAGCAAAAATTTGGATAGGTCATAAATGTCACTGGCAATCATGAATGACATTAGATAACCATACAATCTTATAAACGACATGATAATATAAATGTAGTGCCTTGAAATTTGGCTGTGAGAATTCGTTTAGCCCTGTAGTGGTCCTTTGACAAAATAAAAACACAAAAATAAAAATCTTTCTCTGGCATCAGATTTTTTGGAAGGATTGTCTGAAAATCCAATCATTAAAAACTAAGAATGTTCTTACTGTCTTTGGCAAGATATCAGAATTAGATGAAGCAATTATGTGTTAACAGTTTCTTCTTTTAAACAGAGATTACAGATATCGTCAGCATCGGAAAGTGATCAAACCATCACTTATTCACCAAAATCAATTGACCCTTTGAGAATAGGTAAGCTTTAATTTTACCTTCATTTGCATAATTAGAGTTATTATGTAGGTAGAAAAATGTTTAGACCCTATCTGTAACTTACCTAATCGTCAATATTGCAACACGCTTAAACCCAAGACGACTTTCTGGTCAAACTTGCAAAACATATAAATGTCCCAGTAACTGGACTTGTCATAGCAAGAATGTATTATACCTACTTACTTGTAATCTATGCCATAAACAAAATGTAGGTGAAACCATGCACCATGTATAGATGGACAGGCAACGTCCACGAAGCCTTTAGAATTATGTGCCGCGGCAAAAAATAGACTGGACAATCTTTACTAAAATAAAATTACCTCCCCTCGCGCAATTACCAGTATTATGTTTAAAAGCAAGGAACAGAAATCAATTCATAATATTTCTAATAATATTTGCAACCCATACATAGATAGACTACTAACTGATGATTGGGATGTAAATGTATCAACACATCTTCTTTGTTTACTTTGGAAGCGCCCATGTGAATCCGAAAAAAACATCTCAAGTTTTCGTTAAAAACAAACCTAAAACACTGTTTAAATTTAAGCGATAAGCAATTTGATTGGTTGAGACTTTGGAACACAATAACTCTCATTCTAATTGAGTTAGAATGTTCACTCTTGGTGTAGGTGTCTATTAGGTGTATGCCTTGATGGAGTTTGAAGATGAGAATTGTCTGCTTAGCTATTAGGGTAAGCAGAGATAAGCAATTTGATTGTTTGATGCTTTGGGACACGATAACTTTAGTTCTAATTAAGTGAGAGTGAGGACACTTGTATAGGTTTATTACATCAATGCCTTGACTAAGTTCCATAATGAACATTTTCTGCAGAGGATAAGCAGAGCGATGAGCAATTTGATTGGTCGAGACTTTGGAACACAATAACTCTCCTTCTAATTGAGGTAGAATGTTCAAACTTGGTGTAGCCGTTCATTGGGTGAATGCCTTGATGGAGTTCGACGATGAACATTGTCTGCTTATGGTAAACATAGATAAGCAATCCGATTGGTTGATGCTTTGGGGCACAATTACTTTGGTTATAATGAAGTGAGAGTGATGAAGCTCTGAATATAGATTCATTATATCATGACCATGACTAAGTTTGAAGGTGCAAATTTTTCTGCTTATGCTAAGGATCAAAGAAATTTGATTGGTCAAGACTTTGGAAAATAACAACTTTGCGTTTAATTGGGGTAGAATATTTGAACTTGATGTAGATGTTCATTAGGTGAATGTCTTGACATGAGTTCATTTGGAAACTTCAAAGTTCTAATCTGGAGAAATTCGTCACTACCGGATAGGAATACTTGTCGGGTTGAAAAATTACCATGTAACTACAAGAATACTGTAAATTCTAAGGAGGAGTTTGAGAAATTAATCTGTATAAAATCCCGCAATGTCAAAAATCACATCGCTTGATTTGTCGTTGACATTGAGATCTCGTCGTGGTACAAATTTTTGCCTTACAAAATCTACTACCAACAGATGCACCATTTGAACTCCATTGGATTATACGGTTAAAAACCAAGACCCACTCAAAACAGCCATAGGAGAACTACCTACTCCTAGTCCGTTTGTCAGCTACCAGCGGAAACTATCCGCATAGCTGGCGCTTTGCCAGCCGAATTTATTACACCAGTGGCCGCCACCGACAACACAAGCCCAGGCCACCTAACACCGTTAGTGGCCCCCTTCCCACGTTTCCGAAACTGGGACTACTCCATCTCCCCCAGCCATCTGGTAGCGGAAACTTGGGTTACGGTCATTCAGGCCGAAGTGACATCTGGCGAGATAGAAATACGTCTGTTGACCAATTGTTCCGGATCAACATTCTAGTAGATCTTCAGGAAGAGATAGAGTGAGACCCCTTGCTTGCCTGCCAAATCACAGAACATGATCTTTTAAACTCTTCTTTTCTTCTCTGCATAATAAATAATTAATTTTAGACCACACACCATTTTCTCTCTTTCTTTTTCTCCTTTCTCTTGCCTCCGGGCCTAAATGAAACCCCGGTTTTTAGTTTCCCCCAAACCCCACCATTTTTCCTAACCCCAGTAAACGGCGAACGCATGAACCCGAAATAATACCAAACCCCGGTATTAGGCAGACTTGCGAACCCCGCCAAAACACCAAACCCCGGTAAAAGTCACCCTGGCAACCCTGCTAGACTCTAAACTTACCGGGTTTCAGATATAGATCCTCACCAATTGAGTGAAATAAGTCTGAAGAGTTCAATACAAAGAAACTAGTCACTAAAAATTGGGATAACTAGACGAATCGCCGATTTTTATCTACTCTAGAAAATTATAGGCTTAGGCCCATATTTATTAATAATGAAAAATCATATTTGTAGATTTGAAAGCCTGTATTTATTACTTCAACACATTTGTATCAATATCACTCAGTTGCATCTTGTGTATTAAATATGATTCAGTGTTTGCGATATTTTCATGTTATGAATCTTACTTTTGAAAACATTTGTTCCACTTGCATTAGAATCATATTTGTTAACCGGTACTCATAAATCTTTAAAGGAGATGTATTAGGGAGTCCAAATACAGTTTCTAGTATTGAAGAAATAACTTTGAAGGAGATGTCATCATTAATCAGTCGAGTTGAACCAGTAAGTTTTTCACTGGAGCTTAGTATATTATATCATTGTTTTTTCAGGTATGAGTATATGCCACCCCGACATGTCTGACCGCCAATCCACAATTCTTGTATAAACACTCTACCTATGTGTTAGAATTTTTTTAAAAATCTTGCTTTGTTTGTTTGTCTAGTCTGGAGTTACCCTATTGATAGTCAGAGTCCAGTCCTTGTGTAGAACCTTGTAGGCACTCTTCATGTCAGACTTTTTAAAGATTTACATCTTCTGACTTACTGGAATTGTTTAGCTAGTTATAAGAAATGGGGGATCACGTGGCTAAGTGGGAAAGACGCTGGCTCGCTAGCCTGGAGGTTGGGTGTTCGATCCCTGCATTGGCCGAGAAAGTTCATTTAGAAAGATTTTCCGGCGTGGTTCCCCCTTGTCAGTGATGCAGAACGGAGGGCCTGACAAGGACAGCTGTCTAGTCCTTCGGATGATACCAAAAACTGAGGTCCTGTGTATACATTGGAATGCACGTAAAAGATCCCTTGGCAGTTGGAATTCGCTATAAGAGTAGGCCGTTGTGCCGCTGCCCGGGCAAAATTTCCCTCATAGCACACTCTATGGCGTATGCCCGTCTTCATTAGCCCAGTATAGGAGCAGAACAGTAGGACGTTAAACCCCATTTCATTTCATTTCATTTATAAGAAATGTTTAGCTAGTTCTAAGGAGAAACTTTATCAAAATTGCACAATGATTTTTCAGTTACTGCTATGTCACCAAAACTTGTAAATGATCTGCATTTGTGAGAGATTTTGAGACTTTTTAAATAAAAAGCAGGGATTGTTTGCCTAATCATAAGGCAATCGAACCAGGGCAATTGTCTGCAAAACAACTACCACCTAGGACAATCTATTCCTTCAGCATACTTTCAAAATATAAATGAAAGAAGATGTGACAGTTGCTCTTGTTGATACAAAGGTAGAAATTGCAGTACATTAATGTTAATTTTTGTTTGGTTTATAATATAGCTAGCAACATTAGAAGAAGATTTATTACCTGGATTTGGAGAGTTGTTTGAAAATCTAAATGAACAAGAAACTGATATTCCAATTATGACAGAAGCTCATCAGTCTCCAATTCCTCACAGTCTTTCTGAGTAAGTAACACACAAATTGAATAGCAGTTTATTCTTTTAGCTTGCTTATCAAGTTTAAATATTAATTTGTACTGTAAACAGGTGACAATACTGTGCATGAAATAGTTCAATGTGGTTGTATCACCATCACCTTTGTTGATATGGGCTAGCTCGCTAGCCTGGAGGTCGGGTGTTCGATCCCTGCATTGGCCGAGAAAGTTTATCCCGATTTTCCGGCGTGGTTCTCCCTTGTCAGTGATGCAGGACGGAGGGGCTGACAAGGAAAGCTGTCTAGTCGTTCGGATGGGACGAAAAACCGAGGTCCCGTGTACACATTGGCGTGCACGTAAAAGATCCCTTGGCAGTTGGAATTCGATATAAGAGTAGGCCGTAGTGCCGCTGCCCGGGCAAAATTTCACTCATAGCACACTGTATGGCGTATGCCCGTCTTCATTAGCCCAGGTTAGGAGCAGAACAGTAGGACGTTAAACTCCATTTCATTTCATTTGATATGGGTTGTCTGTCTCACTGAAATGATAACCTTTTGACTTTCAAAAAAATTGATAATCAACTGCAGAATTATACCCCATGGTTATGAAATCTTGTTAGAACTGTATGGGGATGCTCGAACGTCAATCTGGAGTGCCATGAATTGTCAGAATTGCAATCGAGTGATGCAAAATTTAGTCCTGTCACAATTCTGCCAGTCCCAACAGTAAAGGTGATGTGAGTAGAATCGTGACGTAAGTAACCCCAATGAATATTTTTCAGCTGTCATGGTTGATTGAGATATTTTCTTATATAATACAGTCGACATATTCTCTGTAGTGAAACTCCCCAGATCAAGCCACCCTTATACCTCAGATTTCAGAATTGAGGCAGACCTAGTGTAGTCACCAACACCGAAGGCTTCAATTATGATTAAATCATTATAGTTGCTTGCCTTGTAAATGCTTAGACGACTTACCTGCTATTGGCGTATCTTTCTTCATTGTCTGGCACTCTATCTTATTTGTATAGCGTTCCTATTGTGCCTGTCCATGAAACTCCAATATACAGACCAGACAATGAATTGGCTAAAAAACACAAAGAACATCCTACTCCAGGTATTACTCCTGAACAACAAGAAAAACGACAAAAGAGAAAGGTACTTCTTGTGTATATAATTAATAATTTATTTGAAGAGACTTACATCTAGTAGGAATAATATTAAGCATGAATTTATTCATTTGGAGAAATTGTGATCGAAAGAATATTAAATTGGTATCTTACTGAAACTGAATAAAGTGTGTGCTGACATTTAAAATCTAATGAAGAAATGATTTTACATGGAAAATACCATTTCGATCATAAAACACTTTATTTTTTCTGTGTTATATTTCAGAGGGCGAGTATGAAGTTGGTATTAGATGATATAGATTCAAATATTCAACAAATAAGTCTTCCTAAAAAACGTAAAAGACTTATTATAGACAAAGAAACACAGATATCAAGGGAGGCCTTCAAAAAGAATCTGAAAAATTCCACTACTTCACAACCAAATGTAAATCAAACAAGTGCTTTAAGGCCATATTCTATAGTTAACAGACAAAATTAATTGTAACATTTAGAGTATTTAGGCAAACATCTATTACTATTAGGATAAAAGTAAATACTGTTTTAACACATTGGCAAATAAAAAGCTAAATAATTACAGCATGTCTTGATGTTTTCTAATATTCTTTTCCAGTCCATCATCGATATAAAGTCTAAAAGCATGGGAGATTTCTTTAAAACACCAGGAAGAGGTATTTTGTTCTATTACCTTTAGAATAGTTTGTTTTCTGTTAGGCTGGCATTTCATCGCATGTTATATGCCCACATTGTCAGGATCTCTTTCTGTATGTCAACAATTCCATGTCAAAGGTTCGGAGTATAATTTTTTGTAACATGCAAGGTTTTCAGTCATATTTTATTAAAAACTTTGTAAATGTATATACAAGATTACTCTACTTGAGTTTGTTTTTTTTTTGTTTTTTTTTTTAGCAAGATACATACCGAAATTCAGAGTAACATGGATGGCAAAGTAGCTGTTGAGTGTTTCCCTTGCATCTAAACACTATACCTGTATTTTATTTTCAGAATTGTCAAGATCTCTTCTATACTGTTTTCAAAGAAACTGCAAACTTCCAGAAACAAGTAAGATGTTAAGAATACCTTGCATGATGTGTTTAATAAAATTGAAGATAATTATAATTAAAGAATCCCTTGCAAACTACAATATTGTAAAAGTTGAGTCTCAAAATGGATCCTGTTCTGCTCAGTATTTACAAAGATGTGATGATTTGAAATTTTGCAGCATTCAGCATGCTATGTCATTCAATAATATAACCAAGCCAGCGCCACAAGAGTTGGGTAAAAAGAATTGATGGGCCTCTTTTTTAATCCGATTAAATCCAAATTGTTTTCTTATAGATGATCAGATGATCGATATAATGGATTGATCGAAATGAAGAAATTAGTTTATCACAAATTTTACTTAAATTTCTATTAAAATCAAACAATTTAAATTCTCATTTTAGTTTTTTTATCTGATACTGAAACAAGTGTGACTTCTTCCACTCTGGTAACATCACCACCTCCAGTCTCCCCAACTATTACTGCTCCTGTTTCAATCTCAAGATCAGCAGACATAGAACTACAGGTAGATTTGTTGATACCATAAGTAGCCCAAAAAAATTTAAATTTTATATGCCCACATTTTCATGTGGACGTATATTATTGTCGCACCTGTCCGTCCGTTCCCATTTTGTTTGTGGACACACTACAGGTCACAATTTTTATCCGATGTTAACGAAAATTGAAATATATGTGTATCTGCCAAAGATCTTGGTTCCTTTCGAAATTGGCATGTATCGAACCGTATAAACTTTGTGGATTATAACCATTGATTGTACGAAAAATCACATTTTTAGCTTATGGACACAATTTTTATCCACTTTTGATAAAACTTGAAATGTATGTTTATAACCCAAAGATCTCGATTCCTTTCGATTTTGCACATATCGGACCTAACTTCCTGGATTATGGCCATTGATTGTACAGAAAAATGCTTGTGGTCCCTCTAGAGGTCACAATTCTTATCCGATTAAAAAAAAACGTTTAAATATATCATCGTTGCACCATAATGGGGGTTGGGATCGAATTTCGTGAAAATCGGACCAAAACTGCCGGAAAAAACGGCCGCTCCTCGAACGCAAATAGTGTAAAAGTATGTCATGTCAATGTTGTGGACCCTCTTGAACTCACAATTTTTATTCGATTTTGATGAAATTTGAAATGTATGTTTATATCTCAAAAGATCTTGGTTCCTCTCGATAATCACACATATCAGAACGTAACTTCCTAGATTATGGCCCCTAATTGTTCGAAAAAATAACGTTTTTAGCATCTGCACCGTATAGAAGTCACAATTTGTGTTCAGTTTTAAAAAACGTTTAAATATATCACCTTTAAACCTCAGTGAAAGTTGAGTTGAGTTCAAATTTCTTAAAAATCTAACCGAAAATGACAAAATGGCCACTCCTTGTACACAAATAGTCTAAAAGTATGCATGAGTATCAAGGTTGTGGACCCTCTAAAATTTTTATTTGATTTTGATGAAACTTAAAATATATGTTTATATCCAAAAGATCTGGGTTCTATTCGAAATTCATGCACATCAGACTGTAACTTGATTGTGGCCCCTGATTGTACAAAAAATCACGTTTCTGTTTAGCTTGTTCTCTGTCCATGTCTTGCAAAATGTGGGCATATCTTGCCTGGCAACCACTGGTTAAGTATGTATTACCTAAGCTGTGGACCCTTTAGAGGTCACAATTCGCTCATATCAGACCGTAACTTTCTGGGTTATATCCCTTGATTGTACGTAAAATCACACGGTTTTGTTTTACCTTGTTCTCTGTTCATCTCTTGCAAAATGTGGGCGTATCTTGTATGGCAACCGCTTGTTGTCACATTAAAAGTGAAAGGGTTTAAAAACTGAATAAAAGCATTTATTCATAAATAAATATTTAAAAACTGGACAAAAACGTAGTGTTAAAACATACAGTCTAGGCTGAGAAATTTGTGGAATATTTTCTAAATGTGCTTAAACTTCAAATACAAATAATTGAATTAGAATGTTTCTGAGTGAAAGAAAGCTATGTTGACATAACTTCTAAAAAATATTAATGGAAAAACATATTCCAGCAAGTTCCATCCATGGAAGTAGTAAGAGATTTGAGTATTTCAAGATCTGAAGTATTGCCTGTTCTGGAACAAAGCTCCTCTATTGAAGGCTCCTCCAGTATATCTCTTAATTTGAGTAAACTATCAGATATTGTGTAAGTAGATTTAAATATATATTGACAATAAACTAAAAAGAATTTATAAGAAAATTGAATGCTAACATATATATCTGTTATCTTCTTCCATCGTTTGTCCAGAATTTCTACTGAACACTCTGTCGGTTATCTTTGGACTTGAGAAACCGTATGAATGCAATGCAAGACAAAGTTGCGGGGGTAGAATAATAAAATTTTAAATGAGTTTTGGGGTATTTTTATTGACTTTTAAGCCCTTTGAACACGATACGGAAAAAAGTTGAATTGTTCATAGGATCATTAAAGGAGTAACCCTATTGAAATTCAGAATAATTTGGTAGTATATTTCGTAGTTGTCCCCTGTTTACTTTCAAATACATGAAATCTTGTGACTTCTACTTTTTTTTTTCTAAACAATATTTTATTGAATATTAGGATTAGGAAACAGGCAAAGCCTATATAATCCCTCTCCCCAAAATTTTAAAATGTAAAGTCAGTACAAACTTGCCCCAGTTTGGAATTGACAATTCCAATATATTTTATGTGCTTTACAGAGTACCAGATATGGATTCCAGAATGACATTGAATACTATATCGGCTGTTATTGAAGAAGAGACTATTCAAACTGATCCTTTGGATGTTGAAGTTCCATTAATTTTATCTCCACCTTCTTATACAAAGAAAAATTTCAAGAAGTAAGTACTTGCTTTTCAAATTCCATGGAATACAAAATGCAAAAATATAGCTCCATATTAGCAGATGTTCATTTTACTTTAATGATTATTAAAGAACTGGTCATGTTTACATTATGTTTCGTCAATCAGTTGTGTGTTTGCTAATGGTAAAAAGATGTTTCTAATAAGTTCTTGTTTCCAGCTTGTGAACGCGAAAAGGTTCTTGAAATATTTTAAAACTTGATGGAGGAGGAACCTTATCCAAATTCAGAATTTTTCGATTGTTAATCAACAAGTTATCTATGATTTTTATACGCCCACATTTTCATGTAGACGTATATTGTCGTCGCCCCTGTCCGTCCGTCCACAATTGTTTGTGAACACTCTACAGTTCACTATTTTTATCCGATTTCAATGAAACTTGAAATATAGGTTTATCACCCTAAGAACTCGGTTCCTTTTGATATTGGCATGTATCGGACCATAACTTCATGGATTATGGCCCCTGATTGCACGAAAAATCATGTTTTTAGCTTGTGAACACTGTAGAGGTCACAATTTTTATCCGATTTGGTTTAAACTTGAAATGTATGCTTATAACCAAAAGATCTTGGTTCCTTTCGATATTCGTGCATATCGGAACGTAACTTCCCGAATTATGGCCCCTGATTGTACGAAAAATCGCGTTTTAAGCTTGTGGACCCTATAGAGGTCATAATTTTTATCCGATTTAAAAAAACGTATTATTATATCACCGTTACACCCTAAGGACGACTGAGTTCGAATTTCGTGAAAATCGGCACTAAACTGACAGACAAAATGGCCGCCCTTCGTTCTCAAATAGCGTAAAAAATATGGTATATCAAGGTTGTGGACCCTAAATAGGTCACAATTTTTATCCGATTTTGTTGAAACATGAAATGTAAGTTTATAACCGAAAGATCTTGGTTCCTTCTGATATTCGCACGTATCGCACTGTAACTTCCTGAATAATGGCCGCTGATTTTACGAAAAACGCGTTTTTAGCTTGTGGACCCTATAGAGATCATAATTTTTATCCGATTTAAAAAAAACGTATTATGATATCACTGTTACACTCTAAGGACGACTGAGTTCGAATTTCGTGAAAATCGGCCCAAAACTGACAGACAAAATGGCCGCCGTTCGTTCTCAAAAAATATGGTTTATCAAGGTTCTAGACCCTATAGAGGTCACAATTTTTATCCAATTTTGTTGAAACTTGAAATGTAAGTTTATAACCCAAAAATTACGGTTCCTTTCGATATTCGCGCACATCAAACCGTAACTTCCTGAATTATGGCCCCTGATTGTATGAAAAATCATGTTTTTAGCTTGTGGACCCTATAGAGGTCATAATTTTTATCCGATTTAAAAAATCGTATTATTATATCACTGTTACACCCTAAGGACGGCTGAGTTCGAATTTCGTGAAAATCGGCCCAAAACTGACAGATAAAATGGCCGCCCTTCGTTCTCAAATAGCGTCACAATTTTAATCCTATTTTGATGAAACTTGAAATGTAAGTTTATAACCCAAAGATCTCGGTTCCTTTCGATATTCGCGCATATCACAACATAACTTCCTGAATTATATCACCGTTACACCCTAAGGACGGCTGAGTTCGAATTTCGTGAAAATCGGCCCAAAACTGACAGACAAAAGTGCCGCCCCTCGTTCTCAAATAGCGTAAAAATATGGTATATCAAGGTTGTGGACCCTATAGAGGTCACAATTTTTATTCGATTTTGTTGAAACTTGAAATGTAAGTTTATAACCCAAAGATATTTGCGCATATCGAATTGTAATTTCCTGAATTATGGCCCTTGATTGTAGGAAAAATCACTTTCGTTTTAGCTTGTTATCTATCCATCTCTCGAAAATGTGGGCGTATCCTGCCTGGCAGACGCTGGTTTATTGAAACCTTAAATTATGAAAGCGATAAAAGACATAGTTTACAATGAATTTTGATTTAACATTGTTGACTTTGCTGCTATAGTCATATAAGGGATTTTGTTTTTTCAGAACAAATTGTGGTTTTGTTTACATTGCAGGCTTTTGGAAGAGGCTATTACTGAAGGTAATTGGACAACTTTTAGATCACTAGTACCAACCTCTAAATCTCGAACCACTGCTTCAAAAATCTTTTATCATTTACTGGGTAAGTGATTCAGGGCTTTATTTGCTTTTTAGAGTTGAATTTCTTGAATATTGGTTAGGACAAAGTGATATTGTATCTTGGAATTGAAATGGAGTTACTAATTATAATTGCCATAACAGCATGTGTTATGTGCCGGGTTCCCGCGGTCCTTGAAAATCCTTGTATATCCTTAAATTTAAATTTTCAAAATTTCATTTGCAAGGTCTTGAATATCCTTGAATTTCGCGGAAATAAGAAAATATCCTTGAATTTCAGTTGAGATCATTAATTTTGTTTTAAATGTCTTCAAGTCCTTATAAATATGAGATTATAACGATAGTTGGTAATGTTTTGGTTATTTTTAAGATGAAAAATTGTAACTTTAGGCTAAAAAATGTCCTTGAAAATCCTTGAATTTGACGTATATTTATCCTTGAATATCCTTGAAAAAATGTTTGACGAAGCCGCGGGAACCCTGTATGTGTTTTTTCTATTTCTGGGTATCATCTATGCAACTTTTCTATAAAACATAACATAGCTTTGTCTGCACAATTGATTTTGTCATAGGTGGGTAAATTCCTAATTGTCATATCAAAAACAAGAAATATTGAATTGATGGGAGCTAAATGCTAAATCCATGTATAGTAAATATGAATAAAACACATAATTGAAAATGAGAACTAGACACTGTACAAGAAATACTTATTGTACAAGATTGACAATTAGAGAAACGAAGTATATAAGCTATTTGATTGTTCAGTAGACTGAATATGGTAGTTTACATTATTAAAGTAACAAGAAGAAAGGATTTGGATTATGTTTGAGGATAATTTAAAACACCTAAGTGAAGATAAATATTGTTTTTGTATTTAAATCTTGTTTTTCTTTTAGTTGCTGGTGCGAAAGGAAAGATTTCTTTAACACAAGAAGAGCCATATGGTGAAATCTATATCAGCCGATTTGAAGCCTTTTAGAAAATATCCAGTTATTAAACCTTTAAAATCAAACATGTCTTAAATATGCATAGTTTAAAACTAATGGTTTGAGATGTAAAATTAATTTTTAATTTATTAACATCTTGTAAATGCCAGAGATGGATGAAAACAAATCATAGTTTAAACATTTTTTTAAAATTTTTTAGTTGGCAATGCCTTGATTTTGACTAAAAATTGTGAATGCTTAAAATACTTGTATTTAATATTTAATCATGTTTTATATATTGTTATTGTTGTGTATATTTGAATCTATATTGGAAAAGGAAAATATGTTGTTATGTTTCAGATACCTTTGTTGTTGCTTTTATTTTGAAATACTTGTTAATATTTTATCTTCCCGTCCAATAATATTGTATTTGAATTTAAATGAATTTATTTATGCTTGCTTGACCTTGTATGCATGGGTTATTTATGGTATATCAGTGTCAGTATACTATATGCTGAATATTTGAAGGTTGGTTTTCATATGTCAGAGTTGGCATATGAGGGGGTTGACAAGAAAATTGTAAATAGTCGATTGATTGGCATGAAAAGAAAAATGATGTCCACCAATGTACATACAATTAAAACTAAAATGATAATTACCAATCTCAAAATGACCAAAGTATTGTTTTGACATGACATTCAACCCCCATTCCATTCATTTTATAATATTGCTTCTTTTAGTTCCATAATTGGTTGATAGGGGTACTATCTAATCACATCCTTTCATTTTTTTGTTTGAACAAAACACAAATTTGTCTTCAATATTTATAAAAGTGAAATGAAATGGGGTTTAAAGTCATACTTTTTGCATCAACCAGACGGGCATATGCCATGTAGTAGGCTGCGTAAGGGAAATTCTGATTTTGAAGTCAAACTATCTAAGGGGACTATTAAAATAAGTTCGTCTGTCTGTCTTCTGTCCGTCACACTTTTTGGAATACAATAACACTCCTTTTTATTGAGCTAGAATGTTCAAACTTTGTGTAGGTGTTTATTAGGTTCAAAGATGAGCATTTTCTATAGGGTAAGTAGAGATTATCAATTTGATTGGTTGATGCTTTGGGACACAATAACTTTAGTTCTGATTAAGTGAGAGTGATCAAATTTGGTGTATATATAGTTTCATTACATCAATACCTTGACTAAGTTCAATAATGAAAATTTTCTGCACAAGGTAAGCAGAGTGATGGGCAATTTGATTGGTCGAGACTTTGGAACACAATAACTCTCCTTCTAATTGAGCAACAATGTTCACACTTGGTGTAGGTGTTATTAGAAGAATGCCTTGACGGAGTTCAAAGGTGAAAATTTTCTGCTAAACGTCGGCAGAGATAAGCAATTTGATTGGTTGATGCTTTGGGACGCGATAACTTTAGTTCTAATTAAGTGATGAAACTTGGTGTATAGTTTCATCACATCAATACCTTGACTAACTTTGATAATAAACATTTTTTGCCGAGGGTAAGCAGAGCGATAAGTACAATGATTGGTCGAAACTTTGAAACACAATAACTCCTATTTGAGGTAGAATGTTCAGACTTGGTGTAGGCATTCATTAGGTGAATGGCTTGATGGAGTTTGGTGTAGGCATTCATTAGTTGAATGGCTTGATGGAGTTTGATGATGAACATTAAGTCTGCTTACGGTAAGCAGAGATAAGCAATTTGATTGGTTGATGCCTTTGGGCATGATAACTTTGGTTATAAATGTAATTGAGAGCTATGAAACTCTGAGTACCAGTATAGATTCATTATATCATTATCTTGACTAAGTTTGATGAGAATATTCTGCTTAGGCTAAGGAGCGATAAGTAATTTGATTGGTCAACCCTTTGGAATTACATAAATACTCTGCTTTTAATTGAAGTAGAATATGTATACTTGATGTTGATGTTCATTAGGTGAATGTCTTGACTGAGTTTAATGATTAACATTTCCTGCTAAAGCTAAGCAATTTCTTTGACTTTGATTCTATTTGATAGAGAGTGATGAGGAAATAATAACAATTAACATACATATTATAGTATAGTACAGCCAGAGTACAAAGTACATACATAGACATGGGTTTTTTTTTTGTTTTGTTTTTTTTTATTATCCATCTTCAATCATTTACAAGCATAATAACAATTAACATACATATTATAGTATAGTACAGCCAGAGTACAAACTTTGTACTACAAAGTACATACATAGACATGGGTCCATCAATAACAGTCCACCAATAGCAATATTCTAACAATATCTTAAAAGGGTGACCTAGAATTATTGTTACGAGTATGATACATGTTCCATTTCTGTAAGAATGTGTCAAATTTATTGTTTTCTATAGAAATATGTTTTTCTACCTGATATTGGAATGCTATAATTCCAAGTAAACCTTTTAGGCTAGGAATACTCTTTGATAAACTACATCTAAATATGTAGTATTTACAGCAGATAATATGATTTATTAGAGGTGGGGCCCCAACTTTACCGAGCATTACCTCCTCCATCGTTAAGTTGGTGTCTTTATATTCAATATTAGTCAAATACTTGGAAACATCATTCCATAATTTTTTAATAATACTACAATGGTAATAGAGGTGTTCTGCTGTTTCAATTTCCGTTTTACAAAAGGAGCAGTTGTTATCGTCTACTCTTTTTATTTTATACAGAAATTTTTTGGTGGGAATAATTCTATGAAGGAATTTAAATTGGAATTCTTGGAGCTTTGTATCCAATATACAAGTTTTAGGGATAGTATAGTATTTACTCCAGATATCTTTATTAATAGCTTTGCATAGTTTTGTTTCCCACCATATTTCATTTTTGCTCAATTCTCCACTATCATTTTCTGTTAATAGAGTATATACGTGTTTGCAACCCTTTTGTTTTCTGAAAAGAAATTCTAACGGTATAGGTCTGATTGGTTTGGGTGGAGGAGAAAGGTATTGGGATAATAGGCTTAATTTCCACTCTTTTGGAATTGCTAGTTTGAGTGCTTCATATTTATATATCAATTTGAGTTTCTCAAATGTTTTAAACTTTCCGTTTTCCTCCAAAATATCATATATATTTCTAATTCCTTTATTATACCAATCTTTTATATAATAGAACTTAATATCAGCATTAAACCATAAGGGTTGCAAAGCAATTTGTGTACATTTTCCATTATGGGTTTTGCAAACTTTGAAAGCATAGTCTGCCCAGGCTTTCAGGACGTCCTTCCAAAACGGGTTTATAGTCCCTAATTTTATTGACCGGAGCCATTCTGATCCAACTGCAAATATATTGTATGGTAATTTCTGCAAGCTGCAGTCAAGGAATCTAAACCAGGGAGCTGACTTTCCTTTATGGATTAGCCTTTTAAGCCATGTTAGTTTTAACGCTTTGGTAAAATTAGTTATATCTGTTAGGTTTAATCCACCTTGTTTATAAGTTTTTTGTACTTTAGTTCTTTTAATTTTATCTTTTCCGTTACTCCATAAAAAATTATAAATTATTTTTTCAATTTTCTTAAATATTGCATTTTCTGGGTTTGGCAGCGCAATTAGAAGGTGGTTGATTTTTGGTATAATAAGACTTTTAATTACAGTTACCTTGCCAATTAGCGTTATTTTTCGAGCATTCCATATTTGACATAAATTTTCGATAACTTTTAATTTCGGATTGAAATTAATTTCAGTAATGAAACTTAGTGTATAGTTAATAATCAGTTTGATTGCTGGACACTTTTGAAAAAGATAAACGTGCAATTTATTAATATGTGTCATCTATTTATTTAGAAATTTGGTCTGGGGACATCAGCCTCACTGTTGGCTTTTTCTTATAAAAAGTAGTTGCTTGATTTCTGAGATATGCATAAATATAGTATTCTGTCCAGTAACTATCAGGAAAACCATTGAGCAAAAACATAAAATATTTGGCTATTATGATATATTCAATTGTTCTTATTACATCACTAAACAGACTGCATGCAGATAATAATAATTTACAAATATATAATTGTTTGCTGAATATGTATTTACAAAATGTTTAATTGGCTGGTTCTGTACCATATACTATTGTTAAATGCCTGTGACAGTGTCAGTCAATATATTAGGCCCCCTATGGATGCTAAAATTGTTTTTATTAGATCCAATGGGCACTACAGCCACTGATCCCAATGAATCATCAAAAATCATATTTCACTGTTCTATATTATGTACGGTATTTCTCATAAATATTATGTTTTAGATCTAGAAAACTAATAGATTATTATTTTTTCTTAAAATTATTGTTAATCCTTTTTTGATTTTTCAGTATGTTTTCTTGTCTTTACGTTTAATTTGTTGAATTTTACAATAATTAAATAAACATTCATTTGTCAAACAAAAATAATCCTGGTTCTTTATTTTATTTTTATTTACATATCTGCAAATCGAAGGCCTAATTATATAATATAGTGTATTTTGTTACTGAAACTGTGCCCTAAAAAATGGTGCAAAAATATTATTTTAACCTGCACAAGTAATTATTATTTAATAATGTGTTAATTAAAAGGTATTTAAACAGTGTTACGATATTCATTTTGGGATTTATTCATTAATGGTCTATTTATAACTATGCGGACCCGTGCAGTTGCACCAGTATAATCGAGCTGCAAAAGAGCACCTTGACAACTTATGACCTTGACCTTCCATATTTCACGATGGCTTCTCTCTTTGCTGATGTAGAGGTTGCTCCTGCAATTGAAGTATTTGCGCTTACTGCCAAATACAACGAAGATACGTTTGGCGAAAAAGTAAACTTAGGTGTTGGAGGTGAGATAATTTAATATATAATTTGATCTTACGACAAAATAGATCATAGCCCAATATGTGCATCTTGACTAGGCCTAGTCTATAATAATACAATACGAGAGCCGTGCATGTCGGTCGAAAAGTATACACTACCGGTAGCCTACTGCTGTTGTCGGAACCATAATAAAATGAAAATTGTTTTGTCAAATTATGTTGAATTCCATATGGTCGGATGACATCTTTATTAGCAGGGAGGCCGAAAAAAGCTTCATTATTCTATTAATCGAAAATGACAATTGTGAATTATGGAATCACAAAGTGACTGAATTGTTTTCAACATTATTCGTGTGACAACTGTAATTTTGGTGAAAGATATGTTCACTCTTTATTAAGGAATCATATAAAGTCACCAGCACAGTACATTGTCATCAATTATTGCTCTATCATATAGCAAGTTTTTAGAAATTTGTGATGGTTAGCTGAGGTGTGGAAAACAAAGAGATTGATGTAACCAACTAAGGGGGTACATTAATAATTAATAGTTAGAATTAGTAGGGCCTGAGGAAAACTAAAAGATGCCATGTTGAAACATAAACATGTTCACTGTTGTACATAGGCCCACCTAGAAATGGTTCCACTACTGATGTCTTCTGTCTTGCTATGGCCTCCCTTTGAGCAAGTTTTGTACTAATTTCCAATAACACTGAACCCAAACTGTACTGTATTAGCTTAACATATAATAAAACAATTCCCATTGAAATAAAGGTGAAACCTTACAGTAAAATTATATGATTTGATTAAACCCAACTGCTATGCGAAATTGCTGTTTAGTTTAAAATGGCCGCCGAACCAGAATCATGGTGTCTGTTACGGGTAACCCACCGCACAAACTGTTTGGCAGTGGTCATTCATGACTCCTGTGGTGGTACTGAACAACTCCAAAGCTGTTTTAGGTGGTACAGATTTCAGCTAATCTAGCCTAGCTTTGGTCTAAATATTAGATAACTCTTGTCAGGGATACTTAACCACTACAAATGTCTGGCAATTACATAGCTCTGTCAAGGGTACCCCACCACTAGAAATGTCTGTCAGAGTGTTTTTGTAATACCTGAAGATGTACGGTACACTGCAGTAAGATTTTCGTGTGGTACACTTTTGAGCTAATCTAGACTAGTTGGGGGGCATGGCATTTTGGGCGTGCAATACCACACCCACCACCAGAAACTCGGCAGACGTAGATTCTGATGATACCAGATATACATACATTGATACCATATAGGAGAAAATTGGTACACTTTTCAGCTAGGTTGACCCCCTGGGCTCCCGGTCTAATATGGTGTTATTCAATGCTTTGAATTATATATATTTTGTTTACTTTAAAATTTATTATTTTTAGCATATAGAACAGATGATGGAAAACCCTGGGTTCTGCCAGTTGTCAGAAATGCAGAGTCACAGATGGCAGCAGATCTGACTCTTAATCATGAATATTTACCTGTTGCTGGGTTACCAGCTTATCGGGAAGCTGCAATCAGACTGTTACTAGGTGATGGACATACAGTAGTTGTTGAAAATAAGGTAAACATTATAATTAAAATCAACCTCTAACTCTTTCGCCATCCGTGTTGATTTATCAAAATGACTATAGATAATTTAAATTGATTTTTGTAAAATACTTGCAAGCTTTAATTAATCTTGAGCTTATATTAAAGAAAACAAACCCTCTTTAACTTAATAGCTAAAAAAAGACCTTTCAAAGAACCTTATGTTATTTTCAAAAGTAGTGCAGAAAAGTATGACAATAAAAAACATGTTCCAAAGATGGTGTCATATTGTAGTGGTATTGAATGTTATATGTTGACAGAAATGGATAACTCCATCAACCTGCTATTAAGGGGAGGCACTGCTTGACAAATATGAATTTTAAAATAACTGGCTTCTAATAATGCTATCAACTTGAAATTTTCAGGAATTGTTCACATCGACAAAATAGGCTAATCAGCAGTTTTTGGGGAATCTGCTTTACTGGTTACCATGGAAACAAAAAAAAATCATTTTTACTGCTTAAAAAAAATCGTTCTCTGAAAGTATCAAAGGTAGAAGCCTGGAACTTTTTTTAAAATGTTCCTAGGACATTTCTCTGTGCAATTATCAATATGGTGTTGTTATTGTGTCCTTACATGTCATTCTATTCAACAAAACAAAAATTATGAAAAATGTTGTTTTCAATGAGAGATTTCAAATGCCAATTTACTACACTAAAAATTCATTTAGAGTACTGAAAATCCTTATTTGCATGGAACTAACATTACTTAAGTATGTGTGTAAGTTTCAGACATATCTGTTGTAAACTTTTCAAGAACGATTTTTTGTAAGGTTTCGACTGTTGATATTTTACTTTTTGAGAAATTAAGACATAAAGAGGTAAAACAGCAAAATTTGAATTGCAAGAGTGTTCAAAAGTGCATTTTTTCTATCATAAACCACTTTATATGTATTTTCTTTAATTACAAGTGAAATAAAAATGAATGAACATAACAAATATGCAAATATAAAAAATCGATAATTTGAGTCAAAATTGACATTTGTCGACCCTTGCCTCCCCTTAATTCAAATAAATCATGAACTGCCCAACAACGAAGACCAATCTCAAACAGTTGGTCGTTAAGTCATTGTAATGCTAGAAATATTTTTAACATAACTAGGTTGTCTGTTTTAGGTTGAAGGTGTACAGACACTTGGTGGAACTGGGGCACTTCGACTTGCAGCAGAATTTTTAAAACAAATGTTGAAAAAGGATGTTGTTTATGTGTCAAATCCAACTTGGGGTAACAAAGTTTTTTCTTTGAAGAGGAGAAGTACTGTATGTAGGATTTCCGAAATGTAAAAGGGGGGTTTTAAACATAAAACTATTTAAAGTGCAATATAGGATCGATGGCAACAAATAATTGTTAAGAGTTAAATAACCTCCAAACACATATTATGGAGTTACCGTACAAGTAAACAATTCTGTTACCTACATCGCCTGCCCCTCTAAATATGCCACTGGCATTTTTTTTTCTTGCCTGTATGTTGATTTTGTCATAATTTCTTAATTATGCAGTACACTAATACCAATAGGAATGAAGTGAAATGGGGTTTAATGTCCTACTGTTATGCACCAACTGGGCTAAGGGCATACAGTGGCACTACGGCTTCTTCTTATATTGAATTCCAACTGTCAAGAGTTCTTTTATGTGCATGCCAATGCGTACACAGTCTGGTTTTTCATACCTCTGAATGACTACACACCATCCCTTTGCAGGTTGTCTGTCCGGCACCACTGATCGAACACGAAAAGGGGGTTGGGTGGTCTATTGGTGTAACGTGTGCATGTGAAATCACAAGGTCTGTTAAAGACTCCAGTGGCATGGTTTCAATTCCCCGCTTGTACATGACAAGGCGTATGTTTGCCTGTCCAACTTCTATAAGTCCTCCGGTTTCCTCCCAGAGCGAAAGACCCCCTAAAAGCAAGCAAATTATTGAAATCAAAATGAACCATATGTTAGTCCATTTCTCTCTCTTTCCAACACATGACGTCCTGGTTAGCGAGCCAACTAATACTGATAGAAGGATTTTATTTAATATTGATATTAATGTTTTGTTACAGGCAATCACAGAGGTATATTTAAAGCTGCTGGGTATTCACAGATAAAAGAGTATAGATATTGGGATGCAGCTAACAGATCACTAGATTTAAAAGGAATGTTAGAGGATTTAAAAGTATGTAAAAGACTAATATTAAGTATAATTATTCTGCTTTGTACATGTATCTATACCCATTTTATATCTTTTAATCTATCCTTGCAACTTTTCTTGTAAGCTTGTTGCCTGTTTGTATTTACAGAATTCTCCAGATAATTCAGTTGTGATTCTTCATACGTGTGCTCATAATCCGACCGGAACAGATCCCACAGAAGATCAATGGAAACAGATAATAGATGTTTGTGAGGTAAGACATTGGCAACAATCTATAACAGCAATTATAAAACTTGGGACAGTTTCTGACAGTTCTCCATCTCTGGATTCATTGATCTAATGACAAGATCTCTGGATTTTCCAAAAAATGAAGCATTTTTGAGTTAAGAGAAATCAGCCACTCAATAACAAAATGTCTGCAGACCCTCATGTGTAATGTGCGTTGAGCATGACCCAAGGCGAGGTAGTTAATTAATTGATGACGAGTTAATCCGAAACATTAATTAGTGACTTCAATCAAAAAAATTAAGCTTTATATTGCATCCACCTGCTATGATTTTTTCCAAAATAGTTCAAAAGTTAGCTGTAGATCAGAGACTTAATTATTACATCGCTGGGTAGATCTCGGCCTATATGTATTGAGATCAGCACATATTGGTTTCACTATCACTAGTATCAGATTTAATTCTATACATATTTCATCTTTTATTTTTCTGTGTTTATGAATTGTATAAGTGTTTCTGGCAATAATGGTGTATATATTTTTTATACCCTGTCACCTGATTTTTAAGGTCAATCTCAATCTGATAATTTTCCCCTGAGGCTATTACAAGTCTGAAATTAAGATACGAGTAGTCTATGACTTTTGATCATTGTTAGCCAGAATTAAAAGGACATGACCCCTTGATTTAATTGAAATATGAAAATGATAAATTAGGTTTATGACCTCCTTGATTTGGATGAAGACTGAAAGGGTCAATTTGATTAATTATTAGTAATTTTGCATTGAAAGATGGATATATTTCAATATTTGAAATTTTACATTATTCAAAAATTTGATTTTTTTTTCTAAAAAAAAACAACTAAAAGCTAAATTTAGTCCACTGATTGACTTCTCCTTATATTGTCTGACTTTAAGTTATATAATGAATGCAATTAGACTTCGGATAACCATATTCAGTTCTGTACCTTATTTTAATCTTAAAGTGATTGCACTGCTTTGAAATTAAAAGAGGACTAAAACTGGTATATATCATTAAAAGTCATTATCCTTAATAATTGATTTGAAATGAATTTAGTTTACCACGGATTATAATTATATTTGATGCCAATAGTATTTCATGTATAACTATAGAGATACTGTGACCCAAGCACCGTCTAGATACCTCGAAATTTTAACTAAAGATAAAATCCAAATTTTAGTAGATACCTCAATTTTGATTGGCTAAGCACTAAAATCAATCTTAATATTATCCAATCAAATTACTAAAATTTGGATTTTATCTTAGTTAAAATTTCGTGAAACAGGTCCCTGGAATACAAATATTAGTGCAGGTGCCATTAAGTTCCCCATTAATTTAAACACAACATTTATAAGATTAATACAGGGATTATCATAGATGTTATTTTCTTATTAATAGGAAAGAAAAATGTTTTTATTAATGGACTGTGCTTACCAAGGGTTTGCCAGTGGTGATTTAGACAAAGATGCCTTTGCTGTTAGATATATAGCTAGTCGTGGAATAGAGTTTTTTGTTGCTCAGTCTTTTTCTAAAAACTTTGGACTTTACAGTAAGTAGCTATAAATAAAATAAACATACATGCACTGTACTTATTTTCCTGTATAATTCGGAAAAATTGATTATATTGTTATTTCATGATAATTAGGCCTACAGATATACAAGTTAGGTCTATTTTATCCAGACTAAGCAAAGACAATCTATCAGTGTAGTTGTTTTTAATATTTTAAGGTGACACTGTTAGTGTTGTATCTGAAATCCAGAATTTTTGTTATTTAAAGAACATGTAACAACAAGGTGAAAGATAATGTTATCTGTATGAAAATATTGTTAAACTTTGTAAATACATGTATATATATTGAAGAAATAGATCAATTTCTATTTCAAAATACCAATACAACGTCCTTGTATTCAATTTGTTTTTCCCTTTTTGTAGATGAACGTACAGGAAATTTATCTATAATAACCAACAGTTCTGATATGAAATTACGTGTTCGTACACAGTGTGAATTAATTGTTAGGAAAATGTGGTCAAATCCTTCTAACCATGGAGCAAGAGTTGTGGCCACAGTTTTGAATAACCCTGCTCTTTATGATGAATGGTAAATTCTTTTCAAATGTCATATTGCATATTGAATTAGCTTCTTTATCAAAGAGGGCTCCAGGCCTGGTGGCTATGCGAACAAGGCGTTGGCTCGCTAACCAGGATGTCTTGGGTTTGCTGCCAGTGTTGGTCGAGAAAGTTACTCACTATTTTCCGGCTTGGTTCCAGTTTTGGCGGACGGAGGGCCTGGTAAGGAACAGCATCTATCTAGTGGTACGGAAGGGATGAAATATTGACATGCACGTAAAAGAGCTTGTGACAGTTGGAATTAGAAACCAAGAGTAAGCGATAGCGCAGCTGTCCGGGCAATATTTCCCCAGATGCATGGCATATGGCTGTCTTCATTAGTCGATTTGATGCACATGAAATTAAACCACATTTCATTTCTTTACCCAAGGGAATGGGTTAGTTAGTAGACTACAGTCTACAAGAGTACATTATCATTAATTAAGGAATCATAATTTTCTAAAATTCTGTGTTTATTTATATTTGGCATTAAATGAGAGCTCGATGGCATTGGACATAATCGGTATCCCCAGTGTTATTGTTCTGTTCTACTCCACTAACCTCTGGGTCCATTCACAGGGTTTTCACGAATTCACTGATCAGCAGAGTTCGCAACACTGATTCAGCTATCTTAGTTGCAATAATATGTGAGTTACTTCCCTTCTACTCTTAGTCGATAAAAATAGCACAAGTATCAAGGGTGGATAATTTGACTGTGTCTCGTCCGTGAATTGGACCAAGAGGTTAGCGAAGTAGAATGAAAATCTCCTAATAAATCTATTTTCCATACCAAAAAATGAAGAAAAAAACCAGTAGATGATGAATAAAGTTATTTTATTTTACAGGAAACAACAAGTATTGATAATGGCAAACAGAATTAAATTAATGAGACAACTTCTATATGAAAAGTTGCGATCATTAGGCACACCAGGAACTTGGGAACATGTTATTAAACAAATTGGAATGTTTAGTTTTACTGGTCTTTCACGTAAGTTTTATTTTGAAAAAAAACAAAATACTTGATAAAACATTAGGCAAGGTTTGAAAGTTGTAAAATAACAAAACAATACTTTCATTGTCTAAACGAATACAGTACATCTGAGTTTTTTTGTGTATAATAGGTTGAGAGCACTGTCCAAATTTAATAAAACTTATTTAAGTTTAATGAATTATTTATAGCTGGAAGGCATTTGTAAAACACAACTTTGTTTTTCAATAACATTATTAAATCATTTTAGAAAATACTAGAATGGTATTTACTGTTGATCAGTTCTGTTATAATGGACTAAATGTTCAAAAATTGTTAATAGCTTTTGTAGTCACACCAAATTTATTTTCTGAAACTGAAATTCATACAATTAGAACACAATCATTACTTAAACTGTGTTTTATTTTTCAGTTCGTCAAGTCGAGAATATGATGAACAAACATCATATTTATCTGTTAAAAGAGGGAAGAATCAACATGTGTGCATTAACAACTAAGAATGTTGAATATGTAGCTAATGCGATACACGATTCAGTTATATCTTTTCCTGATGACTCAAAGCTATAAATTACACTGTGTTTTTGTAGTATGCAATGTATAGTTCAAAAATCGATTTTTATCCTTGATAAGGTTTTTTATTTTTAATTGATTCTTCCATATTCCTGTTTATCTGTTTATATTTGAACTTATGAAACAGTAAAAGCCTAGTCTTTAAAGTATGTTGTATGATTTTGGACCTTTGATTTTTATTTCTAAACACAAAAACAAAATAGATCCCTCTACAAAATATTTAGGTGATCTATGCTGCTTAATAAAATCAATTATGCACATTAACAGCTGAACAGTTATTAAAGGATCTAGTTACCCTTATTGAAACATTAAAAGTGACATTATTTTCATTGACTTCAAATCTCTTTGATGTGGGTCAAAAATGAAACTGTCGATTTGATTTGTGTTGTTGGATGATGGACTATCAGCTATCAAATTTTTATGTTTATAAATATATGTAACTAGTCTGCGATATACCAATTTTGTGTTCAATGATTGATACAGTATGCCAAAAAATGGATTAAAATTATTAAACAAGCTAACTTCCACTTTATATTTCAAAACAAAAATTTTATTGTCACCGATTGAAGCAATACATCAGATCAGTCCAATTTGACAATTTATTTGGCACAATATAGCTTGGTTGGAGCTGATGTGCGACAAAAAATCATTTCGTTGACACTTTACTTTGCCCTAAATCAGGGAGATGCAGCTCCTTTAATGAGAACAAGTACAATGAGAAAGTGTATTTTGATAATATGGTACTTTTAGAAATCTATGGTCCAAAGCACATTACTTAATTTGAGACGCAAATGAATTATGAGTAGTATTATTTACATAACTCCACATTTTAATTTTTATTATTTATAATGTATGTTACATACACAAGGCCATCTATATGTATAAAATATTTGTTTTAGTTTTTAGACCAAAATTGTTATCTGAACTCCAGTTTTATATGTGAATTTTGTTATGATTTTTGTTATATTATAATGATGTTTTCAACACATTTGTTTATAGAAGGTATAGGGTCAGCTGCACTGGTATATATTTTCATACCCTAGAAAGCCAAATTTGAATTTTGTTTGTTTTATAGTAGATTTCTGTTACATTGTTTGTTTGATTTTATTGATATGTGTATTTCAGTTTCGATGGCCAAATCATTACAAGGCCATATAAAAAAATATTCTGGTTCTTAGATAATCCTGCATCACTTAAAAAGGGATGCATGACCCACCTGTTTTTATTTCACATTAATTATTGCACCTAATATATTCCCCTGGTAACAGAAATTAATCCAGAAATATGCCGCACAGGGTAATCAAAAATTCCTATAAATATAATGAGATAAATGTCTCGTCTTGAAATGTGATGTTTATGAAAAGTCATAGAGCCCAGTGCTGATACTTTGCCAAAATAAAAACACAATGAAAACCTCCCTCCCACATTAGATTTGTGGTAAGGATGGTCTGAGAACCAGAATTTTCTTTTTTGTATGGCCCATATTAAATCTTTTTTTTTTTTTATACAGAAATGAAATTAATAGCTTTGAAGATATAAGATTTAGATTTTTAAAGAAATTCTTCTATACAGTTTAAATGTTAATCATGTTGATTGTAGAAATTTTGTTATTGTTTATACATGTAGCTAGTGCTGTTTGTTTTTACTATTTTTGAGTGTGTGATATATATTATTGTATTGATATGTGATAATCAGATGAAGAATAAAAAAAACATATAATACAGAATTGTTGGTATTTTTTTTTAAAAAAAACAAATCTATAACTATTTATGTGGGTGAATTAAATTATAAATTTCAGTTTATAACTGTACTGTAACAATGATTGTGAATGCAAATAAATGACAATATTCTAAATTGAAATTTGAACATATTGTTCATTGAATCATAATAAAGCCTCAACTACATCCATATGAATTCCTATAACAGTGTTACAGAAAGGCAGATTATTCATGACTCTAAGGACTGTTTAAATATGAATAGAAATCAGATAATTCAAATAATTGGATGGCCCTACAATTCCAAATGAGTAAATTTTATAGGCCCACATTGAAAAATGCAAAATGATCAGCAGTAATATGGCCATGTAAATAGGCATAGGTGGCTAATCTCATTTTGTTCTTGTTTTGTTTTTTTAGGGAGGGGGGATGAGTTGACCGAAAATTTTCATTTTCACCCAAATTTTCAGAATGAATCGATCAAAAACTAAAACGAATTTTCCACAAAGATGTGATGGTTGATTATTTTCAATTAATTACACAATATAAATTCACAATATGTTAGCAAGAAACAACTTAAACGAGCTGAATCGCTAATATTCGAGACCCATAAATTAACACAAATGGGTTGCAACGCATATAATAATGTAATATGAATGTATAAAAACTGATTTACATTCAATCGTGTCTGTTTTTACTCTAATTTCTAATCAGTTATGTTCGACGACATACGCCAGAAGTCTCAATCGAATGGCAATCTCTAGCGTCTGGTTATTCCAGTCTACACCAATAGTATTTATTGCACATGCTCTCCAGATAAGAATATGTCATCACCGTTTGACATGACTTGTTGAATATATCTAGCCTCCTTCAAGTCCATTGGCTTTATGGTACACGATTCGTGTACCAATGATAAAATGTTAATTTTATCTTAAATATTGGATATTCCAAGCCCATCTTTTCCTGGTAAGATCACAACATCAATGTTGATTTAAATTGATAAATAATTCGTGTTTTCAATGCCGAAGAATTTGGATGATATTGAGTTAGAGACTAATTAGCTACTTTCATGTTCCCAAATGGCCATGTATTGTCGCCCAGATCCGTTGGTACACGATACACAATATTTCTCGACATCTCTTTAAGGGCTAAAGTTATCATCCGCTCTGCTTAGATTATATGCCATAATTAACGAAACAAAGAGCCCAATTGAATTTCAACAATTTCGGGCATCATTATTTGATTCATCAAATTTCCTGCACTTGACATTTCTGGATGTGATAAATTTATATTATGTGTTGACTAAAAAATCAAAAAGTCAGTATGTTTTTTGAAATATCTGGTCCTGGTGGAACAAATTATTGAAGAAAGGGAAAGAGGATAAATATATCTACGGGTAAGATAATACAGCAAACAAAAATCGATAAATGCAAAACGACATTCACTCCAGCAAATGATGGATTGTTATACTATATCTATTAGTAGGACCGTTTTTGCCCAAATTTCAGTCATTCATAATGTGTTCAATTTTGTATGAAATCATTTCAATTTTGTACATTTATAGAACTTGCATATTTTATTGTCGTATATTGCCGTCGCCCCCGTCCGTACGTCGTCCACAATTTCTTGTGAACACTCCACAGACTATATCGATCATCTGATTGTTATGAAATTAATATATGTTGTTTAGTTAGATGAAGAATCCTAATTAATTTCAATAATTTCCGCTAATTTCACTTTGTTGAACATTGTGAACGCTCTAAGAACAAAAGTTAACATCCGATCTGTATGAAATTGACAAAAATGAAATGAAATGGGGTGTAACGTCCTACTTTTCTGCTCCGAACTGGGCTAATGAAGACGGGCTACGCCATACGCCATACAGTGTACCACGAGGGAAATATTGCCCGGACAGCGGCACTACGGCCTACTCTTATATCGAATTCCAAATGTCAAGGTATCTTTTACGTGCACGCTAATGTGTACACGGGACCTCGGTTTTTCGTCCCATCCGAACGACTAGACAGCTGTCCTTGTCAGGGATCGAACACCCGACCTCCAGGCTAGCGAGCCAGCGTCTTACCCACTTAGCCACCGTGATCAATCAATTAAATTAGATAAATGAAGACGCCTATTGAATTTCAGCAATTTCCGTACATTGCGTCTAGAGATATGGCCCATGTCTTATTTTGTTGAACCTTGTAAACGCTCAAACAACAAAAGTTATCCGATCTGTATGAAATTTATATGTATCATTTAAATTAGTAATTAGTGAAACGAAGAATCCTATTGAATTTCTGCATTTTCCGTTAATTACCTCTTTGTTGAACCATGTGAACACTCGAACGTTAAAAGTTATTATTCGATCTGTATGAAATTTGTATGCATCATTTGAATTAGTCAAACGAAGACGCCCATTGAATTTCAGCCATTTTCATTAATTACTTTTGGAGTTATGGCCCTTGTTTCACTTTGTTGGACCTTGTGAACGCTCGCACGACAAAAGGTATCATCTGGTCTGTATAAAATATATATACATCATTTAAATTAGTGGAACGTAAAAACCGATTGAATTTCAGTAATTTCCGATCTGTATGAAATTTATATGCATCATTTGAATTTGTCAAACGAAGAAGGCTATTTCCGTCAATTCCGTCAAATACTTTGTTGAACCTTGAATGACAACAGTTATCACCCGATCTGTATGAAATTTATATGCATTATTTAAATTAGAAAAATGAAAAAGCCTGTCGAATTTCGACAATTTCTGTAAATTACTTCCAGAGGTAAGGTTATCGTTTCAGTTTGTAGAACCTTGTAATCCCACAAAGGGCGAAAATTATAAATATGCGACAACCCTTGTTGACCGCCGGACGATTTAGCTGCTGTGGGCGTATGTTTCGTTGCCTGTTAACCCACCTTTAAAATACTTTGTACGCTAATGACAAAAAAAATGAACACTCTTCAGTTATTAATGGGACCGTTATGAAATGAGATTTAACGTCCTATACTGTTCTGCACCGAATGGGATAATGAAGACGAGGTGAGGAGGGGGGAGGTTAAAATTATGAACCCATATCTGCCATATCTGCAATATTATCGGGGACAATATGCTAAAACTAAATTAAAAGCAGACCTATTATTTTGTCCATTTAGCGGACTTTTATCGCATGTGCAATAGTGACATGTTTAGTGGGATCACGTGGCTAAGTGGGTAAGACGCTGGCTCGCTAGCCTGGAGGTCGGGTGTTCGATCCCTGCATTGGCCGAGAAAGTTCATCCAGATTTCCCGGAGTGGTTTCCCCTTGTCAGTGATGCAGGACGGAGGGCCTGACAAGGACAGTTGTCTAATCGTTCGGATGGGACGAAAAACCGAGGTCCCGTGCACATATTGGCGTGTACGTAAAAGATCCCTTGCAGTTGGAATTCGATATAAGAGTAGGCCGTAGCGCCGCTGCCCGGACAAAATTTCCCTCATAGCACACTGTATGGCGTATGCCCGTCTTCATTAGCCCAGTTTAGGAGCAGAACAGTATGACGTTAAACCCCATTTCATCTCATTTCAATATGTTTAGTATGCCGCTCGCTACTTTGAGGCATTTATTAGGAATATGACAAATTCAGGATAACAATGTGATCTATTATAATACTCTTTGGTCAAGCCATCCTATTTGTCTCTAATTACATTGAAATTGGAAAACTTCCTCCTCTTCTAAAAATCACTCAATGTTTGTTTAAATAGCTTAAAGTGCGGTATTCACAGTTTTCTTTCTCGCTAATTTGTATAGTTTCTGCTCTTAAATGTCCAAAAATGTCCCTTGACACGGTCAACAAACATTGGAAGTAAAGAACGCCGAAATATACTAGCGTTGACAAAAACTATGAGGATTTCTGTTAATATGTTTGTGGACATATATTGTTTGAAAAGTCATAAAGTTGTGTTCTTTGTGAATATTCAGGGATGTCTATAACGCAGTAAAGTCTTAAGTAACCTTTAAAATCACCAATAAATGTGTAAGAGTATAATGGTTACAATTTTAATACACCGGATAACATAGAACAGGTATGTATATATTTGTGAAAATATACTGAGATGCAATGAAACCGCACCAGTTATTTGACTGGAAAAGCTGGCGAGACATAATAATTACACTACCTTCACACCAACCATCCGTTTGTAATTACTAACCATAGGGTAGGGTGATGCAATTCCCAAACGGAGTTTAAGAAAATCACATAAATTTGATTTTGATTCAGGGTGTCTAGTTCTGAAACTCAAACCGCAGTTACAGAAAATTAGCTCCACTCTCTTGCCGTTATTTTTCGAGATTTTACTACGGACCCTATGGTTAGTTTGTGTATTTAATCTCGCGGCTGTAACTGGGGCTTTTACCATTCCCTGATTGAAAATGACATTGATAAAATTATCGATATGCTTTTGCTAGTCACAAGACTCGTAAATGCTGTTTCTTTCGAATCTATCACCAATAATCATGTCCGAATGAACTAGGTTCTATTGCTGTATATTACTACAGTCCTATGTATTTGGCATAGAAAACAAGTTTCTTATCTGGTCCGATGATGTTTGACCCCCCCCCCCCTCCTCCCCCAACAACAACATTTCTCGAGCAAAAATGATACAGTCCCCTCCCCCCACTCCCGGAAAATAGTCCCATGCGCCTATGAATTGCTTCCTTGTTATTGATCTGATGATGATGTATTGATCTGATGATGTAACATTTAGAACAGCAAGATTAAAGTGTGGCCTACATCTCAAACGATATTTACAACAATCCATTCATAAAAGTGCTGCGTTTTCATTGCATCTCAGTATATTAGTCTACCTTGTAAACGAATGAAATTTATAATACGTTCCTTATACAGATCGAAGGGTACGATATGTGACAGGATAAAAAAAGGAAAAATAATAAATGGGCGAAGAGTAAGATGTGTGAATGATTGAAAATATGAATGGATGGAGTGTGAGTTGTTATAGAAACGACGAATAATCACATAAATAGGAAGGGCAACAAGGCTTCACTTAACCATTATTGTCAATAATAAGACTGCAAATTAAAACATACAGCCTTCTTTTTTGTTGCCCTTCTCCTTCCTTGTGCAAATACAAGTTAATTGTTTCAGAGACAATTACTATAGATGGTACTGAAAAATGTGAACTCTTTACAGAGGTGTATTTTAAGTGTTCATTTATTCAGAATTTAGCGATATGTGGTGAGAAATCCCTAGAAGACGTAAAACAAATCAGTTGTATATAGGCTATACACGTGTTCATTGCAATTTAGTATGAGTTACGAATTCCTCGTATTTTATGTAACCTATCGATTTGCTATACAGCATAATATCAATGTCAACAGAAGTATCTAATTCTTAAAGCTGGACCACCATCCAATCAGTTCCCCTAAAAACTAAGGTTGCAATCAGAATACGTAATAGGCTACCGGTTTAATCCATATTTTCTTTGATATCCCTACCTATGGTTGAACAAAGGTTATTAATTTTCATATGGTTGGAAAAGTAATTTTATGGACATTATGATATCGACATTTCCAAAATGTAAAAATCATACATTTCGCCTGTATGCATAAAATCTAACTATTTAACTATTAGGAAGTATCAGATAAGCTAAATTTTGTGTTTTTTGAACAGCACACTCTGTGATTGAATAAAGAACCAGTGGTTGCCATGCCAGGCAAGATGCGCCCACATTTTGCAAGAAATGGATAGAGAACAAGCTAATAAAAAGGGAATTTTACGTACAATCAGGGGCTATAATCCAGGAGGTTACAGTCTGATTATGTGCGAATATCGAAAGGAACCAAGATCATTGGGTTAGAAACATACATTTCAAGTTTTATCAAAATTGGATCAAAATTGTGACTTATAGAGGGTCCACAACCAGTCAGCAGTGGCGGCGCCAGCAGTCGGTGGTTGGAGGGGCAAAGCTAGGGCAAAGTCCAAGGTTAAGGGGGCAAAGGCACTAGCTTCAACTAGGGGTAGGGGGGTCTCCTCCAGACAATTTTGAAAAACGGGCTGCCGGAAATGCAGCCTGGCAGTATTTCAGGCACTGATCGTTGAGGTAAAGTGTCAAACTAACGGACTTGCGAACCGCGACAAAGTCCAATCACGACCGCCAAATGGGAGACCTTCCTCCGAAAATTTTGAAAAATAGTCCGCGGGAAATGCTGTCTGACAGTATTCAGTCAGGCACCGATCGTCGTGATAAATAGATCTGACCAGAAACCGTCCGTCGCCTGATCACTAGTTTATCCGACCAGAGAACAAAATGTCAAACGAACGGACTTGCGAACCTCAACGAAGTCCCCTTGTGAGCGCCAAAGTAGTGAGTCCTTGTGAGGGTATTGGGGACCTCCCCAAGAAAATTTTGAAAAATAGACTGTCGGATATGCTGTCTGACAGTATTCAGGCACCGATTGTAGAGATGAATAGAGCTGATCATATGCAGTCTGTCGCCTGATCGCTAGTCTATCCGACCCCAGAGAGGAAAGTGTCAAATGAACAGACTTGTGAACCTCAACGAAGCCACCGGAAATTTTAAAAAATTGACTGTCGGAAATGCAGTCTGGCAGTATTTCAGGCATTGATCGTCGAGATAAATAAAGCTTACCAGATACCGCCTGTAGCCAAATCACTAGTTTATCCGACCAGACAGGAAAGTGTCAAACGGACGGAGTGAGTGACTCAAAGTGAATGAATATTTTCGCCACGATATTTTGTGACATAGACTGCCGGAAATGCAGCCTGGCAGCATTTCAGACACTGGTCGTCGAGATAAATAGAGCTGACCAGATACTGTTCGTAGCCAAATCACCAGCTTATCCGAATAGAGAGGGCATGGTGTCAAACGAACGGAGTGAGTGTATCAAGTGAATGCATATTCTCGCCGCGTTGACCTATACCCAAAAACCCTGAAGATCGTAAAAAGCACTTCCCAAGTGATTCACGTGTTATTTTTTATAGTAGTTTTACAGCAGGATGGGCTTGGTAAGAAATCACTCAGGCTCTACAACATGCAAGTCTATGACCGAGTGGGGAAGTGGAATTTAATCACTGTAGAAGGTATTGATTACCGTGTTATTGTTTATGACCCCCCCCCCCCCATCTCCCCTGGCGCCGCCACTGACTGTCAGGCTGCATTTCCGGCAACTTGTTTTTCAAAATTTTCTGGGGGAGCCCCCCCCCCACTACACCTAGTTGAAGCTCGTCCCTTTGCCCCCTTAACATTGGACTTTGCCCCAGCTTTGCCCCTTCAACCACCGACGGCTGGCGCCTCTAATGTCCACAACCCCATTATAACATACGTTTACACCATTTTGTCCGGCAGTTTTGGTCCGACGTTATGGTGAAGCGGTGATATATTCGAAGGTTTTTTTTTTAAATCGGATAAAAATTGGGACCGCAAGTGAGACCACGGGCTAAAAACGCGATTTTTCGTACAACCAGGGGCCATAATTCAGGAAGTTACCATCCGATATGCGTGAATATCGACAGGAACCAAGATCTTTGGCTTTAAACATGCATTTCAAGCTTCATCAAAATCGGATGAAAATTGTGACCTCCAGAGGGTCCACAACCTTGTTATACCATATTCTTACAGTATTTGCGTATACAATGCCATGGGACAGTCATTTTGACCGGCAGTTTTGGTCCGATTTTCATGAAATTCGAACTCAACCTACAGTATGGTGTAACGGTGATATATTCGAACGGGTTTTTTGGTGTTTTTTTTTTAAATCGGATCAAAACTGTGACCGCAAGTGGGACCACAAGCTAAAAACGCGATTTTTCGTACAATCAGGGGCCAAAATTCAGAAAGTTACGATCTGATATTCGCGAACATCGACAGGAACCAAGATTTTGGGTTATAAACATGCTTTTTAAGTTGCATCAAAATCGGATAAAAATTGTAACCTCTTGAGGGTCCACAAGCTAAAACGTGATTTTTCATACAATCAGGGGCCATAATCCATGAAGTTATGGTCCGATAAATGCCAATTTCGAAAGGAACCGAGATCTTTTGGAGATAAACCTATATTTCAAGTTTCGTAAAATCGGATAAGAATTGAGACCTGTAGAGTGTCCACAGACAAATATTACCTTCTTGCAAATATAGTTGTCAACAACAACAAAAAAAGTTTTCTGTGTAATTTTACGTGTATAGATAAATAAATGCACTTCAACTTTATATGTTGCATAGAAATATTCTTTATTTGTGAAATCCAAGAATCCTATATTTGCCTACACCAGACATGCGTGGACAGCGAAGATGACAAAGTGAATGACACTCGTTTGCAATGCTATGAAAAACTAATAGGCCCTAATAAAATAATCACATAATTCTATTTTTACATGTAATCTGCAAGCTTTATCTTTAATATTGGTTAGTCATATTTATCATATAAACCCAAACCTGAGCAGGTTTAAATCGCCTTCAAGGCAAAAATTGAAAACAAATTGTTTTATACAGAAAATGTTTGGTTATGTAAAAAATAACCAAGAACGATTCACCGAAAATTTATATAACTATATATGACAATATACATATAACAAATACATGGAAGAAAAATACAGTTGTATTCCTATTGCATAGTGACACACAGTGACTTCTTTGCACTGGACCCCGTTTTGGACACATTGTTGTATGCCTTCCCAGGATCCGATACCCAGCCATAAACTATTTTTATATCTTTCCAAATTAATAATGAAAATAAAATAGACTTTTTCTAGATTTTTTTATCTCAAAATCCTAGATAATTTTATTTAACTGCAGATTAACGAAAAAATAAAAATACAAATAGTATAATAAATTATTTTTATTAATAATATTTTTGTTGTATATAGTATAATGAATTATTTTTTATTAATATTCTTATGACATTCGGATTTTTTCTGTTGTGGGTCCCTCGGGTCCTGATTTAGCTCCGGAGTGTGCTCCGTGGTAACTCGGGGATCACGTGGATAAGTGGGTAAGACGCTGGCTCGCTAACCTGGAGGTCGGGTGTTCGATCCCTGCATTGGCCGAGA